TAAAAAGGAGGAAAGTTGCCATTAATTTTGAACATGAACGAACACGAAGTCACATTTACGACCAAAAGTAACGGCAACTTCCCTCCTTTTTCCATGAATAGGCAATACATTCAAAAGAAACGAGAATAGCCAGCAAAAACCTTGTTGTTTGGCAATTACTTTGGCAATAGTTTCTTTTTGTAGCAAAATCTAGATTTTTCTCTAGGCTACACTATTTCTCGCGACAATTCAGCCTTTTCATATTCCTTATCGACCACGAAGTCACATTCATAATAATCAAAAGTAGCGGTCAGTTTCTTCCATTTTACATGAAAAGGCAATAAATTCACAACAAATGGTAATAACCAGCAAAAACCTTGTTGTTTGGCAATTACTTTGGCAATAGTTTCGTTTTGTAGCAAAAGCTAGATTTTTCTGTAGGTTACAGTTTTTCTCGCGACAATTTCTTTAAAATCATTTCTTATCGATTACAAAGTTACTTGGCTAATCTAAATTTTTAGACTGATTTAATGGTTTGCATCTAAAACTGTGGGCTTTTATTTCTCAATCACTAATTTTTAACTTTATAATAGCATTGCATTGAGTGGCTTCCTCTTTTGGGAAAGTCAATTTAAAGCCAAGTGTAAAATTTTGACGATTTTGTTCAGTGGTTGTTGGAATGGTTTCTGAAGACATGTTGTGTAGTGCACGTGTTTAGCACAAGTCGCATTTTTATTTATCTTCGGTCAAGGGAGATGTCTTTTTCGGAACCTCTTCTCTGACAATTTTTGTTCAAGAATTGTACCACTCTAGTGCTTGACAATTTTCAAGTGATTTTCATTGCCTAACAAAACAGCTTTTGGATGTATCATCTCCTATCATTAATGGGGAAAACGTGTAAATTTTCCTGGATTCTTCAAACTCTGGTTGCAAAATGTCCTCAACTTTCTTAAGGTTGGTGTCTTTTCGCCCTTTTCTGCTTGTTGCATCTAAATTATGTATTTTATTTTATTTTTTTGTGGTGTGTGAAAATATGTACTTGTATGCAAATGCATTTTCAGATTGGAATTTGCATCAGTTTTAATGGAAATTTTAATCGAGACATACTTAATGCTTATTTTTAAAGTGTCATCTATGTTATGGCAATAGAACTAGTTACATTTGTTGCTAGAACAATCATGCAAGTTTTGTGCTGCCTTTGTTTTGAATATGTCGATCTATCGACGAATCTTTAATCATTCAAAACAATGTGGTGTATTCGTCCTGAAATGTTGCGGGAGCAGTGTTGACATTTGCTGTAACCCCTGTGATTCATCGCGCGCATGGCAAGTACATTTTTCCCCTATGCTGTGGTTCAATGGTAATAACACAGGGGTCTAAAGTATGAAAACTGAGGGCGCGGGTATGGTGGTGCCACCCAGGGCAAAGACCACAACAAGGGATTAATTTTATCGTGTCACACACTTTATTAGACGTATCTCGATTTTCTCCTGTTCAATTCACATTGAATGTTATTCTTTGCATAGTGGTATCAGATTTATTGAAAAGAAAACTTACAAGTAACTGGACTTTTATGACACCTGTTTCATTTGAGGCTTAGGCCCTGCCTGAAGTGCAAGATCATTGTTAGCTGCATATGGAATTTCTGATGACCTAAGTTGCGATAGTTTCAAGCTTCATTCAAGATAGATATTTGCAATCTATTACATGCTAGCATGCTACCTTGGTGTATGATGTTTTAAAGCCCGACATTGCACGAGGTGCTCTAACCATTGTCGTTTTGTCAATTAAAATTACGTCAACACGAATACCGTAACGTGATTCTAGCTTAGGATGGAGAAGGACGAAGGGAGCTCCTCAACAAAAAAGGTCAAAGTTGAACGAGGTGTGGAGGAAAACAATCCAAGTAAAGATTCTGCTCCGGTAGAGAGTGAGGAGTTAATTTCGAATTCTGAACTGGATGAGGGGCTGCAGATGAAATTATCAAGGATGAACCAGAGCGAATGCAACGTAAGTTTTCAAGGTTGAGTGGCTGGATCTAGATGCACTTATATATAGAGGTTTTGTTATTTTTTATATAAGAATGAAAAAAAAACCAAGACAGGTTGGATAAACAGTTGCATCGGATGAAGTGACTGTCTTTCTCATCCAGTTTGGATAGAGTTGCACTACCTGATATATATTTTTTGAAAATTACATTTACACACTTGATAGTATGGGTGTGTCTCTTGCAGAAAAGGCATGGCAAGAAATAAAATTATATATTTTGTCACTCTAGCAGAATAAATCCAGAAAGGTTGTCTGTTGTTTAGGTCCCTTGGGAGATGGCAAAACAGAGTGTCATAATTCAAGGTGCATGCTCCATGGTCACCAGTGTGGAATGCACTGACCTTACACTGAAAATATCCGTCATGGACTGACAATTTCCAATTATATTTTTGTTTGGTATCTACATGGATTCCACCATGACATGGTCTTACAGATTGCACACCTAAGAATATTCAGTCTTCGTTTTCTTTCATATTTTTTTCCACTTGGTGTGTAGCTTGCAACCTAGATTTTTTTATATGCAATCCGGGAAAACATGTAATCCTGCTGTAAGTAACAGCAATCATGGGTCGCAGTTTGAGTAACAAAATCTAAGTTGGGTGCTACAACAAGTTTGTCATACAGGGGCATAGCACCTGCTGGCATTAGAGCTTGTGACCCCTAGCAACTTCCTTTTAGATATTTTGTTTTACTTTCCAGTATGGAAAGTTAGTTGTCTGTACACCTTATTTGCATTGCCATTGACACTAATCTCAGCGCAAAGTCTCGCCCACATGAAATCATTCAACAATTTGGCTGAATAGGGCTGTAATATGTCCTTTTTTTAGCGCGATAGGTTTTGAATTTTGATACAAAACTTTAATTTTACCTGTAACTATCTGTCATAATGGAATTTTTCCAATTTCTTTATCCTCTTGTTTTTTCACAGCTAATCTGCAGAGTATTGTAGATGCATGCACTGGGTCACTTTATTGTTTATTATAGCACTATTCAGCAAAAAACCTCTTTCTGTTCATCAAATGATTTTTAATGAAGGTTTGCAGATGGGAAATGTGACTAAATGATCATGCATACGCGATGTGTCATTAAGATGCCATACTCGGCAGATCAGACCTTGTGAGGAGCAAAAAGCAGGTGCTTGACAAACAGAGCACCTTCAACTTTCTAGGCACTCGATTTAGCATCATCAAATATCATCAATAGTAAAATTTGATTTTTCAAATTTAGGTTTTAGACAGCATAAACTTTTAAAATTCTTGAAGCAAAAAGCACTTTGCCTATAGTCCCCAGCTTTAGGAGGTAGCAAATTTTTCTGGCTATGTTTTCTGTTAAGATGTTTTAAATGCAATTTCAAAATTTTAATAGCTTTTGAAGAGTTTTTTGAAACTGCAAACCAAGTGGTCTATCTTAACTATATCATAGATATATTTCAAAAGTGTTACTCATGAATCTAATTTCTTTCTGAATCTTTTACGGAAATATCATGTAGGAATTAACTGGCTGCTTTTACTTAATATGATGAAGTTTTGTCAGCCCCTTTTGTCTTGTTCCTTGTTTAAAATTCTGCTATGTTTGCTAAAAGTAGCTCATGTGCTTAGAGGATCTCAAATGCTTGGGCTGAGACCTGACACCATGTTTAAATATCTGGCAGAATAGACATAAAAAAGTATGTATGTGTGCTTTAGCAGATCATAATATCAACAAAATCTACAACACAACAATCTAAATACTTGATGTATATATTGTCATAGACAAATTAATATTTTAGAGAATTATTATTTTGTCATCCATTTAATTTGTCTAACACCCAATGTATTCTTAAAAACTTCATTTTAAAAGTGTTTTTATAGTAAGGCAATTAAAGTAACTTAAGTGTTTTAAACATAGTATGACTGTTTACAATATGCTGGACCTTCCATGTTTATGGGAGTAAGTCTATATTTCTTTGCTTTACCAACCTGTATCTTTCATTGCTTTTAAACTAGGGGTATGTAATGGAGATTATTATAATTTGACAGTTTGTTATAGGCCTATCAATCTCAGCTATGAAATATGTGCAGGAACAACAGTTCCATCCTAACTGTTTATCCCAAAAGAAAAAATTGATCCTGAGATTGGAAGCTTCGGATCAGTGAATACTTCCGAGAAACTGCTTATTGCACTAATCTACCCTCTAACATTAACAGCCCAAAGGAAACTTTCACAAACTCAGAGTCTGATTAATAATGGTACTAAAGATACAGATAGGTTGTTTTTGCTTCTCTGCCTTGCTTATGATAGATCTAATTATCTTGCTGGTGTGAAAAATCTTGCAATTGAAGTTTTGCTGCAAACTGTCCTAAGTGGCCTTAAAATGTTAACTTTAAATTCTATTCCAAAATTTTTCACAGCAACAGAAAGATTCATTTGCTTTTCTGCTCTGCATGTAGCACAGATAGATGTAATGTCCCTGACTACGTGAAAAGCCTTGTAAATGAAGTTTTGCTGCAAATTATCTTATATGGCTCCAAAAAGTTACCTTGAATTCTAATGCAAAATTTTTTCACTGCATCATAAAGATGCATTCAGGTCCTAGAACGGTTCCAATGAATTACTGTTAAAATTATTCTATCTTGTGTAATTTACCTTTCTTACATTAGTTTTGTTCAAATAGATTATTCTTTATTTAATAATAAATATGGTGTGTAATATGGATTTTATGATATTTAAATTAAATTTTAATTTAGAATCTCAAGGTTTAATGTTATGGTACCTTGAGGTTTAATGTTATGATACCAGGATTGCTATGTATTATGGTACCATTTCATGCTGCTTGTTGCATTGTAGACTTTCTCCGAAGTCTGTTTCATGTTAAATCCGTAAGGCATTCGCACTACTTCGAGGGCATATCTAACTGCTGCGGAGGAGACAATAGAAGGCGAAGGAAGGTCTAGTTGCACCGTGTAGTATGTTGGAAATAAATTTTAGAGGAACATAAACAAGTGGAAACCAAGAAATTATAGCTAATACTCATATTATGTACACTTAAAGCCAAAGTTTGTTAGTAAAGGGGGCACTTGAATGAAATTTATCAAGCAGAGCAGTTCATTTATTATCACGACGACCCCCTTTGGAGTACTCACTGTTTATATTGCTATTGCTGTAACGTTTTCTAGATAAGTATCATATATATGTTTCTTTAGTTTGTTGCATTGTATTACAATTCTAAATAAGAATTGATGTTTTCCTTCCAGGTAGCATCGCCTGCTGAATTTGTGCGAATGTTCGGAGGCAACAAGCAAATTGAGAAGGTATTTGCTTAAAACATTTTGATGCAAAGAACATTACTTTGAAAGGTTCTTGCAAGCGTAGAAATACTGAACATTCTAAACTTTTGCTTGTTTCTTTTTTCATCCCTGTAAGATTAACGTCTTCAAAAAGAAACTTAGACTTGCAATTAGCATAGATTGATTAGAACACAGTTTAAATCAGTTACATAAGAAAGCAAATTAAGTTACTTTATTCTCATCTTATTTGTCAAATGTTAGTAAAACCCCTTTAGATGCCAGAAATATAATGCTGTAGTGCAAATTGGAAGTTTGTTCCGCTTTGTAACAACACCAGATATGGCTTTAGTCTTGAGAGAAGTGTAGATCTAAAATGCCTATGAAAACCTGTGCTTCAAATAGCATTCAATAAGTTTCACAAATGTATTCTGCTTTACTGGTATCACGTTAGTTAAGAATCCAGTGGTGATTAAAGTCTTTGTTTTCAGGTGCTCATTGCCAATAATGGAATAGCTGCTGTAAAATGTATGAGGTCAATGCGAGGATGGGCGTACGATCTCTTTGGAAACGATCGAGCTATCAAATTTGTAGTAATGGTGACACCAGAAGATCTTAAGGTTGGTTATCGTGTTTTTTACAAGATTGTTTATTAGTTCGGGACATGGTCATGCCTTTTTATTGTCTGGGCCTTCTTTCGAATAAAAATTGCCTCTCATTTCAATATCTTCGTCTTTCTCTTATTGCTTTCAGAATAAATTGTATAAGTATAAATTAGCTGAATAAATTAGCTGAATAAATTAGCTGAATAAATTAGCTGAATAAATTACCCAATGCTGAATAAATTAGCCAGCATTTGATATGTTGGCCGACATTAAACAAAGTTAACCATCATTGAATAAATTAACGCACATGGTATTAATGAGACAACTTTGCATATATTAGCCAACGTTAAATTGATTAGGCAACGTTCAATACGTTAACAAACGTTTTATATGTTAACCCGCTTAGAATAAGTTAACATAAACCAAATTAATAATTCCATAAATTAGTGATGCATTATGTCTATAATTACATTATAGTTATACATTATAATTACATTACTTTGCAGTTTGTTCATTTGAAAACTTGACTATTCTTATCGTTTCTCTTCCCTCCACTTTTGGTTTTTTTGCCTGTGCTTTCTCCTTTCTCCTGATCAGCGTTTCCAGATAACCCTTAAAAAAGTATATTAACGGGTTAAACAGCGAGTTTGAGAACAACATTAAACCTGTCCAGCCAGCCAGCGGCTGTCCACCTGTAAGAATCTGGATGGCGTAAGGTGTTGTGCAGACTAGATATGTGAACACGATCAACACGCATGTTAATGCGACCGTGCGTGACAGTGTTCTTTCGCGTTTTCTCTTGGCCCTGTCCTGTCTTTCCCTATTTCTGCGTGACGCACGACTCCGGTTGTACTTACTGTCATCCTTTGGTAGCTCGAGCCCATCAGTGCTACTTGATCCGCTGCATGTTAAACTTGGTCTCGTCGTCTCACTCCCTGTCTGTTGAAAGTCACTGGCACTTCTCTGCTTTTCTCGGCCCTTTGTGTTCCGTTGCCATTTCTCATTCATTATTTCACTCAGGCTTCTGGAGCGCTTTTTATGCGTCACATCAATTGTCTGTTTGCAAGGGTTGTCTTCAACCGGGCAAACACTTTCTACCAGTAAATTATCTTTGCAGTCGGTCAGCGTTTCCGTCAATATTTTCTCTGCTTCTGAATCTTGAAGCTTTGCCAGGTTTTCGTCTTTGTTGTTGGCGTTTACTCTCTGTGTAGTTTCGTTGCTGCAAGCTATGGCTGTTGACTTTGAACTTCTTTCTTTGTCTCCTGCCATGACATTCGTATTAACAGAAGCAACTTTTGTCTTGTCCATCTGGTAAAATCTTGGCCGTGCAATCAAACTGCGAACCAGCTCAGCATATCCAAAGCAGAATACTACACCAAAGATGATCACAAGCCACGCTGTGATCTAAAATGTTAAGTTGAAGACCTATTAGCATTTGTTCCTGCCTTACTCGTAAGACTCATTATTACGGATTAGTTTTCAAGGGTACACTAGCCCTCTAGGTTTACACATGTGGAATCACAGACTTGGTTCCAGAAATGGAAGGCTGGTATTTAGATGACCAAGCTACAAAGGTATTATAAGGATGTGAGTAGTGTGAGACTGGAAGGAGAGTTATTGTTGTTGTGATTAGAGAGCGAGAGAGAAGAGACGGAAGTTGAAGTGAAGATATAGGTTGGATAGGGAGCAGAAGACGTTGTAAAGTTAAGTTGGAGAATATCGATAAAGAAGAGAAACTGAGTTATTGTTTATATTTGTTTTCCTTATTGCATGCTTCGTTACAGTACATTGTACTGAAGGAAACCGAAGAGTATACTGTGTTGTGTACTAAAGTTTATATGTCATCCCAATGTGTATGTTTATGATGATAACGATCTTTAGGGTTCAATTTCATGCTTTATTCGGTATTAGTCTGTTACAGCTGATTTATAAATGAGGTTATGGTATCTGTAGCACAGCTTCCCATTTCTAATACCTTTGTTTTCAACATTAAGGAACGATTATCAGAGGTAGGTTATTTTGAATGTCTTAAAAGTTGGGAGTTTCCTTAAAATCTTCACCGTGTAATATTGCACGATGGAATTTTCAACCCCATCCGTATCTATGATGTGACGTAACAAATTAAAGAAAACCAGAAATTCAGGGATTTGATCGTGAAATGCCTTGATTTGCATAATGAGACTCTCATTTTGTGTAGGGCAATAGAAGTTGTAGACTAGAACCGGTCCTACAGATCTAGATTTTTATTAGAAATTAAAACAAATATCTCAGAAATATGAACAGCTTGTATCTAATAGTACCTTTTGATAAATCTGTGTCATGTCATCTGGTAGAATAACACTGAACTTGCCAACTAGAATGGGTATAGTGACGAGAATCCATGTTGCAACCCATTCAACCACTGCACAAAACCACACTCTTGATTTCGTCACCCACCTTCTATGGTAGAGAGGGTACTTCACCGCTAGGATGCGGTCAATCGCAATCGAGGCCAGACTTGCTATCGAGATTACGACTGTTGTTAAAATAATGCACGACAAGATGCTTGATGCCATCTTATGTGCGTTTGTCGTCGTGTGGATGATGCTGAATAAATTACTGACTACCAAAAGCAGACCAGTTAAGCCATCGGCAACTGCTAAACTCGAGAGCAATTGCTCATACGGTTTTATCTTCTTTCGGCGTTTTACAATGAGTGCTATTTCCAACAGGTTCAAAATGATAATAGCAACCCCCAAGCTAACATTGAGATACACAAACGTCATTTCCAGATCTTGTTCAGTGCTGAGCTTATCGATTTTCTCCTTCAAGCAACTGCGGTCAATGTTGAAATTCCCGCTTTAGATCGCCTAACCAGCTTATGAGCAACAGTCCCTTCACAACATCTTCATCTCATAATTCGTAACACTGCCAACCATTGCATCCTTTGCATTTGCTTAAATATTTTACTCTCTTAGTTCGCAGCTTGGCTACTCCTCACCAGAAGCCTCTTTCCTAATGTATATATTTCTACGCGTCTGACTATTAAAACTTGCAGAAACCTCATTTTGAAATCACTATTCTTATTTCTCAATGCCCAGGCTAATCGCAGATATTATCTAGCGCAGCTGTTTGATTTAATTATCCCTGTCTTCCACCTGTTCATTCGTCCTCCGCGAATAATTTCTCTAAAGTAGAATCAACGAAACCTGCATTTTTCCTTCTCTATACTACGTTACCGTCTCAAATTGTTCGCGAGGGTTCGGCCGCGAACACTTAAAGACACAAACAGAAGCGGAGTGTTTTAACAAAACATATATGTAATTAAAAGAGTACAATATTAAAATTATGGTCTAATCCATAGTCAGTGTTTATACCTATACCATTTCAGTGCTTTGTTCGACGTACCGTACATTCTCGAATTGCCCCCCCCCCTCGAAAAAGCCCCCCTCTCGAATAAGCCCTCCCCCTCGAATAAGCCCCACTGCTACTGTAAATCCTTGAATTGGCCCCCTTGATTTGTTTTTTACCATCTAAGGTTGCCTATGGCGTTTTATTTAATTACCACAAAAAATTCATACTTTTTGTAGTTATTGATTAAATGCTCATAAAGAAATTCCTACTAAAATAAATGAGGTCTTTTTATAATGTCTTCTTAATGCCTACTATAATTTTATAAGCCCCCCCCCCTCTCGTATAAGCCCCCATCCAAAAATATCAAAAATAAATATGCCCCAGGGGGCTAATTCGAGGATTTACAGTACATAGTTTACTGTTTGAAACTTAGGAGCTCACTGCCTTGCTCAGAAAATGGTATATTTAAGGAGCTGTATGCCTAAAATTGATTTTGGGTTTTCGTGTTCTCCTTAAACCAAGTGCCCCTTTGAAACTAAACATCTACTGTACTAACTGGAGGCGGCATTCTCAGAACGTAATCTCGAAACTTCAACTTAATTGAACTAAAGTTTTTTGGTGGACTTTTCTTTGTTTTTGGCTGTATAGTTTTCAATATAATTGATAATGCTTGGTGATAGTTTACAGATCCGAAAATACCGTATTGCAAAATTGCTACATGCTTTATGAGCAGCAGAGGACCGTTGATGTATCCTTGCAACACCCCATATCCATCTTGTCATATAAGTGACCATATTCTGCGAAATTCTAAAACCTATGATATCTAATTTCCGACTTAAATAACAAGATTTTATTCAACCTTACTTTTTGTGTAGACAAAATCTTGAAATGTAGCATAAAATTAAAGTAACTTCAAGATAGCTCGTAAAGATTAAATCATTGCGGAGTCAAACTTCAACTCTGCCTGTTTGTAGTAAAACCTTTGCGATATCAAGAGTTTCCGAGACATGCCGTATTAAGAGTTTTCTGAAACATGTGGTATATGAATTGTCTTTACTGAAATCCTTGCGATTGCTAAAATAAGATGACCCAGTCGTTGTCATCTTTTTCTTCATTTAATGAGCCTAAGCTTTGAAAAATAGCAATTTCTTTTTTAATTAGGCCTCTCAACTTAACATTCTCTTTGTAACCGGCCATCCTAACGATTTTAGATCGACAGTCAAAGATGATGGTGTCGTGGGAAATTTCATCTTGTAAACACATTTGAAGTCAGTCTTTGCTTTTTTGTCCGACATTGAGGATTCGATGCAAAACAAGCTGCTTTTTTTTAAATGTTCGAAGAGTTAATTATGATTTTATGGTACGCTCTTTCTGCTTCAAGCGGCTTTGATGTCAACTTCTTGATGCTGGAAGTACTTAGTTTCTCTAAAGATTTTAAGCCACACTTGTGTTGTGGAAAACTACTTGTGAGAACCTCTAGTAGTTTTAGCCAACAGTTCAATAAAATTCCTTCATCGGATGTCAATTCGAATTCGCGACATATATTCCTTTTGTTATTTAAACACTTTATGCTTCCAAAGACTGCCAAATGTAAGTAAATAGCCCTTAACGGCCAGATCAATTGCAAACAATTCCCACATATCTTTTGGATCACATTCGTATTCGGTCTTCATGTGCCGTGTGAATAGTGCATTCGGAACTTCTCAATGAGTGTCGGTAAACAAGGATAATTTAATATAATTACATTTATAACTATAAATGTCAACAAAATATGTATTATAAACTCTGATAAAGAAAAGCTTTAATAACATGTCTCAAAATTTCTGTTTTTTTAAGGTATTTTGAAAAAATCTTTTGGATTTCTAGTTGATTGTTGTCAATTGATCATTGCAAGATTCATAGAATCCGGCGGTCGTCCTTATTCAACATCAATTTCTTCTTGGTTATGAAATCAAGATATCCTAATACTTCTTTAGCAGCAAAATTTCTCATAAGAAAATGACTGTTTACACAGACGAATCTTAGAAGGAATGTCCCAAGAGCAAGGAGTAGTAGGGCGATGCTTAAACTGGTCTAGAGATGGGCAGAAACAGAACTTGAAACAGTGTATTTGTTTAGTGTAAGCTACTTAACATAAGCTTACATCATTGCCAAATGTCTTGAAACACTAATATTTACAAGGTTGAATAGCCGTACCCATCTCACCCTTAAAACATTGAATAACGTTAGGCTCTGGGAACCACATTTTTTCCTTTGACTTGTTTACTGTTTGCCAAAACTGTCAGCATTGTTTCTGGAGGAAGAAGGTGAAAAGTGGTACACAGAAAGAGAAATGAAAATCTAGATACACGATTCTCTCTCACCTCCTCTTCGCAGAAATGCCTTTCTGTAAATAACTGAGATTGCATATGGGCGTTGGCGGTATTTATATGTGATGTTGCAAAAGATATTTTGTTTTTCTTTGAAGCAGCGGATAGAGACAGCCAATCAGGAGCTATCTCCAATTAGAATGAATCAACCTGTGCTAGCACAGTGACTTCGATGCTACGAGGAGTCTCGAAGAGCTCAAATCGAAGTTCGCCGAGGCTCCTCCAATTTTCATTTCCAGCTGTTAGATATTTTAAGTTGTTTGGGAAACCTAGCAGTTACATGGCAGCTTGTCGACTTGTAATGTAGGTGGAGTGATATCTTTTAGCATAATCCATGAAACAATTAACATCTGCAAGAAACAAAACATCATGGTTTTCGTTTTTCTGTTATTAATCTGTAGCTTTTCGTTAAAGTGCTGTTCTATTTTATAACGTTCTGAAGTTCCTTTGATTTAAGTATTTTGATTTCCAAGATTTTCCACTAAACGAGACGTGAAAACTTGCAGTTCACCTGAAGAACTAAGACACATTTGAATCGTCTTTTGGAAATTAGATCACTGAAGTTTTCGTCTTTTATTCCTGGGTCGTTTTTTTTAATTACGAAGGAAATGTCAATAATTGCTACGAACCCAAGCTTCTTTGGAAGCAGAAATAATCATATGCCAATGCAATTCTCAAGGCGCAGAACGTCTTCAATTATTCTCAGATTAAAAGCATTGTTGGAAACGAAATAACCTTGCACAATTAAACTTGATGATTGTTCCCTAAGCACTTTACATGATGTCATGCTTATTTTGTTTTCAAAACATTGATTCAACAGCTAATTCGTATTGAAGCAAATGTGAATATGTAATTTTTAATAAGATAATGAGTCTTGGATAAGATAAGGAGTATATTCAAGACTTAGGCCCGTGCACTGACATTTAAAACTTTGCTATTAATCTTCTATACATTATTGTTGAACGATTGCACGCAGAATCGATGACAAATATGCACTTTTAGTGCATAAGAGAATCATCAGAGTTTGAAACCCAATTTAATATTAGGCGGTACCCCCTCAAGAGCTCTTTTTTACGTATAAAAAATTTGATTCAGTAATATTCAGTTTATTACCAACACAAGCTCGAACATACACATATCTGTTCTAGATTGTGCTGTTAATGTCACACAGATTTCATGGCTGGTGTTTAAGCTGCTTTGGCTTCTAAATCAACGTTGAGCTGATTGGAACATTGTATTCAGAGCAAATGGCACTGCCTAAAATATTTCTAAAAAACGATATTCGAAAAATGCTTTCAGAACTCTATTTCACTTCTTGCAAGCCTTTTATGTCCTAACCGTTGATATTTAAAATATGTTTTCGATATCGGTTTCAATTCCAAGTTTTCCTAATTTTTGTCTTTGTCCAAAATATTTTTAATTTTTTCTAATTGTTTTTTGTTTTGTTTCTAGGCCAATGCAGAATACATCAAAATGGCGGATCATTATGTACCCGTACCTGGCGGCCCAAATAACGAGAATTACGCCAATGTTGAATTGATATTGGACATTGCTAAAAGAATACCCGTGCACGCCGTTTGGGCTGGTTGGGGTCACGCCTCAGAAAATCCGCGACTGCCTGACATCTTGCAGCAAAATGATATTGAATTTATAGGTATAGATGTTTTTTTTCGACTAATCTAAGTAATCGCATTTTCTTTAGCCCCTAAAACCTATAAAGTCCTTTGTTCTCACAATTCCTTTTGTTCTTATTGTTCTCAAACAACGCTGTCCCCAATAATTCTATCCTTACCGGTACTGTCTCAGCTGCTAATCATCACTAAAAATCTTCGGTGTGATGTTTTCTTCAATGATAAAAAATCTGCTAAATTAGGCCCGTTGCAGTGAAATTTGGTCTTGGTAATAGGCCAGTGTTATGTCCTTGGACTGAATGAAGCTACAACCATGGGTATCTAAGGGAATAACTGTAGACTCTAGGGACCTTGTTGGACTAGCCTCATAGTCGTGTAGGACTAATTTTATCTCTGTAGTGAAAAGGGCCTCTCTAAAGCTTCCTTATAGTTTCGCTCTGTCCAACGTCTTGGTTCGTTTACAGGGCCTTCTTCGACATCAATGTGGGCAGTGGGTGACAAAGTTGCCGCGTCGATCATTTGCCAGACTATTGGAATACCTACCTTGCCATGGAGTGGAAATGGTGGGTTCTCATTTCCTTATTGATGCTTTCATGACATATAAATTCTGAGGTAATGCATACGATTAGTAATCGCAATAAAAGCCACAATTCTGTGTAAGAATGGGAACACAGTATAGAACAAACTACTCTCTTAAACACTGTCTTCCATTAATGAAGTCTGTTTACTTCAAGACGAATATTTTCCAATTCCAAAGCCATTTTGAATTCTAAACCCCTATATATATATACTAAACTACTTAAGATAAACCACTGGGAACAGGGCTTTCTGCTACGGGGAAAGAGAGTTTGCTTAGATGGTGTTAAAATTTGTTAGAAAAGGCCTAGAAAACTTGCAGATCTTGCCTTGTCGAAGTTGTTGGCATATTTGAGGTTTAAAGGAAACCACGAACAAATGCAGTGTAAGCGCAATATCAAGAGGAATTGAAAATTAGTTTTCTAGCATTTTCAATCTTATTTATCATTATCAAACTGTCATTAATCCATTTTATATGTCTTTTGATTTTGCAATGTATCAGTATTATAATTTTAAAATCTTCCACCCGAAAGTGGAATTTTTCTGACAAATATTTATTCCATTTCTAAGAAAAGAAGTGGTAAGCTGCTGGTTTATTTCCGTGTTTTCTATCAATAGGCTTGTTACTGGATCAGCCTGGCTGCATAGAGAATGGAAAACTCAAAGAACTTCCTGATGATTTGTACAACGATGCTTGTGTTGTCGATGTGATGGATGGAATTAAGGTTAGAAGAGTTTTCCCTATCTTCACTAAAATGAATGACAATGGTTGCTGATATGGCTTTGACTAAAATCAACAAACGAGGCGTCGACAGTACTAGATACCTCATGCGTGTGTCATTGAAGTCTGCCTCGTAAAGTCTGCCTTGAGCCATGTAAAACACAGAAATTTGTTGCACATAGGTAGTTGTGGTCTATAAATCAGATTGAATTGATTTTCATAGGAATGTTTTAAACAGCAAGGTCGACAAAGCAATTTTTATCATCTTCATCCAGTCTTCATCCAGTCTTCGCCCAGTCTTCATCCAGTCTTCATCCAGTCTTCGCCCAGTCTTTGTCCAGTCTTCGTCCAGTCTTAATCCAGTCTTCATCAATTCTTCATCCAGTCTTCATCCAGTCTTAATCCAGTCTTCATCCAGTCTTCGCCCAGTCTTCATCCAGTCTTCGTCCAATCTTCATCCAGTCTTCGTCCAGTCTTCGTCCAGTCTTCCTCCAGTCTTCGTCCAGTCTTCCTCCAGTCTTCCTCCAGTCTTCGTCCAGTCTTCATCCAGTCTTCGTCCAGTCTTCGTCCAGTCTTCGTCCAGTCTTCATCCAGTCTTCATCCAGTCTTCGTCCAGTCTTCGTCCAGTCTTCATCCAGTCTTCTTCCAGTCTTTGTCCAGTCTTCCTCCAGTCTTTCTCCAGTCTTAGTCCAGTCTTCATCCAGTCTTCCTCCAGTCTTCGTCCAGTCTTCCTCCAGTCTTCCTCCAGTCTTCGTCCAGTCTCCGTCCAGTCTTCATCCAGTCTTCATCCAGTCTTTATCCAGTCTTCGCCCAGTCTTCATCCAGTCTTCATCCAGTCTTCATCCAGTCTTCATCCAGTCTTCATCCAGTCTTCGTCCAGTCTTCGTCCAGTCTTCGTCCAGTCTTCGTCCAGTCTTCCTCCAGTCTTCGTCCAGTCTTCATCCAGTCTTCGTCCAGTCTTTGTCCAGTCTTCATCCAGTCTTATCCAGTCTTCCTCCAGTCTTCATCCAGTCTTCATCCAGTCTTCGTCCAGTCTTCGTCCAGTCTTCATCCAGTCGTATCCAGTCTTCGTCCAGTCTTCCTCCAGTCTTCCTCCAGTCTTCCTCCAGTCTTTGTCCAGTCTTATCCAGTCTTCATCCAGTCTTCATCCAGTCATCATCCAGTCTTAATCCAGTCTTCATCCAGTCTTAATCCAGTCTTCGCCCAGTCTTCATCCAGTCTTTGTCCAGTCTTAATCCAGTCTTCATCAATTCTTCATCCAGTCTTAATCCAGTCTTCATCCAGTCTTAATCCTGTCTTCATCCAGTCTTCATCCAGTCTTCGCCCAGTCTTCATCCAGTCTTCATCCAGTCTTCATCCAGTCTTCATCCAGTCTTCGCCCAGTCTTTGTCCAGTCTTCGTCCAGTCTTCATCCAGTCTTCATCAATTCTTCATCCAGTCTTCCAGTCTTCATCCAGTCTTCTTAATCCAGTCTTCATCCAGTTTTCGCCCAGTCTTCATCCAGTCTTCGCCCAGTCTTCGTCCAGTCTTCATCCATTCTTCATCCAGTCTTCATCCAGTCTTAATCCAGTCTTCATCTAGTCTTCAATAATCACCAAATTCCTAGTTATAACTTGATTTCTTGCCTTGCTCTTTGCCGTAGTTCTATTCCTTCTATGTAAATTGAAACAAACAAAAACAATTCCAACTCGAAAACATTTTGTTTCATTAGTCTTTTGGTTGCAGGCCACAAGTTTCAGTCTCTTCTATTCTTGTTATTTTTGTGTTTAGTACATTATCCTTTAGTAGTTTTTCTGAATTTGTGTACTGCCGCTTAATGTAGTTGACATTTCTTTTAGGAGAAAATAATTGCGTGATGGAAACCTATATTTTTAGCAACTTTTGCCCGTTTTGTACTACATGTCAATGTTAGTACAGCTCTGTCTTTGAAGCATCTAGCATTATTTAACTGAAAGTATTATTTTTGAATGTTTGTTACAGATGGCTGCAAAAATCGGGTACCCACTCATGATCAAAGCCTCCGAAGGTGGTGGGGGCAAAGGAATTCGCAAAGCTAGAAACGATGAGGAATTCACAAATATGTTTCGTCAGGTAAGCCGTTTTTAAAAACCATGTGGATTGTTCTTGGCCTCTCTGAAGTAGGATCTTGGCTAATTTTCTTACGAATTAATTGGCACCATCTTAATTAATAATCTTCATGGAGTGTGGAGTATGCGCTGAAAGGAGTTTTTATTGATTATTTAGCGCCAGTAGTTCACGTCTTATTTGTTTGATGAAGTCCTTTTTATTTTTACCGCCTCACTTTCTGTCATGCTTCGTATACGAGGCTTTTACTCAATAATAGATAACTTGCCTTAAAACCATCTTTAGAGCTGACTGTTGCTGCCCAATCCAGGAAGTTGAGAGTTGTAATTAAGTGGAGTGTCCAACTAAAGATCATCCACCATAACTACTATCTAAAACAGCCCTCACACTATAATTAGTATTGGCTTTCTTCTAAAAAAGGGAATCATACTTTTTTAGTTGTTGTCAGCTCTAGAACGTTCTACGTTTCCTCGTAAGCATAAACATTTTCAAGGCAAGTTATTTTTTGCCCAGGTTCAAGCAGAAGTCCCAGGATCACCCATTTTCCTCATGAAATACCTCACAAAGTAAGTTGAATGCGTCACTTACTTTATCATGAAATACTTCACTATTTTGTTTAAAGCACTGTTAGAATTCAAACCTGAAATCATATTTTTAAAAACCAATTTATTTAGTTTGTTATTGAAGATGAAGTTAACAATATTGAATTGATTCTATAGCAACTAAACTTGTTTTTCTCTCAACTTACGCTTTTCGATCTTTTGGTCGACACAAGTTCCAGCTGGGATCTAAGCACTCAGCAAATAAACGTTTATCCTCTTTTTTGTGGCCCTATGTTATTTAATCCAAGTTATCCTTAGGGATAACTCACAGTTATCCTCATCCACCTTTCTAGCCTTTTCTATTGACATGACATTGACAATATCTTACTCTATCAGCCGCATAATCACTTTCACTTGTTAGCTCTCTTCTTGTAGCATTAAAAGGAAACCCAAACACTAGGCTTGATGGAATCACCTGAAAGTCAAAACATTTATAGTACAGCTTTTTGATAATCATCGTCCTGTCAACGCATCTAGTAACACCAGAATAACTGAACTATTTTTTCGGCTTATTTTTATCAACCACTAGCCGTAATATCCGTTTATCTTTTTGTTTCCAGGGCTCGTCATCTTGAGGTTCAGATATTGGCTGACAAATATGGTCAGGCTGTTGCCTTGTTTGGTAGGGATTGCTCTGTACAACGAAGACATCAGAAAATCATCGAAGAAGGACCTGTGACTATTTGTAGCAAGGAAACCATCAAGAAAATGGAAGAGGTAACGTGTTTTAAAAATAAGCCTTTAGTTTTCTGCCCCCAAGGTTGATTTAATTTAAGGGTTATATTTGATAGAGAAAATCAGATCTAACTGTGTTCTTTTATAAAACTATTTCTTTTCGTCTTCTTGTTTCGTGTCCTCTTTTTTATTTTCTTCGTCTTTCTTTGTCCCTTTTTCTTCTTCTGTTCCCGCTTCCGTTTCTCACATTTATCTTTTTTTCTTCTTTATTTTCTTTTTCAACTTTCTCCTACGTCGTCTTCTTCTCTGTCTTCCTATTTTGCTTTTTCATTGTCTTCTCCGCCCACTTGTTCTTCTTCATATTCTTCATCTTCTTTTTTTCTTTATATTTGTCTTTTTTATTTTCTTCTCTGCATCTTCTCATACTTCTTTGTCCTCCTCTTTGTCTTTTTCGTCCTAAGCTCCTACTTTCTCTTCTATGTCTTCTCAATCTTCTTCATTATCTTCTTATTTGTCTGCCTATTCTTAGCTTCTTAGTCACCTTCCTATTTCTTCGTCCTGCCTTCCTTCTTAATTTTTTTATCTATTCTCTTCTCTATCCTGTTATTTATCTTACTTTGGGTCTTTTGGTCTTCTTTATTATCGTGTTCTTTTCCGTCTTCTTTGTTTTCTTCGTCTTTTTCTTTATTTTATATTTTCTTCTTCCTCTCATTCTTCTTCGTGTTCTTCATCGTTTACTTCTTCGTCTTCTTCATCTTTTTCGTCCTCTCTTTACCTTGTTCGTCGTCTTCTTTTTCTTTGTCTTTTTCACTCTCTTTGCCATTTCTTCTTTATCGTCATCTTCTTCTTTGTTTTCTTCAGCGTCCCCTTCGTCTCCCCCGTCTTTTTAGTCCTCATCTCCATCTCCGTCTCCAAAATGGTGATGTAGGTTCATCATTCCACCTGCCCCATCCAACGCATCCGTGTCAGACCAACCTCTACCCCCAACCAACTGCGTTCTCCTTCAGCATTTGCCTTCTTCATATTTCTCTCTTTATGCATATCCAAACAATGTCAGTCTCCTCTCTTTGTTGCAGTATACTGACTATGATATATTCACCAATGGATTTGTTATGGCTTCTTTGCTATTGGAACATCTTTTAGTACATCGAATGCCAACTTTCCCAAAAATCTCGTTTTATTCATTATTGTGTTGATATTAGCGGCAATTCCACTTTTATTCCGTTAACAGGCACTCGTTTCTTTTTTAGGACGCAATTAAACTTGCCAAACTTGTTGGCTACGTGAGTGCTGGAACTGTCGAGTATCTTTACGACTTCGAAACGAAGACAGTGTATTTCCTGGAACTTAATCCAAGACTGCAAGTTGAGCACCCCTGTACGGAGATGATCACTGACATCAATTTGCCGGCGGCACAGTTGCAGGTCTGTATTTTACGATTGGCTTTAAGAAATATTATTTAGCAAGGAAAATCAGTGTTCATCGTTTGCTTATTATATGCGCTGGTATTGTTGGATCATTCTTTCAGCTAATTTGCCTTTTTTTGCTAATCATCGAAAGAAAAAACGCTTTTAGAATGATGCTTGTGGTAACAACCTTTCGTCCAAGGAACCTCTTCACCACGTGCTATACAAACACGTGATCACGTTCCTTAACCGGCACCCTCAAGGATGCTTTTTTAGTTCCATGAAGTTAAAGAAGTCTTGAATGATAATTTCTTTTTCTCAAAAAATGCATTTGTTTTTAGATTGCAATGGGAATACCTCTCCATCGCATAAAAGACATTAGGGTACTTTTTGGTGTATCTCCATGGGGAAACTCGCTTATCGACTTCACAGCGTGAGTAAACTTGGTTTCTATTCATATGTACTCCGCCATTTTGCTGCAGTGTCTTATTCTCAAGAAACAACAGGGAAGTTAAAGAGGAACGGAAAAGAAAAGAAAGTTTTATTTTTTTACGTGATGTAAATCATAGGAGGGTGTCTTGTCATTCTGCTTTCAGTTTATAAACTTTTATGCTTTTATGAAATTTTCAAGTAGCATATTAGTTGTATACACTGCTCCTAATTGCAATTATCACTTTTTCTTGAAGAAAATCTTAAGCATTAAAGTCTACAAAATTCAGTTTGGGTATCACAACGTCGTTTTATAGATCTTTGTTTTGCTTGTCTTAAGTTTAAACACACCTTGAACGTCGTTTTTGTCAGCTTTATTCGGAAGCCTCGAAGAATTCATAAAGTACAGACAAAGTCTGATTTTTCGAGGGCCTATTAAATTCTCCTATTTTGGTTAAGAATTTCTTTCTTTTATATTTATGCCTGTTTTATAATTTGATAATATTTGATATTATAAATACTGAAAGAAATTTTAAATTTCTAATTTGAATTCTTAGCGAATTCATTTAATGACATGATCGAAAAGCCGGGGCTACACGCAGTTAGGCCTATTTTGGGTTCTCGACGATTCGAACTAGCCATACTTTCATGTTTAGTGTTCGACTTCTGTAATGTTTTACATATGCAACTGAGACTATTTTTAGACGGTAGGTATTTTACCGTCTAAAAGTGACGGTAGGTATAAATGAGGTATTTTAAGATATCGTCCTATAAAGAACTATCACGCTATGCGTTTTTTGTTTCGACTTTGTGATTTTTCGACACAATTTTAGAACAAACTCGCAATCGGTTCCAAAGGGACACGTTATCGCCGCACGCATAACAGCAGAAAACCCTGACGAGGTAAGTACAACTCCCGGCTATGAAAATCTTTCTATAGACGCAAGCTTGCAAAAACGAATCAACAAAGAGCTAGAATTATATTTTCTAGTCATAAGGACGCCCCCTATGAGTGAATACCCTCTCAAACAGTCCAAAATTATTGAGCGCCCCTTCAAATGAGCACCTCCATTCGAATATTGTGCACCAGTTTCCTGTTTGTGAAGAGGTCGGTAAAAAAGGATTGAAATGACGAAAAATGAATATTTATCATCTCCCCCCCCCCCAACTTAATTTCCAAAAATCAAGTTTTCTTTTTGTTGCATGCAATCAGGAAAAATAATTGAAAGCTATTTGGCAATCCCTTCGAATGAGCGCCCCGCTTCTCCAAAATAACTAGAACCTTAATGAACACCGCTACGAGACTTTATTAAAAGTAGAGTTATAAGAAGGTTTTAATTAAATCTACTCATATCGTATCTGCGTCCGTCAGACAAAGGTTCCATTCATGCCGACATTATTTTAATTTGGAAAGATACAACACTTTCTGTTCCACGGAGGTTTTTCGAAGTCTTAACTGTTTTCAAGCGGGTATCTTGCCATTGTTTAAATCAGTTTAGATTCTTATATGTTAAGATGCTATTTAATGATATTCTTTATCAGTTTTATCATAACTTTATAAACTGTTTACACCTCTGTAATTTTTATTTCTTTCAAAATTTTTGTCTCAAATAGTAGCTAACTTGAATTTGATAAAATAGAGATTTCTCTAGCAATTGTCATAAATACTGATTTAATTATAACGATAGTGATTAATTTTCCACAAGGGATTCATGCCTAGCAACGGAACGATCAAGGAGCTGAATTTCCATAGCAGCAAATACACTTGGGGATACTTTAGCGTCTCCGCAGAGGGAAGCTTGCATAAATACGCCGATTCTCAATTCGGACATGTTTTCTCTTGGGGAGAAGATAGAGATTCAGCCCGAAAGTATGTTTTATAATCTAATTTCATGGTGTTAGACATACTGTTTTAAGTTAGACAGAATTTGAAAACTTATAGGTTTTAAAGACTGCGTTCAAAGTCTATGTTTCTGAGATTGGGTAGAGAAAATAGGTATTTTGTCAGAGCCTGCATGCCGCAGCTCGAATTGGGGAGGGGGGGTGGGGGGCTTTGGCTGGGTCAACTCTAATCTGCTACGCGTTGACTTCTTGTAAGAAAACCTGATGTAGAAAATACTGTTTTGGTACCTCTAGTAAAGTAGAGGATACACTTTGTAATGATGTTTATTCGTGTTACTTATGTTTAGGAACTCTAAGGGTTTTCTTTGGAGAAAATGCTACAACAATATTACAATACTGAATTGCTAATATGTTACAATTCTATGATGTGACATCTTCCCTACCTGGCAATGAAACAAAGCTGGACGATGCAACAGCAAGTGTGTTTGAATAGAACTTCGTTGTAGCCACCAAAGAAAGAAAACATAGATAAAGACAGTCAAACGTGAATGAACATTAAGATTAAAATAAAAATGTTTGTGGGAAAGCAGTGCTGTTTAAGTACAATAAGCTATAGCCATATCCTTGTATCTTTGCAGGAACATGGTCCTTGCCTTGAAGGAGTTATCAATCCGAGGAGACTTCAGAACAACAGTCCAGTTCTTGGTGCACATAATGGAATCAGATGTTTTCTTGAAAAACCGGATAGATACAGCTTGGTTGGACAATCTCATTGCGGAAGATGTCAAGGTATGTTTGAGTTAGTTTGATTTTTTAATCAGAATCTGGTAAAGAAAAGTGGCCTCCTTACAGGAAGGAATTCAATAACAATTCCATAACTTTTTGTATTGTTTAAAATTTTCCCATTTTGGCTTTGGTGACTACCCAAAATAACAATTTTCTTTGCAATCTTTCATAGGTAACCCAGCTTAGTCAATTTAGAATGTTAGTTGAAACCAACAAATATCATAGATCAAACAAAATTGCGCATTTTCTATCTGATCACTCATCAGCAACGTGAGGCATTAAGCGTCTCTGATTGGTCAAAACAAGAAACCAATCAAATCTGCAATTCTTTTTCTTCTGCGTTATGTAAGGTTCCCGGATGTGAGCTTTCACTCTTCATTTTGTCTAGATCTGACTTTTCAGGGTCTGTGGGATAATAAGTGTATACTTCGGTAGAATTTTTTCCCTTTTAAACGAATGCCATTTTCAAACCTTTTTCTAGCAAAGAAAGTTTCAAGATGGCAATTATCTTTCAACCTGAAAATTATCTCTATGCCTGATTATTGTTGTTTTTTCATCCTATTTGACTGCCCTCATGATTTGTTTTCTTTAGGCCGAAAGTCCAGATATCCTGCTCGCTGTAATTTGCGGTGCACTGCATGTTGCTGAAGCTAGCATCAATAATTCAAATCATAGTTTTCAGTCTGCCCTCGAAAGGTATTCAAAAAGCTTATATATGTTACATTCTTCAAAATAATATTTATATATATAATATATTTATGTAGACTGTATATCCACACATTTCCAAAACAGTAAAGGTTTGTGTAAAACAACGATTTCGAGTTTTAATGTTGTGTGAGAGAACAGGAATAATTAAATAACACGATCAGTGGCGGACACTTGGTCAAATATTGGGGGGGGGGGGGGGGCAAGCCTATTGTTTTAACAAGATGACGTCACAGTTCCCATTGTTTTAGAACAAAAGACCATTGTTCTCTAAAGTATTGGGGGGCCCCCAAGTGTCCGCCACTGAACACGATAGAAAGAAGGAAAGTGTACAAAAACGAAAAAGGTTCTCTAGCGTTCATGTAACGATGCATTTCAGAGTATTTAGGAGTAGAAACCTTCACATGTGAGATATTTTTTATTTGATTATTACTTCACTATACAAACAATGGGAATGATTTTAAATTTTGACTTCAAGGTATCGCGCCATTCTGCCTCTTTCTCTCGCCTCCCCTCGGCGCCTTTGTATCCTCGTTTTCAACGCTACAATAACTAGAGTTAGAAAAATAGATGTTTTTCATTATCGTATTAAAGGTAGACGTTTACTTTGTTTCTTGCGATGATCACTGACTTCGCTTAATGATTTTTCATCGAAGGGGCCAGATACCAAAGCCAGAAATGCTGAAGACAAGTGAAATAGTTGAGCTCATCCATCAGTCAACCAAGTACAGCCTTGTAGTATGTATTCTCAATCGCCCGTTTACCGCTATATATTCTTAAAGGCATCCAATACTACTGATACACGCCTGACTGATAACGTGAAGTTACCTTTTTTACCTCGTACTGATTCTGAAGTTACCTCGCACTGATTCTGAGAAAAGGTTCCGTCAACATCCAGCTGAAATCACATAAAGCCGAAAAATTGTTAGGACACAGAAAGCAGATGACTCCATGATGTAGAGGACGCCTTTTCATCATGGCGTAGAACAGGTCTAATCTCGACCCGATCAGACCCCTGATCAGATAATGTTAACGTTATCAATATAATTCATATTTTGATAAGATTTGGAAGGGCTAAAGCTCAGTTAATTCGTAAACCAGAGGGATTGATCCTTCCAAGTGCCTTTTTCTCTAAAAATCTTCCTTGCATCTTTCCTTTTAACCGATATCTCAGTAATTTTGCATCCCATTTCAGAAATCATTTTATTCTTTGATTTTTGTGACCCTTCTATGTTGGTTTTACACACCAATCTCAAATCAATTAAAATTTCATTTCTTACTTCATGTTTTTCGTATCCCAAAGAGCTTAATGCAAGCAATTTATTTATCTAAAGATAATCTTTTGTTTGTTTTAGGTGAATCAAAATGGCCCAAATTCATATTTTCTTATTATGAATGATTCGACAGTTGAAGTTGAAGTCCATAGGTTTGATTTCGCTTTATAATCAAGTCAATTGATATTCGCATTGATATTAATCAAATCAAGAAGCTATATTAATTTGTCGGATGCAATCTGTTTTGTATTTGAGTCAAGTCTATTTGCTTCCGCTGCTACAAGTTGTTTGATAGCGAAAGAGCGGCTTTTTGTTTTTAATATATTATTAAAGTGGGCTTCCTCTTAAAGAGGCTCAAATAAGTTTGACGTTTCCGACGTCCGTGCAAATTGCTTGCTGGAGAATTTAATTAGCCATAAAACGCATGCTTGATAATGAATGAAATTAGCTTCGGTGACCTTTTTAGAGCCTCCAAATTTATTTTCGTGTTATGGCAAACTAGCTCAGCTTGTGAAAGCAAGTGGAATGAAACTTCTTTATTTCTGTCCTAGTGTTTTGATCAGAAATTAAAAGAGAAATATTGTATATTTGATGGTCCTCGTTCATCGCTTCTTGTAGCCTGCGTGTAAACTTTACTTCCCGTTGCGAAGGAGAGCCAGGACGGTACTTGGTTCTCCTTCGCAACGGAAAGTTCCGTATTGGTTTTCCTTCGCAACGGAAAGTAAAGTCTGCACGCTGGCTACGATTCTTCTCCTCGGTGACATTCCTAGGCCTTTTGCTTGTCTGTTTTAACTAAAGACTCGAAGTAAACACAACATGAAAGGGCTTTTAGAACATTGTTGTTTTTGCGATAACTTGCAATTTGTTGCATGAAAAGATCCAAGACTTGCAGTTTGTTGACATTTTAAAACAATTTCTTGCAATTAGCCCGTTACTTGATAGGCCTGATCAGTCTAAAAAGTGACATTGAATATTAGACCTTCAAAGTAATATCGCACCAAAAGGTTTTGCGCTTTCAAATCTTTCATTTTGCTTTTACCCAGTCTTTACCTCAAGATTGCTAACGAAATTCTTCTACTAAAACCCAAAATGCTTTCAAGCAATCTTTTTAAAGACCATTCAAAGCGTTGAATAAATGTGAACGTGATTTTTTGGCCTTTGTCGAGTTTCCTTTTCCCATAGATTTTGTGAATGTATCAGGCAAAGTCTGATGATTCATAATGTAGTTATGCTTATTTTGCCATGTTTTGAAGCGTTTATTTTTTGCTCTGGTAGGCTGAGTGATGGCGGCCTCCTCGTCTCTCACGATGGCAATGGCTACACGACATATATGAAAGAAGAGGTTGATGGGTATGCAAATTTCGCAATCAAAATGATTTATGATTTTTTACATCGATGGTCAAATCTAAATGCATAGCAGAAGGAGATTAAAAAAGATTAAGATTAAAAAGATTAAGAAAAAGATTAAAAAAGCCTAAGGAAAAATGATAGACAGAAGGATCCAAAGAGCGAACGAGAGAGATAGGGAAAGAAGGAAAAGAGAAGGAAAAGTATATTTTAGGATAGAAAGATTTAACAGAGTTCAGAAAACGCTTCAACCTTCCTCCAGATGAAATTTCGCCCTATTGGCCCTCCTCAAAATTTGCCTTGTTTCTTTTAAATGAAAGTTTCTTAAAAATAGAATTTAAGAAAGGTGGTTTGGGAATCGTCTATGGTTTGGTCTTAACGCTTTGTCAGAAAAAAGAAAACTTCAAACACAACGGTTAATTCCTCTCATTTTACATATCTTTGCAAGTTATGCATTGGCCTTGCTAAAAATTACAGAATCATTGGATTTCTTTCATCCGGCTCGGCCATAATGTACCGTAATGTAAACTCTGATTTTCAATTCATTCTATATTCATAGTTTTCACTATAACATTTTCTTACACAGATCAAGAAGACTAAAACCTTTTTACTCCATTTTTGTTCTTAAACTTTTTGTGGTCTTTCTTAGTTATCGAATTGTCATCCAAGGAAAGACTTGTGTCTTTAGAAAGGAAAACGACCCAACGGTTCTCAGGTACGGTACCCAGCTTCAGTTATAATTCTACTTTATTTAAACCTTTCGAAGTTAGGAAGCAGAAACAAAGAAAAATCGCATTCTGCCTAGTAAACTTCAAAACCTGCTAGTGTATTTGTCTATTGCACTCAGTTTTGGCAAATTTTCCGTGTCATTGTACTCGTTTCTTGTGGCTCATTGGCACTGTACTAATGGTTCATCATTGGTAAATAAGCTGGAGTGTCAGCTATTTTTGTTAGAAAGTTTGCTTAGCTATAATTTTGCTAAATATATTTTTTTCTGTTGCTTCATCTTCTTGGTTTACTTTAAGTACATTTTCTGTTTAAGCAGTTTCCTTCGTTGTTTTAGTTTGTTATCAAAAACTTAAGACCACGTGTCAAGTCTTCCCATTTTTCTAGATTAACATCAGAATAACATTTCTTGTTTAAAAAACCATTCTAATGCACTTCAATGGAATTTTAAAGTAAGATGTGTATCAAAGATATCTTTAAAGTATATTTATAATGATCATATGAAATGCAGTATGAATATTTCAATATATATAGTGTTTTTGAAATAATTGCGTTTCATCTTCATTTTTGTCCTGGTCTTAAACTTTTGCACACGACTGTATTTTATTTGATTTTCACTTTGTTCCTTGTTTTGAAACACCTTTGTGTCAAACTTTTTAGCAGTATAACTATTTTCCATCTAGAGCTTCATCAGCCGGGAAGCTCATTAATTATCTCGTGGAAGATGGCGGTCACGTGGTTAAAGGCGAGGCTTATGCTGAAATCGAGGTAATTGCTTCTGTACAATTGTTAGCAAAATTATAAATAGCTTCATACGATCATATGCTGTGGTATTAAAGTTGCATTCAACAAGAAGAATTGCTTTATCGTGGTCAAATCATTAATCACTCCATTGAAAAGCTCATGCTTTTTATTTTTCATGATATCAGAATGCTATAAACTAGCTTTATTTTCCAACGATAATACAACTTCTGTCTGAGGAAATTTTGTTAAAAATACAAGATTTGCCATAATATCATTTTTTAAATATTTTTCTTGAGTAAGATAGTCAAATACAGTAGATATACATTATTCATATTAAATTTGCTGCGTTACTCTCTTGCACTAATTTTGTGATATTTTTTTTTATGTGCAACTTTTTTTTACCGTAAAACCTTTATAATATACTTATCATCTAACGAAATCCAAATCGAATATCTCTTAAAACAACCTGCATTAACCTTTTTTTCATATTACTAAGTCTAGCCATATATGTATATTACCTTTTATTACTTAAGTCATTTCAGTTGTTTGGGTAACGGAAGCAACGCCAATAAGCTTGAAGATCCTTTCCTTAAAAACTGTTTCACTCTAGCCTACGATATTCGGTTTGCATTAATTCGAACTTTCTTTAAATTTCTGGTAATTCAAAAAAATTTCCCATTCCATTCATCAAACCTTTTCCAGATTTACCATAAGTTTTGCGAGCTTCTTTTTCAAACCATATTTCTATCCCCCATATGGCAAGTAACAATCTAATGTTTATTCCTACTTTTTTTAGTGAAAGTGAATTTACTTTGTTCTCAGTTTTTATCAATTTTTGTTGATGTATTTTTTTAAAGGTGATGAAAATGGTTATGACACTAAATGCTCCTGAAAAAGGACGGTAGATACATTTTTGTTTCTAGACAGTCGATTTATATTCTTAACGATGTAGTCATCAATATGTGAAAAAGAGTATTTTATACTGTATAGGTTCACAGTTTTTGCTAGGGTTTTCAAGATCAAATACTGTTATCAAAGACTGATTTTAAGGAAAAGGATTTGGATAAAGACTGTCACAAGAGTTTGATATGAAAGGAAAGAATTTAATTCAGAAATGTGTGCTTCTTCAATTTTGTCTGTCTGTTTTTTTCTTAATTTTGCCTTGTATTCTAAATCATTTTTTGCATCTGCCAGTTGGACAATAAAACGAGAAAATACTTACTTGAAATCCTTCTCTATCTAGCGTACATTTTATCAAATGCCCGGGGGCAGTCCTAGATCCAGGAATGGTAGTTGCAAGGCTTGAGCTGGATGCTCCAAGTATGGTCAAACAGGTTCGTATTTAAAACACGATCCCATTATTATTATGATGTCATTATCTTTAGATTTCTCCGCCCTATTTGTATTTGTATTCGTTTCTACCTAGCATATGAAAGTTGTTTTTAGGACATTGAGAAGCTGCGCTTATCGAGCAGTGTCGTGGTCCTTCCTCTCGATGTGACCACACCTCGCGATTCCTACGGATCTAAACTCCGCGACCTTAACCGCTGAGCCATCCTCGCAGCCTTCCATTTGATTGTTGTACGGCAAACTGATCTTGTCAAAGCTGTTGAGATAATCTCCTTATGGCCGGTTTCCATTTGATTCGCTCTTGTCGCACGAATTTGGTGAAAGCGAATCAACAAATCAGCGAAGCGGCGAACGCGACCAATCACTCAGTAGTTCGACCCAGTTGAACTACTCAGCGAATGGTCGTGCATTCGCAGCTAATGAGAAATTAATAATTTATTAGAAGATAATAATTTGCGCATGTTCCAGTGTGCATTCACTCAGTCACGCAACCAGAGAGAATCAAATGGAAATCCGCCTGAACATACTCTAACCTCCGTTCAAAGTTAGGGCTTATTTAAAGGGGGAAGTGTGTTTGGATTTTTTATTATTAAATTTGTGTGCCATATCTGAGGCCTAATTTTGGCAATTACATAACGCAAAATGACTTTTTCAATACCTATTTTTAATGTGTTTTCATTGATATTCTAATGTTACAAAATATTTTACTTTCTTTAGGATTTATGACTGTTGAGATGATTTAACCTTTGTAGGCACAACTGTTTCTTGGAAAATTCTCACTTCCGCAAGGACCCAAAATCAAAGGAGACAAGCTTCATCAGGTAAAGCGAGTGAAGTTTAAAGTCTTTTTGGTGCTATAATAGACCATCTCGGAGTTAGTGACAGCCGTTATCGTGGGTTCGAGTTATCGGGGATTCGAGTTACCGGGGGTTATTGTAATAGGAAAAGTTAAGTTACACTTTTCTTTACATTGTATTTTTTTCATCTTTACTTTGTTGCCATCCTTTTTGGTAATGATTGAGTTCAAAAGAGATGTTTTGGTATGTGTTGTGCCTTTTGATTACAAATTATGACTCATATTTCTTATTTCCTGTCATGTACCCCCTTTTCGATAGTGCCATATTTTCGCTACTTCCCTTTGAAATGATCAAATAAAGAATGAATTTGTTTTCACATCATTTCTATTTTTTATGTTGTTTAGAGCTTTAGAGCAAATCTCGGTTGTTTTGTAACTGGCAGCTTTTTTCTCCTAGCTTTGTCTCAATGCTAAAGAAAATTTGGCAAATATGATGTGGGGCTATGTGCTCCAGGATCCGTATTTTGAAGAGAAGGTAATACCTTTATACCAGCAAAATTTTTCATTTTAGTAATAGTGGAAGAGTAGAAGCCATTATCAAAGAACGTTCCAGAAAAGTAATTTGTTAACCGAGACATGATTTTCAATTCACAAGGTCCTGAAATAGCTTTCCACTTTATTATTCTCATGTTAATATTCGAATCATGAAACATTTAATTGCCTACCAAAGGTGAATTGGATGTTTAAACGTTTATTTTATTTTTGGGAAAAATGTTAAGAATTGACGTAGTGGCCGCTGCCACCATAAATGGGGTTGGGGTTTTACTTCAGCCCACAGATGAGGGTTTGCGTCAGGGACATCGGAACCTAGGGGCATCAAGGTCATATGCCCCTTCAACTTTTAGAAAAACTCTTAGACATGCTCCTTTCAAACTTTTAGGAAAATGTCCGTATTTCTGAGAGTTAGTGATCCTTCCTGTTAATGCGTCTCCAAATTTGAGATGTTTCTCATCTTCCTGGTATACATCACCAAAAACCACAACTCTAAAAATGTTTCTGCCGCTTTAAAAGGGCCTGTACAGTTTAGCGAAATTACTAGCGCATTAAAAACCTTCCACAAAATCTGAAGAATGAATATGATGGAAAAAGTTACAGGGCCTTGAAATATATGTGTTACATCTTTATAATGTGTTTGTCTTGTCTCTGGAGAAATCCTGTATCTGTATGGTGCCTTGAATGAAGTTTCTTGCTTTAAATTTTAGATGATAGAGAATTTGAAGACCCTTAACAGCACTCTGAGAAGTCATTCGCTACCCTTGCTTGAGATGCAGGTACGTGTTCGATTCTTGTTGCGCTCTTCTAAGATCCATGGCTGTCAATCAATAAATACAGTGTACGAGAACTATAAGACCACTTTTGCCATTTGAAATTTTGCCTGCGACCATCAAAGCAGAAGCGTTTTTTTACAGCAAACAGTCTCAAATTCAGCATTTCGCTGCATTGAGTTTTCGTTGCTTTTTTGATTCTAGATTTCCAGAAACTGAATTTATTTGTATTTCGAGTTTATATTAAGTGATAGCTATATTTAGTATTTGGTCCTTAGTTCGATAGCCCTTTTTGGAGTTTTTTCTAAGGGTCCTAAACAACGAGAAAAAATAATATATACAATAATATACAATAATATAAAGTATTGTATTACTGTTTTTGTATAAGAAATTATTTTTATTAGTTAAAATTTAGAATTTTTAATCTAATTTCTTCAGATATATGTATTTAAACTTTAACTTGTATTTCCTGTTGTTTGAAATGGAAAGATGAATTTGAATTTGGCTTTCGCCAAAATAAGTGCAATTCCGTCTTTTTTGCATCGATATGTATAAGTTTGTAAATTCAAAACAGTAGCATAGAATAAGCATGGTTCTGGAAATATTCACTTGCCATAGTCCTCAAGTAGCTCTACTATGAAAAACTGACTGCTGAAAAAGATCCACCGTTTGAAACTTGTTGTTGTAAATAGTTGTATTTTGTTACAGGACGCCCTTGCGTCGGTGTCTGGCCGAATTCCAGCAAGAGTTGAGGATAGAATAAAAACACAGCTTCTTCAGTACTCCAGCAACATCACAGCTATCTTGAACACGTTTCCAAGCCAGCAGGTAACCTTCGTTGCCAGTTATTCTCATGCTTGAAGTAGTAAGTTAGTTTCAAGATAGCAAGATTATTTCACCAGCTGAATAGCAGAAAGCAAAGGGTAAACCTTCATTGATGGTTAGAGTTGTTTAAATCAGTTCGACATTTTAGAACAAATTCTGTAAAGTTCCGTATTTCAAGAAGAACAAAACAAATGTTTAAAGTAATAATATATAAAGTGTAAGAAGTAAGAATCGCAGGATAGGCTGTCCGCCGGATTCTGTGAATCTTGCAATTAATACGAAGATAAAATTCAGGAACCAAGCAAGACATCGGCGAGAATCCAATGAAAGAAATTTTCAAAATAAATTAAATGACTCGAATACGTTTTATTTAATTTAATTTGAAAATTTCTTTCATTGAATTTTCGTCGCTGTTTTTCTTTGTTCCTGAATTTAATTCAATAATAGTTACCCATCTTTATATCTTATGGCCTTGATGTATGTCTCAAAATTTTAGTCATTTAATGTTAATTGTAAGAATACGAAGTGTAGTGAAAACATGACATTTTGGTAGATCCACAAGCTTCATTACTATCTCCCTTTCTTCTTTTTGTCTCCCTCCCTTCATAGCTTCTCCCTCCCCTCCTTGTGAGCGCTTTTTTAAAGGCCTCCTCAACATTATTTATTTTTTGGACCAAATTTCATCACTTTACAATTGAAGTATATTGTTTGACCAATTAAAATACTTTCTTAGTTGAATTTTCTATTTTTCATTTTTGTTAGATTACAAATATTATTGACTCCCATGCCGCTACACTTTCAACAAGAGAAGAAAAAGATAAATTTTTCGAAAACACGCAAGGGATTAGAGATATCGTTCAAAGGTATGCTAATTACCTTCTCGTGGGATATTAATCATTTATTTTAATTGCTGGATGGATCCAGAGGTGCACTCTGTCTGTATTCCTGTCCCAATGGGTTTGATTATTTCTTGAATTCATACATTTTTCATACATTAACTGTATGATATATCTTTAAGGGCTCTGTCCTTTCTGTACCAGTCATGATACATTGTATAAAGCAAAGGAAAATTTTTAGCGTCTTTAGAAAAAATTTTTATTAACAAATTTGTAAAATTTGAGATGTATTGTCTCTTCACATTCCCGAAGAAAGAGTTGATAAAGATGACTAAAGGGCGACAGAATGTAGAGCCGAATTGTATTGTCAAAGTTTAAGTTTAGATCAGCTTATATCTTTATGTCAGAAAGCATTCAGAATGTTTTTTTGAAAAGAGAAGATAATGAGTTAACTTGTCGATCATTTATTAATAGGAGCCTACCGCAAACCCTGTTTCAGGTGTCCGTACACGAGTAGAGGCTGTACAGCCCGACCCCCTGTCAAAATGATGTAGGCAAATAGTAGGAATATAGGCGAGAAATAGTCTACGGGGGTGGTGTCATCGCCCCCGAAATATCAAAATCTCCCCTGGCTCTTAAGATTAATCCTTGTTTGTGGAAGGGGGTATAATCCTCTGCCCACTTGGATCCTTCACCAGCGGAGTTATATAATAAGGCCGTATGCGCTGAACTTCTTTTTTCTCTCTATGTAACAGGTATCGAAATGGCCTCAAAGGGCACAGAAAGGCCGTTATTTTAGGCCTTATACGGCAATACTTACTGGTCGAGAACCAATTTAATCAAGGTTTGTTTCCGATCTCCTTTGCAAGAATTAATACTTAGCTTTAAGGAAACATTGAGTTAAACTCTCATTAATAACATTTATTCATCATATTCTTCCAATAATATGTAATCCCAATGTTAAAAAAGTACCTGTCCAATTTCTAGAAGAACAGAACCCTGAAGGGCCGGCTTGCAGCTATCTGTTCTTGTCGAGGGTTGGGTTGGGCGGAAAACTATATGGAAAATAAACGAAATATTTTTAAGTTCATCATTGCAGTTAGCATTGCAGCTTCTGTTAGTCATTGCATTTTTCCGGAGCCATAACTTTTTATAGCAAAAACTTAATTTAATTATTAGAAATTGAAATATATTATACCTTAGTAGCTTTCATGTATTGTCATTTCTGGTTTAGGTTCAAGAGGTCCTAAGTATGAGGGCTGTATGGGTGTCACAGCCCCTCCCCCTTTAAAGATGTGTAGAACAGAATGACGAATGGTAGCCTTTCCTGATACCTGTTTTTCCATTGTTCTTGGTTTGCTACGCATTTTAACAGCAACATTGATTCCGGAACCCCATTTTCTTAAAGCAATCGTCGCGTATTAGGTGACGCCGGCCCACAAATATTTATCAATAGGATACACAAGATATACTATCCAATTCTTGTTGATGTATCCACATGTATACATCTTTATATATTTTCATTGCCTGTTGTTTTCAGGCAATTATGACAAGTGTGTGTCATCTATGATGTCATCACTAAAGAATGACGACAAGTCTTCAGTTGTACAAAGCATTCTTTCCCATGCTGCTGTAACGAAGAAAAATATGATCGTTGTTCATCTCATCGTAAGTTTTTTTCTTCAGCACCCTTCATATATATACACATCTGATTCCTTTTCTTTTGATATTGCCCCGTTTCACGAGAGTGGGTCCGGTCCGGACCGGGTACGGATTGACCTAGTGTTTGCAAAGAAACTGGCGGATCCTTATCCTTTCAGATCCACTGTCTGAACACTCTATGGTCGCCTTCAGAAGCGACCAGTATGGATCAGATCTGGACCGGATTCTGTGTAAATGGTTAGGTCGGATCACCTAATGCAATATTGATCCAGTTCGCCTTCTATCGTGCTATTGCTTGTTTTCAAAATCACGGAATCATTTCCTTAACCCTTTAGCGTTGTATATTCATATGTTTTTACGAAAATTTTCTATATAAATAAATCTGCTAAAGGAAACCTTGAAACTGCTCTTAGGAGGTAGTTTAGGTAATAAACTGTATGGATGGTGTAGATATTTTGAGAGCACGGTAGACAGATTGGCAGTACTGTAATTTTTTGGAATGACGAGAAAGCAGAAGTTGTATTCAAAAGCCAAAAGACATGTTCGAGATTTAAGTTAAACTTAAGGAGACATGCCAATGTTTACTGGGCTATTCCTATTACTTTATTGCTATTTTATAACAGGACTGTTTGTGTGGAAGAGAAACTGGATTATCTGAAGATTTGAAGCTGCTTCTTGAGGACCTTACTTTGCTTAATCGACAAGAACATGCCAAAGTCACCCTTAAAGCGAGACAGGTAAATTTGTTTCCTCTCTGTAATTAGGAAAAGGTTTCACTTCTTTCTTGGGGCGTGTTCATATGGATTTTTCCTGGCATTTTCCTGGTGAAGTGGGAATTCCGTTAAGCCGAGATCCCGCCACATATAGCTTTGCTAGACAAATTAGCACGAGCGTTCACATGAGAAAAAATTTTCCCGGCTAGCCGAGGTCTCGCTTGAGCACTGCCTGGATCCCGCCTAGGCGAGGAAGTATTATTCCATATGAACAGGTTTTCCCGGCAAAGCGGGGAAATAGATTCCATTTGCACATACACAGTCCTCGAAACAATCCATACTTATTCAGAATGGCTTGATAAAGTTATCTTGGCAAGGCGGGAAAACGTCTGTATATGAAAGGTTGATAATTATTTCCCCTGCTAGCCGAGATTCCCGCTTCAACGGAAGAGGCCGGGGAAACTTTCTCCATATGAACAGTCTCTTAGTCCACTAATTGCTCATTTCGAACATTTTCACTGTGAACAGCTGCAGCTAATGATATGGTTTAGCAAATCGCAAGTGCTTGTCAAGTTAACCAGACATTGTCTAGACATTGTATAGACATGCCAAACAAGCTTTTCCATCGCCAGCTTTTCCAAGCCTTCTCGTTACTGTGGGAAAACCTATCGAATATACTGCATGATTAGTCCACTTGAAGATTAGGTTTTAACTTAAAAGATAGGTTCCCTGAATCATTCATTTACACACCATAGAGCCGTTGCTTCGCAAAATAATGAAAGTTTTTTAGAGTTTATAGAACAATAATTTTAATGCGTGTGGCACCATTTGAAATGCACCAAAGGGATAAGTATTATGGCAAAAATTGTTTGTATACGTTTTTACCATTCATATTTTCTCTATGTATATATTTAAGTGGTACATTGTTAGTAGTATTATGATACTGTGTAATATTATGCGATACGATACTGTGTAATATTATGCAATATCATGTACAACTTGTAGATGTTTATAATGCACTGTCATCATTCTAGACGATATCAACTTATAGACTCTCGCTCCTCTTAGCAGTATTATGATACTGTGTAATATTATGTGATATCATGTACAATCTATGTATTTTTTTATAATACAATTTAATCATTCTAGGTGATATCATTCGATATACTTTGCTTTTCTTAGTTGTATTTTGATACCGTGTAATGTGTTGTAATATCACATACACCGTATATTTTTCTGATGCACTGTAGTCAATATAGGCGATATCGTCTCAGGGACGGCGGAGCATAATTTGGAGTAAGGGGGGTGGGGGTGGCTCTAGACAAATTGACAAACTTTTATAGTAGTTTTCCCCTATTATATTTGATGCCATTACCTGGATATCATTGTCCAGCAGAAAAGTGAGGGGAATTCAGCTCCCAAGCCCCCCCCCCTATCCGCCGTGCCTGCGTCTCATAGACTCTTGCTCTTTGTCCCCTTATTAGGTCCTCATACAGAGCCACAAACCGTCATTCGAGGTACGTCACAACCAGTACGAGAAGATCTTCTTGTCAGCTATTGATCTGTACGAAATGCAATTCAACCCGGAGAATTTGCAGGTAAGGATGTCGGCATTTGACTGGTAAACAGTCATTACATTTAACATATATTAATGTTGACTTTTTCATTGATTTGTGAAGAATAAGTCTTGTACTCTACTCTGGTGCCCTGCAATGTCTTTCGTCTTTTTTAAAAATTTTTCTCGTATGCAATTATTTTGGTAAATGTAGATAAAACTTCTTAACTCCTTATAATTCACCACAATTTGAAACTATTGTAGTCAAACTAGTAACTGGGCTGGTTGCACCCCAACTTAACACTTAATTTTTCAAAACAAAGACACCGTGCAAACAAGCCACGCTACCTAATACTGTTGTGGAATCGAGTTTCACACTTTTTAAACATCAAAGCTCTTTACATTGAAGCGATTAATGTTGTTTATATCTTTTATTGTTTAAATAGGAAAATTTTTCAAGATTTTTACATCTAGAATTTTAAGACTGATACTTTCAGTGTATATATTCTAAATTTTGTCCAAGCAAAGAGCTTTGTTTCTGAAAATAGCAGCTACACATGAAAACAACAGCCTCTGTATGTTTCAATACTAGCATTAATGAATTTGACATTTTGTACCAAAAAAGATTATACAAAAGGTTGCTGAAATTCGCTTTGTAATATCTATTTATTTTTCCATTCTCACGATGTAACAATCACGCCCATTTTTTCCTAGAACATCATTCTATCTGAAACTGCCGTATTCGATGTTCTTCCAAGTTTTTTCTTTCATCGAAACGATTTGATCAGAATGGCTGCGCATGAGGTAGGTGATCCTCTCGTTATTAGTCGTTCCCACGCCGTCAATTTGCAAAATAGATAGGAAGATCTGTTTTTGTAAATGATTCCACGTCACCACGCACAGACAGAGGAGATTTCCAATGGACATTGAAGTGGTCAATTTAACCGTGTCAGTGCAACAGCTGACAGTGAGAATATATCACCAAAGCAATTATTACGCCCTCGGTCAGAGACCATAACATTGATCGAAAACATTCAAAAATACTAGATGAAGACAAAAATTAACGATTCTTTGAAATCTTTAACAATTTGATTATGGTCCTGTGAACCTTTTTGAAAGGGTTGAAAACTTATTTCTTTGCTAGTGTTGCTAATTTTTGATCACTTTTTATTATCTCTCACTATTTAGCTAAAGGAACAGTATATAAATCGTTTCTTTGCCATTCTTCTACTGCTAAATGCAACTTCTTAGAGATCTTTTTTACGCATGGTAAAGCTCACTTAACCCCCTTTTCTTTTGTAAGGAATCGCAATTTTTACAAAAAGTGGTTACTCGATTTTACATGAGTTTTTTATAAGTCTGATGCTTTACATTGAATATATTGTCTTGTTTGTTTATTTAGGTATTGTTCTTTGACTTAGATTGGTTTTGGCAATCTGTGTATGCTTAACAGTTTTGCATAAGCAGAAATTATCACCGTATGGGGTTTGAACGAACACATTTCAAGGTTTTCTGCAGATACAGAGCCAAGGGCCTATTGCCACTAGATGCATGCTCAAGACATTCGTAATGTTGTCGAAAAATTTATTGTAGGTTTATATTCGAAGAAGCTACCAGGCATACGAACTGACGTCATGTTCTCACAATCAGGTTTGTTTCTATTAAGGTCATATTATTTCTATTAAGGTCATAGCATCTGTTTTGATTTCCCGAATTTCTTCCTCGTGTTTCTTGATATGATACTGCAATAAAACTCTTCTTATGATTTGATGTTATACCCAGCTTCTCCCCTTCGTATATTTGCAGAATATGAAACCCTGTTTCACGACAAGCCGAGTCATTAAAAAATACAAATTATTTCTACACGAGACAGCTCACGGTTGAAAGGTGGCTAATTAGGAACATATGCTGCTTTCCCCCTAGACTATTAGCTCGTTTGTGTTGTTTTGTAGATTCAGAGCCTCTTCAAAATATGCATTTAGTGACAGGCTACTCTCCTTAGATATAAGTCGAACCAAGTCCGTTTTTGCTGTTTTTTTCGTCTGCTACCGATGTTATTACTATTCTCTGCAGTGCTGAGGAGAGGGGGGGGGTCAGGGGGGTCACTGACCCGGGGGCCCATGACTTTAGGGGCCCATAGATGAAAGGGTCAATTATGGAGCTATAGTAAAGTTTTTTCGGAAATTTCAGTTCCTTTGGACAATTTTAACGATATTTCAGCTGATGCAACACTAGCAGGCAAAGTCAGAAACAACCTTAATGCAATGAAAACATTGGGAAAGAAACGTTTTAAATTCAAATGCTTAAGCTTGTTCAACAGCTGCATTGGTTGATGCTTCTTAGAAAAAGTGACTCCTCAGTGATGTTAGGAGATATGTCATCCTTTTTTGCTGCGCAGAATTTCGCTCTTTTTTGCTAGGTCTTCTTCTTTCAATCTTGTGTATAATCGAATAATACTGAACCTCTCCCATATCTCGCCAATTGACACGAATTACCCAATTATCTTTGCTGTAACACTATCAATAATAACAATGCCAACATTTATCTTGAATTTTACCAAAGGCCTTTTCCTGTTTTTTCACTTCAAGATAGAGATAAACTCGACTGATTTCCCTTGATCTTCAAATTTTTGGAACATCTAGCCCCTCGTCTAAACGAGCTTCTTCCAAGATCGAATCAACTAGTTTTTTATTAACATGGAAAGGTTGCACTCTGATTGCTAGGTGCGAAGTTTTTCAAATTATTTGAACAGTGAAAATCTATTTGGTGTAGCATGTCCGTTTTGATCAAATTTAGTATTTAAACACGTTTCACTTGTAATATTTTTAAAACAATCACTAGCTATACACCAATCCATATTTTAACATAAATTTAGTCCTTTTGCATTTTCAAATGTAAAGAATTGCATATTTTATGCATGCATTATGACAATAGTATGCCAGTAATATCTAAACTATATTGAAAAGACTAGAGAATTAATAGCCACCATCACAATTCCAGCAACCAAAATAGCCGAAATTTTAGCAATATTAGCAATATCAAAAATTTCCTCTGGACCCCTTAAAACAGTCGCCTTCGGTGTGCCTTGCTTTTTTCTTTCATTTTGACCCGGGGCCCAGAAATCCTCTCCGCGGCCCTGATTCTCTGGTTGCTTTCTTTTAAATCTCTCTACTTCTTCGTGTTTCTGTAAGCACTTTTTAAACTGTTCATGATATTCAGTACTCGTCAAAAGCTGTTGTCATTCGTTATTTAGGATATGTACAAACGAATTCAAGCTTCAAAATGCTCCATTATAACGTTTTGCTAGCATTTTTTAAGATTGTTTTCACTTTTCTTAGATTGGGGATATAAACTGCATATTGTTCCAGTTCCGACTCCCAATTACCCACCCAAACAGGTATGGGTGTTCTCTATTGTTTTATTTTAAAATCCTTGTATAAAGCTGCGTGAAAGAACAGATATATATACTCGTTTTTGTATTATATTGGCGAAGTAATATGTAGGTGTGGGCCTATGTTCAACAGTTGGTTTGACATTTGAAACTCTTTATTTACGTTGTGGTAAAACTTAACATATGAGTGGTAGTTGCCTAAAAATCATTCTTTTTTGCTACACTATAATAGAGAGAACTTCAAATTCTCCAGCATCGATTAATAGGAACTCCTCTATCAATCGAAGCCCAAGTAATGCTAGATATTGACTCGACTCTCGGGATGTGCACCTTGACCTTTTGGCATGAAATTTAACCTTTAATGTTAACTTTAACCTTCCTTGGTTTTTTAATCTTTCTTATTCTGCGTTCAAGACCTAAAATTAGACGATGAAATATTAAAGATTCTTTTATGTACATTTTTTTTACCGAAATATGAATTGAGGTTTTGATATTTGACATGAGGTTTGTTTCTCTGCAGAATGGAACAGCAACGTAGAAATTCGCCATCAACCGAGAAGCTGAAGAGCATGTCCATGACAAGGGTAAGTAATTATTATAGATAAACTGACCTTTGGCTTTTCATCCACGATCAACGTTTGTTGAGAACAACGTTTCCAGATCCTGCATTTGTAAGATATAATATTTGACTGATATAATGCACTACAATAAATTGTATGGACATTCATTTTAAAAAGCTTTATATCAATTATAAAGCAAATCAACGTAAAGAATCAATGGAATTCCCCTGTAAGATATTAAAAATGAACGTAATCATCATTGTAGATCCTACTTCATTCAATAGGCAATTTAACTGCTGAGATGCTGTTCTTTAGATTCTTATCATTATGAAATCCAACAAGACGAGTAACCGTTCCCTGTATTCATTTTGATGTACAGGTTCGCAGTCTCAGTGAGGAGCTTAACGAACTTATTCATAGAGACTGTACCAATCCTGATTTCCAAAGGATGGGAGCAATGGCTGCATTTTCATCAGTGGAAGAGTTTCTGACGTAAGTAGTCAGTGTTTAGATCGCCTTATCATTATTACCATTATAACATGGTCACCATAATTCATCAGCATTATATTAATCAACGACCATTATCGTCATCATTACTAATAACCATGACCATTAATCACCAATCACTATAATCATCAATCACCAATCAACAATCACTATGATCATCAATCACAAATCAGTATGATCACTATTCAGTAAGCTATATGATCACCAATGAACAATCACTGTGATCATCAATCATCGTTGATGAAATCGCTATTGATGATTTGCCATTAGAGCCTGCATAGAGGACTCAAGTGATAACATCGCAAAAACGTATCATTAAGTTTTTTATTTTGAATCCCATAACCTGAAGGGGAATATGAAATTCCTCTAAATTTGCGAAATCAAGTAAATCTGTTACGAATCGGTGAGATATTGGCACATTTATGAACAGAGACAAAGTATCAGTAATCCGCAAGCAAACTTCAAATCTTCATACGCCATTACTCGCCCGATTTGTGAAATATTCAACCAATTTTGCATACTTAAAAGTATTTTGTAGTATTCTTTAATTTACGTGGTCAATGTTGTTACGAGGGATAGATCTTTTATGATGTTACATTTAAGCAATCTTTTACTAACTTTTGTTTACGACCATTGACTGCAATTATGTTTCTGTGTTGAACTCTATATATCCTTTTATTTGGCAGGCACTTTGACCTTCTTGTGAACCAGTTCCAACACAGTGCAAAGCAGAGCCCAAGGTCCTCATTTTCATCAGCTGGCTCTGGTGGCTCACTTCTTGGCACCGTTAAAGAAAACTCCAGCACCGTATGTTTTAATTCGTTTAAACTTGATTTGATTTCTTTTGTCCATTTATGTTTTAACGTTAACCACTATATCTTACATAGTCTTTTCTGTCCTATGTATCACATTCCGAGTTACATGTGCATATCATAGCATCCATTTTCTTCGCTGGTTTCAGTTTTGGGGGGTAAATCTGCAAAGGCAGTATACCTAAAAGGTGACATTAAAAACTTCAGGGCTAAGTACTCAAAGAAACAGCCAGGAAAATATATTTTTCTGGCCAATTTTTTCGTTTGAATTGACAGCATCTTAGGATGAATTAGGTTATATGATGTCTTTTAATGAATGCGCCTCTTTCTATTTTGTGAATCCATATTGTCCAAATCGTTTCCGGATTATCTTATAGAAGGCTGATCAGAATTACCTAATAGAATTCATGTTAAAAAAGTTATAAAAGCTTAAAGTTAAGTTTTGATATTCCTGTTCTTGAAGTAAATTGAACTCTAAATTTGGAACTTTGTTCGAAAAAGGCAGTTATCATTGTTCTGTTGGCTGTCTAATCATTGTTGCGATAATGTAATTTGATTCTCAGCATAAATTAAATGTCCGTTCTTATTTCTCGTTCTTTAGGACTCTTTTGACAAAGCAGAAGATCCAATTCACGTGGTAAACGTCTGTATCAAATTCAGTGATATCTCACTTGCAAACCAAGAGAAACAGAGAGATAAATTTGCCGAAATTCTGCAGACACGGGTGAGATACGCCTAGCCGTTGATTTCTTTTAAAGAAACTACTTTGAACTTAAGGAATCGCTGTATAGTTAAGGTACCACTTTAGAATTAAGTTGTAACAGTAAAACCTCCAATAGTGGAGAACTTTGGGACCAAAGTTAATGTGCTTCGTTTTAAGGTGTCTGTTATTTAGAAGTGTCTGCTGTTTTGAAGTGTCATTTAATGGAGTTTATTGTATTCAATGTGCTGCTCTGCTTACTTCATCAATTTAAATTTTTCCCTTGAAGCACGCATGGTCTAATTCATTTTCTTGGGATTTGCTTTGCGGAAAGATAAAAATTTACACCCCTAAAGAGTTCAAATAATAAGAACGCTATTTGAATTTTGAATTTTCACCACATCTGCTATGAGTGTAAGTGTACCGTGTCTCAGTGTAAATGAAAGTTTAACGTGTTTGCATATAAATAAGGGGACCATCCTTACACTCTTTACGAGTGGGTATCATTTTTCAAACACTTAAAGCATAATTAAAGACGTCCTTTAGAGAAAGCTATTTTAGCGATAAGTCTTCGATGCCGTTTTGTTTGCTCCCATAGAGTGAAATCCTCAAAAAACACGGAGTTCGTCGATTCACGATTTCACTAACAGATTGCAAGGTAACAATTTCATTCTAATTTCAAATTAAAACCTTTCGTTGTTGAAAATAATTATGCTTAAAAATATTTCTATTTGCCTGTTTGATTTGGTTTGTTTGTTATAATATATGAACTGTTGTAATTAACAAATACAAGTTTCTTGAAGCTCTCTATGTGGCTCCTCTAAGAGGTTTTGGTCTATTCAATTATGGAAAATATTTTCTGATATTTCTGTTTTTGAACATAAAATATTGTAATTGCTAGTGAACATTCGTTTCATCGCAGGGTACCTTTCCTTTGGTATTCACATACCGGGCAAGGACAAACGTATGTATCCTACTGTTTTAAAATTATGTTTATTTTCTTTTTGTTTTGTACCTATTTACGATATATTTTATCGTTATTGAATATTTACCTGATCAGCCCGATAATCAATAGCTAAGAGATCTTTTTATTGCCTTCAGCTTTGTCTCTCCATTATTAGCAGTAGCTAGAACCTTCAAATCTAAATATGAATTAAACTGAATTATCTCGCATGTCAAAGACAGCTCTCTTGCTCCCTTGCTTCCTTGCTCGTTTGTTGTCTGCCTTCTTGCGCCCTTCCTCTCTTTCTCCCTTATTCCCTTGCTCATTTGCTCCTTTGCTCCATTACCCCTTACTTCCTTACCCCCTTGCTCCATTACCCCTTGCCCCATTACCCCTTGCTCCATTACCCTTTTCTCCAATACCCTCTTGCTCCATTACCCCTTACTTCCTTACCCCCTTGCTCCATTACCCTTTGCCCCATTACCCCTTTTTCCAATACCCCCTTGCTCCATCACCCCTTGCTTCCTTACCCCCTTGCTCCATTACCCCTTGCTCCATTACCCCTTGCTCCAGTACCCCCTTGCTTCCTTACCCCCTTGCTCCATTACCCCCTTGCTTCCTTACCCCCTTGCTCCATTACCCCCTTGCTCCATTACTCCCTTGCTCCATTACTCACTTGCCCCATTACCCCCTTGCTCCCTTGCTTCATGTTTATGTTTTGCTTGCGCCCACAGTTCACTGAAGACTCGATCTACCGCAACCTGGAGCCTGCGCTAGCATTCCAACTTGAGCTCAGTCGCCTACGCCAGTTTGACTTGACGCAGATACCAACCGCTAACAATAATCTCCACGTCTATTTTGGTGCAGCGAAAAAGGTACTGTGTTTATACCAGAAAGCAATTAGAGAGTGCGCCTCTTTCAGCCCTTGAATCTTTACTGAAGCATCTATATGTTTCAATGCTCGTAATTGTCCAGCAACAAATGAAAGCTATACATAAATTAATCTAAAGCAAGATGAATTTATTTCTGTACAATTTTGAAGGAAGAGTGAAGACTCGTTTTGAATAAATCACCTTAAGGTGGTTCAAAACAGTATGAACGCTCGGGGTTATGTTATTATTACTATGCTTTTCGGAGTTCCTAGAATCCTACAAGGATAATGTTTGCAAATGCAAAAGGACTGAATTTATGTTAAAATATGGATTGGTGTATAGCTAGTGATTGTTTAAAAAATCCAATTATAAGGTAACCCATACTAATTGTGCAATACAAAAAATTAAGATGTTTTTATCAGCAATCTAATAAAAACCGATAGCAATAGTTTTTATCACGTATTTTGTAATTGGATCTAGCCTCGTTTGTTTCCAGGTTACAGATAAACAAGAGGTTACCGATCATCGCTTCTTCATTCGCGCCATCGTGAGGCACTCTGATCTGGTCACGCAGGTACAGCTTTGTGCTATTGTTTATGTCATTTCGCCCAACACCAGATAGAGAATTGGTTCACAAAGATTCGGATGAATAGAAACCGTGCCTCATTGGCTGAATTTTGCCCAATCAGTGCTCTCAGTCTGACGTAGGATAACTGTTGATATGGCGGATCAAAACTTTTGGTAGGATTTAAAAGGAATGATTAAGCAAGAAAGCTTCATTTCTAAGGTTAAATTGCTTGTTTATTGGATAATACATCAGTTTTGAGAAATTAAGTAGAATTTATTTTTTTGATAATTTACAAAAGGACAGCGAAAGAAAATAAGTGATTAGGCAATTTGAAGAAAATTATTTCAAAAAATATTTGGAAACCTTTACTTCTTTGAACAGTCGAAGATATTGTTTAAAACTTATTTGTGACCAAAAAGGTAAAGCTTTTAGGAATCTTAGGAACCGGAGCGGTTATATCTGGCAAGTTAGAGCAAAAAGCTTGATCATGAATTCACACGTTCTGCGAATTTTTCAAAGGGGTAAGCTGAAATCCAGTATGTAGATGTATGCAAGCGTTCTCAGGGAACTGACATTGACAGCCGCATGGAAATGGTTTTCCTGTTCTTCTTTATATTCTGCTTCTATTCCAAGTCTGCCTTTATTCGAATACTCTTTAGCTTATAGTTTCGGAATTACGCCTCTATAACTGTATGGATATCTTATTCATTTCCGAAAATATTTGTTACCTATTCTTAACTCTTCATTAGACAATCACCAACTACAAAATTGTAAGAGAATGGTGTCCAAGAGGAGCCTCGGCTCTTTGTAATATTGTAACTCTTGCTCTTGTCTACCATCAAGTCTTTGTGACGTATGTTATTACCAGTTTTATCAATTTTAGGAAGCATCGTTTGATTATCTTGAGAAAGCCAGTGAGATTACACTGCTGGAGGCTTTAGATGAGCTGGAATTGGCTGTCAGCCAAGTGGTAAGCAATTTTAAGAGAAGATCTACGGATAAATCGGGCAATTGTCAGATCTTTGAATAGGCAATCATTCATAAAGAACTCTTCTTAGTAGTATCTACAATCATTGCCATTGGTGTTGGAACACTAACGCCAATTTTCAGCCATGCTTCTAAGAACAATGTTGGCTTAACAGCGTAAGAAGATTATAGAGTTCGTTTTACAATGTGACTTTTAGGGTATTTTTCTAAGCTATAAACATTGTTTTAGAGAAAATGTAGTAGAATTTGGAAATAGAAATGAAAATTAGAAAATCAAAACAAATTGATGGGTGTTCCAAGTAACTTTGACAGGCATTGTAGATACTTCATGTAATCATGAGCTTGGATAAGCTCAATTCCTATGCAAGTTTTTTTTAATCCAAAGTTATCTTTGCTAGGCCAGAATCCATTAATCCTTAATTGGCGCCAGGGCTCTTTGGTGTTCAGGCTTCTATCTCAAGGCATTTATCTGTTTAAAGCATGATTCTCATACCTTTTTCTAGCTATCCAAAAAATAAGCGTTGGCGTGATTCGTAATACTTTCTTCGTTAAACACTTCTGGCGTACATCTCAATAATTGCTTGATGTATTGCAACAAAACTTGAAAACATATTGCTTTGAAGACAGTACCGTTTTGCCTTAAAAGCATTCTTTCCAGCTATTTCAAGGTTATTTAGAAACTCAATTATTTAGAAATGATTTTATAATTAAGTCAATGAGAATTAAGTCAAAAACAAGCTCTTATTTTGAATATATAGTATATTAGTAATTTTTTTCAAATTAATCACTAAATTTATTAGTGTGTAGCTCACGAGAAGTCAATGCATAAGAATTTTTTGATAAATAGTGTGAAAAGAGAAGATATTAAGTACATTTAAGGAAGTTTTTCCTTTACTGCCCAACATACATTCGGGTTCTCAAGTAAACCTATGTTTTCTTTGACAGAAAAAAAGAACAGACGGGAATCATTTGTTCTTGAATTTCGTCCCCACAGTAATCATCGAACCGCACAAGGTCTGTATCAGCAGTCTTTTTCAACCCAATGCTTGTATATTGAATTCAGAAATGGCACACCTCGTTACTACATTTTGTTGTACACAGTAACATGAGTTTTTGGCCTATGCAATAATAATCGTATTTTTCATTAATCCCGCCTCTTTGTCATCCCGCCTCCTAATCATTCCTGCCTCCTTATCATTCCCGCCTCCTTTTCATTCCTGTCTCATTAGCATTCCTACAATCCTGGATAAAAGTTAGGAGACATTCGCTGTTATTTTCATTTATTGCAAAAACACCCAACCCCCTGCCCCCAATATCAATGTTGATGCTGATTTTTTGGGTTTTCTGGCTTCCACAATCAGCTGCCATTATCCACCACCAATATTGACATCGGGGGAGGGTCATACCACTTGTTTTAAAGGCAATTACTTAGAAAATCACTTAAAAAAGAAATGTCTCATAACCTTTTGTCCAGGATTGTATTATTCCTGCCTCATCGTCAATATTTCTTCTCGGGTAACGTTTGACTTTGCTCTGGAATGTCTGCATTTGAGTTCCTGAATTGTTTTAGACCTCATTAGGGATTAAGGGTTAAGAAATTAAGGCCGTTTTTAATTGGTGGTAACCATATTTGCCCTTTCTTTCCAGATCGAAAATAGTATAAGAACGATTGTACTTCGTCATAAAAACAGGCTGTGGAAACTTCGTCTGTTGCAATCTGAAATGCGAATGGTCATTAGGTAATCATTGTCTTTATTGATCGCAGTGATTCGTCAAATGATCGCTGCATGATCATGTTGATCAAATGTGAAAGATAGGTTTCGTATAGGATTCATGCCCTTTTACTTATTTGGTATCGTTTCTCTTGTGTGTATCTATTCATGTATGGGTACCTATTCCCTAATGGATATATAATTACTAATCGGTAACTATTCACGTATAGAGACCTATCCACCAGAATATTAAACATGATGGTACCCAATAACCTCCATCCCTGCCTTGAAGCGCTCTAACCACAGAGCCGCACTGCCTGTACATTTTGGAAGAAATTTTTGATTGGTCGGTTCAGATAACATGTTTGACAACAGTAGTCAATCAATCATAGGAGTGATCAAATGATTCAGCTGTTTAGAGAGTGAAATTGTGATTCAGTTGATGATTGACAAACTAATCAATCTTTGCTTATTGTATTTTCTTCCTTGCTTTTCTTCAATAGATTGACACCAGAAGGCACCCGGATCCCACTGAGATTGTTTCTTTCAAATGAATCCGGATACAATCTCGATATCCATATTTACAGGGAGGTTGAAGACCCAAGGACGAGACACGTAAGTTTAGACTTTGTTATAATTCATCTAAAACTTGTGGAGCTCAATACCAACCATTTAAATAAAAACAAAAAGCTTAGCCCTTTGAAGTTGAATATTTTCTCGAATCACTGCTCTATGCAGATTTGTAGGTTTTAAAGGGTAGGTGGGAGTTTTCTGATCAAAGTCAGATTCCGAAAACATCACGGATAATCAAAATTTTGACAAGATTTTTTATTTTTGTGGTTGAAGACAAATTTATTAAGACGAGATTGAAGACATTTTACCATCAGGATAACTGTGTTGTGCTCCGTTGGTTACAACGTTATTTTTCAGTAACCATTTTTCAATATGCCTTGTGAACAGTAATCAAATGCATTGTTATCATCCCCCTTTTGTTTTGGAAAGAAGGTTTCACAAGTATAAATATAGGAAAGTGTTATCAGTAATCATTTTCGTGTTCCTAATTGAAGTATAAGCTCAGTTTGGTATATTCTATCTTCATTACAACTTACTATCCGAAGGTGGTTCATTAGGACACTGATAAGCTGTGCTTATCGAGCAGTGCCCTGGTCTTTCCTCTGGATATGACAACACGATTACTACGCCTAGAATTACAGAACGCTGATGACTCTTCTCTCCCTAAGTGGAGGTTTTTTCATATAAGTGATTCGATCCCCAGACTCGTGGATCTTTAGTGTGGGACCCGGAATCCTGAGCCTTTCTCGCATTTTGGGCCATGTTCGATTTGTAGATTTAATTTTTGTTGGAAGATTACTTTGACATTTGTTGTCATTTTCTTTTCAGATTGTGTTCAATTCGTATGGCTCAAAGCAAGGACCCATGAATGGCCTACCAACAACAACACCTTACGTGACAAAAGACCATCTGCAGGTTTCTAAACTTTTCCAGCGTACACATTGCTTTCATTTATCCTAAGGAGTTTGTTTTCACCCTTAGACTCCACTGATAATTTCTCTATAGGCTAGCGGCACTGATTGGAGAACCACAACAGTCATTTGCTCGCGTTTTCTGATCGCCTTATTTCGATTCACAGCTGAATATAAAGATTTCCTAGCTGAAAATTTCTGATCATTTTTCTGACGTTTTTTCGCACTGAGGAGTGTCAAACGAAAAGTTTGTCTCAAGATGTTTGCTTTTTTAAAGCATTTTTTTAATTTTGTAGTTGAAGCGATATGATGCTCAGTCACGTGACACAACATATGTCTACGATTTCCCAGAATTGTTCAGACAGGCAAGTTCTATATATGTTGATAATTTATCATGCACAAAATTATTTGCGGGTTGCTTTTATTAGATTTGTACAGGGTAGTTTCAATGAAATAACTAAAGAACCAAGACATGAAAGATAGTTTCTCTGTATATAAGGCCAAGTTTTGCTTCTATATGTACTCCTTCCATGTGCTGCGGCAAAATAGGATTATTTTGCTTGTGTTCTAAAAATTGTTTGCCTTGCTTCTAATTTATACATGATGAAATAACAGTTGCTGAAACTGTAGCTGGCTAAGTATGAATTATGCTTGACTTTGTTGACTGAACTATCCGCCCCACATTCATTTAAAATGCATGTACAATGGCCTGGCATCACTACTTTGTACATTGTAAGACGGCTTTGTCGTAAGTGGTGGGTGGGAAGGGGGAGTGGGAAGAGAGTTGTCGAGGTCACTTAAAGTCATACAGTCCACAGCTTTGTATTTTGGTTAGTATTTCCCACCCCCTTAGAAGTGCAAAAATTTGGGATGAGTTTGATGTTTATAGTAATTTCATTTTCACTGTATTTTGGTGTGATGCTAATATAATTTGAACGAATTTAGAGCTGGTTCTTTGATTTTAGGTTGTCTATTAACTTTGATTATGTTAATTGTCAGTCTGGAAACTTTAAATCTGTAATGATCAACATTTTTTCAGTATTGAAGGATTTCTCAGTATTTTTTCAGTATTTCAGTATTGCTTTTGTGAAGATTTTTGCCTCCGAGAAATTCTATAAGAAACCCTTCGTTGTGGGTTATTTTCCTGTGGCTGTGAATGTTATTTGTTATGGCTCTTTCTATAGGCTGTGATAAAAGAGTGGAGGCAGTGGGCGACCAAGAACAAGGAAAAGTTCAATCCAAACCTTGAAGTTGTAAGTAAAGTTGTGTAGCATTGGTTTTAATAAAGTCCTATTATGTGCCCCATTTTTTAAATTTCACCTTGATTTTTCATTTTTTGGATGTAAGTGACGTTTTGCGTTGACGTCATTCCTTATTTATGATGTATGATTTTGCTGCAATCACTCTATCAAGGTCCCATTAATGTTTTGTAGATCAAAGCAACTGAGATGTTTATAGACGAAAACGACAAGCTTGCCACTATTAACAGACTGGCTGGGGAGAATGACGTAGGAATGGTGGCTTGGCAAATGACGCTTATGACACCAGAGTACCCGGATGGAAGAGACGTGATCGTGGTTGCGAATGACCTCACACACATGAGTGGATCTTTCACTCCTGCCGAAGACATGCTATATTATGTATGTGTTTATGTACGATTTGTTCACAGTACTTGCGATTCAATTCAGTTCATTGGCATTCATGCGCTGCATTCAATAACAAATTGGCAAATGAAAAAATCCAACATAACGTTTAGGACACATTGGTAACTCTCAGTCGTGTTGTTGAATTACCTGCCCCTTCATGAACGTAAGGGGTTGATAATGTTTTAAAGTATCAACCAAACTGAACTGAATGTAAAGCAGAAAACATTAAAAGCACTATGTCCTGTCAGTCAGCCGTTCAGAGTTAACTGTGCGTTGCGGTTATAATCAGGGAAACATTGAGAATTAGCCGATTGGATACGTAACAATAGGCCTATTGTGTAGTCCAACCAATGAAAATTTAAATGGCCAGCGGAATGCTGGGCAATGGACATATTGCCTTTACAGGTCAACGACAAACGATTAAAACGTCAAGACTTTTAAATATTTCAATAAAGTTTCATGATATTTTCGCTCATTCAGTAACAAATTACAGTTTTATTTCACGAGCAAAGATGCTTTACTACACTACTGAAACGATACCACAGGGAGTGAATAAATAACTTGCAGCCATTTTATTAAGTTTATAAATACGTAAAAACACTTCTTCTAATTTAAGCACGAAAACGGTTTTTAGTTGGGGTATGGGGTTGGTTTAATAACAAACTTTTTTATATGAAATTTGAATATTTGTTACCTAGGTTAAAAGGGTTATTTGAAAATTGCTAAATCAGATATCAAGATTTTTCGAAGGGGTACTTTTATAACATTTTCAATGATTCACCGTTTTCTCACAACAGAAAGCTTCAACTCGTGCCCGACAACTTGGAATTCCTTTCATCTACTTGTCAGCAAACAGTGGCGCGAGAATCGGACTTGCGGAGGAGGTAAAACATGTTTTCAATGTGGCCTGGGTCGAGCCGGGCTCGCCAGACAAGGTAAATAGAGATTTTTAAACCTTTCGATAATAAACCTTTTGGTATTATTACACACAATTTGTCTTAGTCATACGCTATCCTTGTTCTGATTTTGCTGGAATATTTTCTTCCTTGCTTTGAAAAACATATAATTTTTGCTTTCTCAATACAAACCACAATACAAGTTGCAAATTGTTTAGCGTTAAATCTAGTTGGAAATGGCAATTAGTGATTCTGATTAGTGATTGCGATTTCTGATTGCAGTTTTTGATAATGATCAGTGATTTCTATTATCAATGTGAATATATGATTACGATTGTTTTTTGTAATCAGAGATCATATTTGGTACTTCAGCTTTTTAACTATTGTCACTGATTATAAATCTTTTATCGCAGTATTAATTACTAAGTGCCTCTAGTAACTCCTCAATATATTATCTATAGTAAAACATTCATTTGCTGTTTAAACTTCTGACTCTTTTTCTTTCAGGGTTTTAAGTATCTCTATTTGACGCCCTCGGATTACAAGAAGGTAAGTTAAGCTAGGATTGTCACATTCATCTCATTTTACTGCAGTTAATTCCTCCGTTTGCAGTGATAAACTCATGAAGTATTTTTCTTTTCTAACCGAAAGCAAACATTAAAGATGGTTGATATTTTATGGCACTCGTGCCATTTTGCTTGCCATGTGCATTGGCGAAAAACATTTTGCTTACGATTGCAGGTGTAAGGTGAATCCTTTGTTGTTGAGACATTTTGCAACAGCATAAGAACAGATATGTTCCTTATAATCTGTTCGTTGAGGGAAGTGCCTATTGGTGGGAAACTTGTCCTTTGTCAACTGCATCATTAGATGCAGTAACTAATTCCTTTCCTTAAACTTGACCAGTTTTTTTGGCTAGTAGATGGACAGGGCTTAAGCCAAGCCACCTTGCTGTTGTACCATGCTTTTGCCTTCTGTTGCTGCATCATTTCCAATAAGTTTAAATTTTGTGACAGTAATTTAACTGTATTATGTCTTTGGTAACGGCATCATCAAGGATTGACGAAGAGGCTATATTTTTACAATACCTCTTTGCCCCTTTGTTAATCCACCGTCACACATAAAGTATATAATCCTTTTCTACAATATTTTTCTCATTGTTCAGTTTCGGAATAATATGATAGACAGTGCAGTATATATATATATAGCAGTACATAGATATTATGGTATGGTGTTAATCGCTCTAGATTTCTTAAAACTTACGATCAACCTGTTCTGTTTACAATAGCTCAGCGCCAGTAACTCTGTTAGAGCTGAACCAATTGAAGACGAAGGGGAATCTAGATATAAACTGACTGATATAATTGGTATGTGTATTACACTTTCATGTCACAAATCTTTTCTCTATCAATAAGAGAGCTTTTTTTCTGTCTCAAGTCTCATCGAATAAATCCAAGATTTATACTTTTTGTACAAGTTTGCCAAACTTGTATAACCAAAGTAGCTCTGGGGAAGCCCTGTAAGCCGGGGAGAAATGTCAACCACTAATATTTGTTTTGTAACACTGTCGTCCCCTGTCTGTTCCCAGGGTGTATTATGGGGTTCTAAGTTTTATTTTTAATCTGTACGTCTTCTCGTGGACTCTTAAGATTCAGTCTAGGTGCCCTGTTGTTATAGCAGTTATATTCTTCGTAGACCTAGCTTGCTAGGCCCAAATTTGTTGACTCTCGGGTGTGCATCCTTATTTTGTGAATGCTCCCTCAAAAACCTTTAACCCGGCGAAGGTTGTCTATGATTCGCTCTCTTCGAATTCCATGCATCCATACCTACCAGAATTTTGTTCTATCAATTGAATAGAACAGCACCTTGAAAGGACAACAAATTATTTGCCAGCTCTTTTAAGCAGATTTTTACGTGGTTTAACTATCTTTTTTCACACTTCTAACACAATTTTTTGTGTTTATTCACCTGCAGGCAAAGATTTGTCATTAGGTGTTGAAAATTTGAAATATTCTGGTTTGATTGCTGGTGAAACTTCAAGAGCGTATGACGAAATTGTCACAATGAATTTAGTAAGTGTTTAGGCTATTGAAGCAGCTGCCCATTATTTTTTAATGGCTATCTTGAAAACATGGAATGTGGAATGTTACAATGTGAATAGAAGAAGCACAACCTTTGCAGATTGTACCTTCCTACATGGGCACCGACAAAGGTTGGAAGATGGGGGGGGCCAAGAGGAAATTTAACACCCATAACAAAAGATTTTGAAAAACACTCTATTGTTTTGCAAAAAAGTGGGGGGGGGGCCCTTCGTCGGAGACCCTGTCCTATACGATACGTTCTCGTATCGATGAACTGAAACTAAATACAAATGCTCTTTAACTCATTCGCCATTCGAATGGGATGGATTCTTTCTGTTAATTCGCAATATCTAATTAAAGAGAGCTAGTTGTGCTCTGCCTGCCCAGGTGCATGTTGTGGTTTGCTCGATAACTTCAAATGATTTGGCAACAAGGCCTCTTAAGAAACCATACTACTCCCATCTATTCATATTTATTTTTTCAGTATAGTTAAGTTCGTTGAAAGGAATTCGTAGAAAGCATTCATGTAAAAATATCCTTAGAAAAACCCTTGCTATATACTGTCGGGGACTGACGTGGTCTGCTTATGTCTCAGTCATCCTGGCGGTAATAATAGAAAATCTTTAACCTATAAACGAATCCGACATTATTTTTTAGAACCTCACTTTTTAACACAACAACCCCCCAGCCCCCCCCTGATCAGAACCCAACAACCATTAGATACATAGAGTTCTACCAAAAACGTCCTTTTTGACTCTCATTTTGTTTTTTTTTTAATTTTCAAGGTTTCTTGCCGCAGCGTGGGGATTGGCTCCTATCTTGTGCGTTTAGGACAAAGAGTTGTGCAAGTTGACAATTCCCATATCATTCTAACTGGATACAGTGCCTTAAATAAAGTAAGTGATCCAGATGCCATTTCAATTTGTCTGGTTTGTTTATGCCAAAATTGAACCGTTTCTCTTCGTTCTACTGCTAAAGTATCACTCAATTTGACAGTGATAGAAAATTCCGCCCTCTATATTGAATTGAAGTCCACAGCTTGAGCCTTTTCTTATAGTATAAACCTTTGCTTAAAAGATTGCTGAATTTTACATCGAAACAGTTCCTGTTGCGCTTCTAACAACAACAAGAGGCTGGAATAATTTTCATGCGTCTATCTGAACACGCGGTTAGATAATGTATATTTTATAACCAGCCTTTTTTAGCATAATTAAACGAATCGATCAGGGTCTTCAGGGTTTCCGGAACAACAAAGTTTGAAAAAATTCATCGCGGAATTCAGAATTCTTGCAGTTTCCCGACGGAACGAAGGACTTCTCCACACTTGCTAGACGCGGGTTTTTTCCGAAGTGATACACAGAACAGAGAATTTTTATAAGTTTTACGGATTTGCAGGATTCTTGACCCGTTGTCTTGTAAACAAGGGCCTGATCACATCTTGACTTTTTTGACCAGCTGCATCTATCAACAATTCGGGAGGAGGAGTTTAGGGTAAACATGACCGGAGGGTCGGATTTCAACTAAAAATTGTGCGGAACGGCGGATTTCTACCTTCACGATGACTTCACTTGACAGGTCCGGTTCTTTATCTACACAGTAAAGGCGCGATTTTCATTTAGCGTCAGTCAATCTCGTGACAAGGTTAAGGACGCTAGTTGATAAATAAGACCCAATCAGGCACGCCTCTTCCCAGTTAATATATTTTAGTCCACATCTGGATATACAATTTACTTTTCCATCATTTTGTTGGGCTCAGTGCTCTAAAGGAAATATATTTTTGATCTAGAGGGAATTTTACTTTGTCTCCTAAGTTTTAAACGATTCGCCAGTCGCTCTACAGACTCTTAACTACACCTTCCCCTTCTATCAAATGCTTCAATGCGACTAGAACTTTCAAGAAAAATCATACTTTATCCTAAAGATCTTGATGTACGAAAGAAAAAATCGGCTCTTTGTTCATTAAAAAATAAATGTTCTTTTATTATCGTTAAGTTCATTGAGTTCATCTTTTTTGTTTTATAATGTTATTAATCTTCTTTCCTACATCATGGTTTCAGGTTCTTGGAAGACATGTTTACACTTCCCATAATCAACTTGGTGGGATCGAAATCATGTACAAAAACGGTGAATATAAATGATTTACCAGCTTATTCCTGATTATTTTCAGTTTTTAATCTTGTTTCCAGTATATGTAAATTGCTTCCTGCTGTTAGCTAATAAAATTTTCAGTTTTCGTATTTATCCTATAGAATTGTTATTACACTTGTTAAGAGAAATACAATTTGTTGGTACTGGTTTCATTTGTTCGTGCAGAAGCTTTAGCCATTTAGCTGAAACCGTTGTTCGTTTCATCTCCATCATCAAAGTTTTATGCTTCTCAATCACACCTCAAATGCTCCCACCCTAGCAATTAAAAGTGTAAACAAATTTCGTTATGACGCAGGCTATTTGCAGCCTGTCTTTAGACGAAAAGGAGTTGCTGATTCGCATATGAAATGTCACCAAGCTACCATACTCATATAATTTAACATACGAAGGTCTATATGACACCATATTGATTACAGCGATCGAAACCAAGTACCTACGTTGGGTAAAAGCGACTTATAGCCTTCCTTTTCATGGTAATGCCAATACACAACTTTTTTACGCAGGTGTCTCCCATGCTTCTGTCCCTGATGATTCTGCTGGCATAAATACGTTAATATCATGGCTGTCCTACATTCCTAAGGTATGCAATATTTTCTGTTTCTTGAAAATCATCCCAATCTGTTCCAGGAAAATTGATCTGTTCTTTTATAAGGAAATGGTAACTTGATTGCTAAATATTTAATGCTGACGTTTGTTTCCTGATTTTCTTATATCTTTCTTTTTCTTTTGTCAGCCCGTCATACAATGATCTCTCAGTGAAACCCTTCCAGTCCCTTCTTCCGGAAGTTCACATTTCCCTGCACCTGCTTATTCCAGATCCTGTTAAACTCATTCGATTTTCCTCCGTTTTAGAATCGCCATAGCCCTCTTCCAATCATGCCTTCGACTGACCCTGTAGATCGCGAAATCGATTTTATTCCACCGAAAGGAAGCTACAATCCACGGCATATAATAACAGGAAGACCCAGTCAAGGTTTTTGCATTTTGCTTTTCTTGCATTTTGCTTTTCTTCAACTTTATTCCTGAGATTTGTTTTAGGATTTCTTCTATTAAAATGAGTCTGTCTGTTGAAGTAATTGTGTCTGTGCTGAACGAGCTAAAAATTTTCTAAAGTTTTCTTAAATACCATTCGCTAAAGGGTTAATTTAATCTTGTTAATCACGAAAATCCTTCCTATTTTTCTATGTCAAATCTCAAGGAAACAGGGGCCTTATCGTTGAAAAGAATCATTTCCACCTCATCTTTAAAAATGGCTTTTCGAGTGGTTTCTTAATGTTATGGGTGATCAGTGCTATGGTTTTTTTTAATTTTTTGGTCACCTTTGGGCTGGGTTTCTTACAGACAATTCCTGTTAAAAATTGGTATTATTATATTAAATTCGTTTATTATGTTCCTAAAATTTCTTGAAGGTTTTGGAAAAAAACTAGACTTGTACCTTATGGCTTACTCGAGTATGTTTGATTTTCAGACGATTCGTCTACCTGGCAAAGTGGATTATTTGATGATGGATCATTTACAGAGATAATGGCCGGCTGGGCAACAACTGTTGTCTGTGGCAGAGCCAGGTGAGAGTTAATACAATTTCAATTTTAAAGATAAATATGTCATGCTTATTTTCAGAAGCCTTACTCTCCTTTATCAAAATATTTCACCATCTCGTTGTTCACTGGACTTTCACCTTCCAGCAAAGTACATCAAATAAAATTTTAGAAATGAGCGAAAAATCAGAACCAAAATTTCTGCACAGAGTATAAAACATCGGATATTGATTAAATGGTCCGTATTTTCGTGCAGTTTTAAAATTCTGTTGTTCCTGTTGAAAGATACTGAAAAGAAAAGCTTTTGTTAGAATGGCTAGGTAATGCATTGCTGGTCCATTTTATTTTTGCTGGTCATTAAGTGTCGGAACAACAGTTATTTAGACGAATGTAAGATTCCATTCAGTATATATAAGATAAGAATCATTTTATTTCCAGGATATTTGATTGCTTGAAGATTATCAAGCCAATGTTTTATTAATGATTGTGAATGTTTTATCTTAATAATCCTTCTTTAGATTTTCTGAGTAAGCGCTCAGCTTTTAAGATCTCCGAAAACAATCCTCATTTTTTTGGAATTTTCATTCTTGTCTGTACTTGATTAATATTTTATTGTGAGATCTCTTTTTAAATGTATATGTAAGCGAATTTGTTAAACCACGATGAAAATAGGAAAAAATCACGAAGAGCAATGTCACTCCTTGTTTATGAAACCTACCTTTGCAATATTAAATGACCTTGTTTGTAAATTGTGAAACTTGCAGCTTTTTCTTAGAAAGTAGCAGTTTACGAATTGTTAAAGATATTATTTTATGTTCAAAGGCGTGAAGTATTACAAAGTTAAAACTTTTTCGACTGATAGTTAAAGTATTAATTACTATCCCAATGATTTTGTTTTTGTTTCAATACTCCAGACTTGGCGGTATACCAATAGGCGTGATTTGCCCAGAAACAAGAGCAATGGAAAGTCATATTCCCCCCGATCCAGCTGATCCCAGCTCAGAGACAAAGGTATGTTCTAAAAGTAGGCCAAGTCACATGTATATTCATCAGAACACTAGTTAGTATGCCCCTTCCTGATCACAATGCGTTTATTCGATTCGACAATTTCGTTACTTCGTGAGTGGAAATTTTGAAAGAATCTGATTTATTTCAAGGTTAAGATTTGGAGCAGCATTTTGTGTTTGTAATTTCCTCTGGCATAAAGAGAATAGAAGAAGCTATTTACCCCTCCATCAACTTGCGTGCTTCATTACTCTTGAGTGCTTCATTACGGTTTTTGTTGCTTCTTCGTGCTTAGAACCACCCTGTTCTACACACGCCACGATAAGCAGCTCTGTTGGAATAGCCTCGAGGACTAAACAGCAGACCGGCTAATAGCTATATCTGTCTTTTCTTATCAGGTAGTTATACAGGCTGGACAGGTTTGGTACCCAGACTCCTCCTACAAAACAGCTCAAACAATCAACGACTTTAACCGTGAGGGGCTTCCCCTCTTTATCTTTGCCAACTGGAGAGGGTTCTCAGGTGGTATGAAAGGTGAGGTTTTGCTTTTCTTATTCTCAATGGCGATTATTGTTTACATAGAATGAAACCTCCAATGAAGACGAACACTTTTTGACAGGGGTATTAAACTCTCCTCCTTTTTTGGTAGCGGTTTAAAATTATCTCGAGGATTTATGGTGGATTACCAGCTATTTTCTTGCAAATAAAATGATCAATCTAAAATTTAAAAATATAAGCTAACAGTATTGTGTACCCTGCATAGTATCGCGAGCAACGTTTCGCCAATTCCATATATTTTGTCTTTATCAAAAATAGTCTCATTGAAGTTTATCTCCTTTCAAAATTTTGCTGCTTGCTTTTTCTCTATTGATATTCACCATGCCCCCACAATTTTGCAAAACAAAAAAAATCAGGTACTAAATCATTTACTATTAGGCTGTAATTTGCTCGTTGCCCTCCCCCGATTTTAAACTTGTGTGGGAGTCCCTGGCTGTTTTTGGCATGTAATTGTTTTCAGCCGTTTGAGGTGGTGTACCAAACTTTAAAAAGTTAAACATTGATGGGGTGTGAATTTTCGCCGATGATTGAAATTGACCGGTACCTTTGTGAACAACTCCAAGCCATTGACAGTCAATTTCTTTGAAGTTGGCTTTGAGAGTAAGAGCTTGTGATTCTTTGTAACTACGAATCCGGCTACCTCTATATATAGACACAATTCACTAAAAACAGGCAAGTTAAAATAGTAATTCTTAATAACTCCTTGGTATGTTTACTTTTAGATATGTACGATCAAGTTTTGAAGTATGGCTCATACATTGTCGATGCATTGAGAAAATACAAGCAGCCTGTCTTGATTTATATACCTAAAAACGGAGAGTTGAGAGGCGGAGCATGGGTGGTTGTCGATCCGACTATCAATCCGGAGCACATGGAGCTGTATGCGGACGCAGAGTGCAGGTAAATAGCTCAGAGCACCCGGACCCGGTTTCAACTTCATTCCATCAACTGAGCTTCTTAACTGAAAACAGATTGCAAGCAAACCATAAGTCTTTCCATGACCCCTTTTGTTGGCAAACGCTTAAACACATGCCAGGTTGCTTCCATTTATCTTCGAAAACGTGTCACCTTCCTCTCTGTGTAGGCTGTACATTTTCTATTAGAAGAAATATCCGCAGTCAACTGGGAGGAGAGGCGAAAACGTTGCCCGGTTTATTCATAATGGTAGTTCCCCCAGTGAGGTTTTGGACATGGACTGCGGATCATATTACGGATTCTATAATCGGTTTTTGGCGCGCTAAGATCAATAACAAAATTATTTATTATTTGGTTTAAAAACATTTTTGAGAGTTTTTGGGGGAGGGGCTTATGTTTCCTAGGCACCCCTGCTGCCAAGATCTCTTGTTTTGGGCACTTTTAAGTTATACGTAGTGAAAAGTGACCTTGTTCTTTCTTTGATACGAGCATGTCCTTAATACCCACACCCGTTTCTATTTGTAAGATCTCTTGATTCCTTATTTACGCCCTTGATCTTCTTGATTTAAGGAACACTGAAATGTCAACGTCTTGCTTTTAGTTCAAAGCATAGCGCTAGCCCTATAATTTGGGGCCTGGGATTTCCATCAACATTGGAATATTAGCAGTTAATTTGAAACGTCCATTGGCGGGCTCTTTCTACTATCGGACACTTCCAAACAATGCATAAACTGTTGAAGGACCTGCAAAAAGGACTTCCTAAAGCATATACATTTCCAACCCAAGCAACCCCCTCCCCTCCATAATTTAAATGATCTCTAGTCCCACAGATACCTTACGTAAGAAGGCTTCATGATTATTAAAAGCGATAGCGGTAAAGATAAACAGAAAATGGGGTGTCAAAATGTTACTTGAATGAGAAACTTAGATGGGAAGATTGGAGAGAACATTTTATCTTAGTTGTTAATTTGGGTCGCCTGGTAAGATGTTATTTGTCAGTTAAGTATGATAATTTGATTCGAATTTCTTGTTTTAAGGGGTGGAGTTCTAGAGCCTGCAGGCACAGTGGAAATCAAGTTCAAAATGAAAGATCTGCTCAAGGCGATGCGTAGACTGGATGACACCTATGCCTCATTGTGCCAGAAATTGGCATCGCCAGGTATAAACACAGAATTGAGCGTGAAAATTGTTGTGGTCTCTTGATGCCTTTTCTGTTATGTGGTTTGTCAGCCGAGAAAGAAAAATTTGGTGTATTGCATAGACATCAATCAGCTGTTTACAACCAGTAAAGTCAGCAAATGTTGTCATATTTCTTGATACCTGAAAATTTCGAGCCTTGTGACGTACCAAACACTAAAAACCACCCAGACAAACAGGTTGGAAAAGCCAGCGAGCAATGATTGCATGAAACTCGGATATACATTTCTACATTTGAGCCGGGAGCGTTAACACAAAGTAGAATGTGATATAAAATCTCCTAAGCCATCTTTCTATCAACTATTGGCCAATCAATATGGCCTATGCGTGGTATAAAGAACCTCCCAATGGTCTTAAACTTGTCATTTGATGTTACGATTGTTTCTCAAAGAAAACATGCTTTGAGAAGAAGGATCATCAATGCGTTTTTAAAATTCAGTAGCCTGATCCCCACCTCCTCGGTCGTATTCGCACATTAGAATCTTACAAGGCACCAGGAATCATGCACATGAAATATTCCATTGTTTATGGTGCGCGCAGGAAAAGAAACACTCCTGTAAGAAATATGTTTTATAAACTAACTTAAGTATTTTAATTTCCTTTGTTTTTTATTTTCTGTTTTCATTAGTATATACAATACATATGCTAAATTCTGACAAAAATTCAGCTTTTTCATTAATTTATAGAATTGTCAATCATTGAAAAGAGAAATTTAGAGCAGAAGGTTGCTGAGAGGGAGGTACAACTTGCTCCTATCTACCAACAGGTAAAATTTTACCATCAAAATAATAATGTTTATATATAATTAAACGAATATTTAACAGGATGAAAGTTTCGACAAGTTCTATGTTTTTATCAATGCCTCTACTTCTTGCTATTTTTATTATCGATTTCTTCAAAAGTTGGCTAACAAAATACAGTAGCTATCAAAAAAGCTATTTTAGGCCAACTAAGTTACTGCTTGAAAATGTCATTTTAGAAATCAAATACTTGTGACCTTTGTAGTCTTCCATTTTTGTCACATTTTGCTTTTTTTGAGTTAGTTTTGCATTATTACTCTTCCTGATTTTTTTATTTGTCGATATGCTGTGAAACCCCGTCACAACGCTCGAGATGCAGTTCATTCTTGCACACAGCGTACAGTATTTTCACAAAAGCAAAAGGATTTCCAGCGATATCCAGATAAAATAATAGGTTTTCCACTGAAGGTGTACGAGTTATTTGCCCCTCGACAATTCCAGCGAATATTCATTTCAGATTTGGCGGTTCAGCGAGCTTGGCTTTATGTTAATAGCGTTACAACGAAGGGCGGTGTATTGTAACGGGATTGACTGTAGCTTCTTTCGCATTTTTTCTTTTATTGTGTAGAGGATTAATTGTGTAGAGAAATTGCCTAAATATATTCTTGGCTTGTTTGGCATGTTTGCCTCTGTTTCGCGACGGCCTTGCAGAGAAAACTGTTGCAGCTTCCGCAAAGTGAGGCAGTAGCGAAACAGAGGCCCGTGGAGTAAGTCTAGTTTTCAGTAGAGTACCGAAGTGTGACGTCACCAAAAATCTATTTTTAGAATTTCTAAAATTTGGCCGCATAATCGGAAAAAACGGCATAAAATACCTCTCATTGTGCAAAATTAGTTAGATATGTCTCAAGCTGGGCGAGATATGGCCATTGAAAGATTTCAAGTTCGCTAACGGATTACTGTTATTATGGCCTGGTTCATAAAGATATGAACCAAGACCAAATTATAGAGGTTTGATGAGGCAAGAGCCTGTCCTTATGTGGCAATATCTAAGCCAGTTCGTGATGCCTTTAACTGATTTTGCATGCTAAGAAGTATTTCATGATGCTCTTTTAGGTTCTGGGATCAGAATTCAGAAATTCTGAAAAAAGATTTTTATGACGTCATCACTTCGGTACTCTGTTGTATCTGCAGAAATTGGTGTTATCGTTTTCAGTTTCGTAGCTGTTCTTTATTTTTGTTATTTTGTTTGTTTTTATTGTTCAATTTTTAAGTTGCATTTGAATTACATTAATTACGTACTAACAAGTATATGTACTGCCTAGTGTCTTCCAGAGCAGAGAATCACACGATCCTTTCTTGTTTTGACCATGTGACTTTTCATGCGAACTCAACCAATCAATTTTTTAGCGTTCTTTCCCAAGGTTACGTTTAATTTATTGTTTTAACAAACAGATCAAATTTTGAGGTGTTTCCTTGTAAACGTTGACCAGCAGCTTAGAAAAACTTGAGAATTTGGTTGCTCACAAGGGTAATCCAGTCTTAAGTATAAAAATGACATCTGAGTTGAAGAAACGGTGTCAGGCCCTGCTATAGAAGCACAAAAACTATTTTGCGAGGTTACAGTTCGGATCTCCTTGCCAAACCACCGTTGTCATGGAGCATAATTCCAAAGTTAGGGTGTAAAACTGCCTTTAGAGAACGGTAATGTCAATTTTAGTGCAAGTAACATAGAGATTTTTTAGGTCCTTAGTTTATTCCTGAAGATAACCATAATAAAAGGATAAAAAGATCACAATCGTTGCTTTCTGGTACTCTGCACCTTACAATTTTTCACTTATAGCTAAAGATTTGTTTATATTTTTCAGACTTTATTTTGTAAATGTAACTTTACGAGCCAACTTACATCACTGTATTTGGATGAAATGATTTCTTAAAGCTTAATGTTGCCTTATTTTGTAGATTGCCAAGCGATTCGCGGATCTCCACGATACCGCAGGAAGAATGCAGGAGAAGAACGTTGTCTCGGTAGGTCACCTTGAGATTCATGACAAATAACATCAGAAGGGGGCACCATAACCATTTCTTCGAAGCTAGTCGGACGAGTCAGTTATGTCGTTAATCGTGCGAGTCGTCAGAGTAAAATTTTTGGCTGCATACACCAAACTTTTCAGCGCAAAATTTAACGTCATGATGACATAAAGTTCGAAATGGTGATTGCTGTAAAATTACATAACGAAATTACAAGACCACTCCAGATATCTCTACCATCTACGGGTTTTTTCTTCAAGTGGTTGGTTAAAAGCAATGAAGCTCTGGATTTGAATGAGTTTGAATCGTTGAGGCGTCGGTGTGTAATGCAAGAAGTGGACTTGTGTATTGACTCTCATTCATTTGATTTGAAACTTTGGGTGATTAAATAAAAACATACCCTATAGTGAATGCGGGAATTTTTCTTTCAAAGCTTTTAAGAATAATGTGCAACTCTTTGACCATGTAAAGCTAAGGTTTCTCCTCTGTTGGTAGTTTGTTCCTCTCTATTGGTCGAGATTTGTTTTCCTAGAAGAAATTCGTTACCAAATATTCGCATTGAGAATCTTCCGTGTCTCGTGAAATTCCAAAATAGCTTGTTTGGATCTAAATATATAATATACGTGATTTTTATCAGACAATTAGTCGGACATCTGCAATTAATTTGATAAAAATACCGCAACAGACATAACGAAAATCCCACTATCAAATCCATGATGTGCATTCTTAATATTTGAAATTTTTGTTTACATTGCATTGGAAACTCAGCAATGATACAGTGCTATTTAAATATAGGGCTGGATATTTGATATATCCGTTTTTTGATGACTTTATTCAAGTCTAGAGAACATTACGGTTCCACGGCTCTAAGCCCGAGGGAGGTTAATCAACGTTTAAGTAGTTTTGAGCAAGACCAATGCATAGCTTGAAAAGATGTATAAAGAGAGAGGAATTTTATTCTACTCATGTGGCTGAACTTTTCTTTTCCTGACAAAACTTCTTGACCAGACCGTAGTTAATTTTGTTAAATTCCATTTCTATATAACCTTTATTCAAAAAAAGGCAAAGAGACTTTTTAGGAAAACCAAAGGCGCACAATCTAGTCCGAAGGATGGTTGACCGAGATTTGATTTTCTATTCAGTAATTTTATAAATATCTACCGCAGGACGTTCTAAAATGGAAAAATTCAAGAAAATTCTTTTACTGGAGACTGCGAAGGCTACTTAGTGTCGAGAGGGTGAAAAAGAAGATATCTGAAGCGGTTAGGTATGTAAGAACCAGATAATTTTTGCTGAGGCTTTATTTAGGCTTTTTTCATTAATTTGTTTTTATTTCAAATTTTATTTTTCTACAGCTAAATTTTATACATTTTTGTAAGTAAATAAAAGTCTTGCATGAATTTTTTGTTAGAACGGTCTTTTAGCTGGCTCTGTTTTGTCAGTATTGAAGATAAAACAGGCCATTATAACCCACAAATGGAGCCCTTGTCAATTGTATATATAGTATATATATTGGCTGTACTGTTCTGTTGATATTTTCCAAAGGCTTTTGTCAAGATGTAGATAAAACGAAAACTTTCTTGCCTTTGCAGGGAGGCTTCAGATGCCCATATTAACTCAATGCTTGAAAGGCTTTTCTTGGAGGCTTATGGATCGGTGAAGGTACGTGAGTTTTAAAAGCGTATTTGTGATTCTTTATGCATCTCTAATACGATTGCAGTTATTGATGTTTCAATACGTCATGAAGCCATTGTAATCACCACGATAATATAACGTCATCAGCAGCAACAACAGAAGCAGCAACAGCAACATTTAATCATCAGCTGATATGATTTTGAATCATCATTTTATGATGAAGATACATACCCTGCCCTTTTGCATTTCATTAACCATAAACTAACTATTTATCATCACAGCGGAAAGTTTAACTAAAACGTGTTTGCTGGTACTGCTTTTAAATTTAAATTTATTGCATTACCCTGGGTCATATTGGAGGTGGTTTATTGCAATATTCTAAAATATGCACATTTTTAGTAAAAAAAGTGCAAATGACCACACCCACTCCCCCAATAACAACCCTCACCTTCCCCCTAAAAACCACCCCACCTTCCCCCAATAATCACCCCTACCTCCCCCCAATAACCACCCCCACCTTCCCTCTAAAAAACCCCTACCTCCCCCCAATAACCACCCCTACCTCCCCCCAATAACCACCCCTTCCCCCCAATACCAAAACAATCAGCTATTGTGAGTTATTTCCGTGATGAAGTTAGCCTCAATTCATTTATATTAAGCCTAGCTGCCCAAACGCCATCTTCACATTCTAGTCCTACCTTTGGCAAGACAACGAAATTGTTGCCAAGTGGATAGAAACAGACCTTGAGAAAGAAGAGGAATCTGCTATTAGAGAAAATATCAAGTGGATAAAGAGAGACGCAATTTTGAGGAAAGTTAAAGGGTAAGCATTTGAAAAATATTTTGAAAATGCACGTTTCTCAGTACGTTTCTGTAAAATTTTGATACCTCCTAACAAAATGTACATAATTGCGGCATATGCAACAACTTTATGTCGGATATTAGCTATAAACAAATAATTTTTGGTAGGCTTTTACAATAAAGAAACATTTTGGAGAAAATTTGTGTTCGCTTAAAAGGAGTGTCAGCTTAAATGGTAGTGTCCGCTTGAAGGAAGTGTCCGCATATTGAGTTTCACCGTAGCTGCTTGCTGTCTGATGGTTCACAACATTGTGTGATTTTTTCATCTAGGACGATTTCTTCTTTACAGGCTTCTTCGTGAAAGTCCCGAAATAGCAATGGATGCTATCGTACACATCGCTCAAACATTTACACCTGATAAACGAAATGATCTGTCACGTGTGCTCGCTGATCTGGGATCAAGCGAATCAAATGAAGGAGATTCAACACCCCCTTGTGCTTCGACAATGAAAGTCTCTAACGAATTTTCATCGGAAGATAGTGACAAAATATAAACCGTTTTTACTTAACATTCAATCAGATTTCATAAATTGCCTATTGTTACTTTGTATTGCGGGGCTGGTTTTCATTTTGAATAGAGTTACTGAGTAAATTGCCTAATTTGTTAGTGCCTAAATGAGACACGTCTTTATTATATCTTGCTCTGAAAAAATCTTATTTTTGTGTGTTATTTTCCAATAAAAGAATCGTCGGTGTTGGAGCCTTGGCCTTTCAGTAAATCTGCTTTAACTCATTTCGGGGTTCAATCTATAGCGAGACTTTTTTTTAATTGGCTAGATTTAGAAGATCTTAATATTATCAAGATGTCTTCCAGGATTATGGACACAGAAGAAACTTAGAATGCTTTTGATGTCAACACGTTGTACAGCAATAGGGGCAAACTAACTAAACAAATATTTTTGTTATTAACTTGCGAGTCCAGAAGTTATTCTGTGGGAAGATTCAATGACTAAATTTCTCTAAGAGAAAGAATATAAGCTTGATGTCGGGCTGACAGGCCTTTTCCTAATGTAAGAGGTGGTTTTCCATTCAAATTTTCCTCTACTCGTCTTCCTCTTCCTCTTCCTGCAGTTACTTCTGTCACCTTTTCCTCGCTTTGCCAAAAGTGCTAGGAATTTTTACTTTGTTTGATTTGATTTTCAAAGGCAACCCGTTTCACTCTTTCCTTTAAAACCTTTATGTTTAGCTCAGTGTGTTAAGTTTTGAACACAGTAAAACGTGTCTTGCACAGAAGAGTAGATGAGCTTACGAACTATTTCGCTTTAAAATAGTGTTCTAGAAGAACGATTGTTTAGTGAATATGTTGCAGTATTTTGCTTTCCAAGGGACCTGTTATACATATTTTGCGATGTGTTTTTATGGCGATATGAGTTAACTAAATAATTATGTATTGGACTTCGTGTTATTGTGTCAGCGAGATTATATTATTGTGTAGGTGATCGAACTCGATATGTGTGATCAGTTTGTGTTTTTTGAGGACATTTCGACTTTTATACTTGGTATGCCTAAAGTCCTTTGTTGATTCGTTATTTTCGTTTGTTTTGACAAATAACTTTCATTTTCGGAGGTAATTAGATGAACACTTTAGATTCTATTATAAAATATGAAAGAGTTTTTATGAGATTATCGTTGACATTTTGCCATTTCTAGAGATATCGTTAGTACATCGGAGACCGCGGGAAACGGAGACCGCGGGCATCGGAGACCGCGGGTATCGGAGACCGCGGGCATCGGAGACCGCGGGTATCGGAGACCGCGGTCATCGGAGACCGCGGGTATTAAAAGCCATCTGATAGAAATGATCCTTTTTACTAACTTTTGATACATAAGAATCACACAGAGAATCATTCTAAAAGTGGTTCTACCACCTAAAGAGGTTTTTGTAGTTAAAGAAGTAACCTAAGTTTCAGAATAGAGAATTTTTGTAGACTTTACAGCGAAATGTTCCGGCGGCGAACGGCGGGGTTAAATGATTAAATAAATGTTTCCCCAGAAGCAGAACTGGAGAGCCAAGAAACTGCTAGGACCTGGTCATGTTATCGCCATCTTGACGGTCCATAACAAGTACAAGGCTGTTTGCCACAGCAGTTGTAAAGCTGATTATTAGCATACCTACTCGGACAGAATTTTTCGCAAGCTCCCTACTAATGTATGCCTTTCAGTACTGAGGCAACCGTGGACACCGTTGTTGAAATTTTCGTGAAGATTACAGCCGAGCCCACCAACAAACAGGTTCGGAAGTCTTGGGCTCCGAACAAATTTTTTAAAGATGGGGGCCCCAAATTTAAACTTTTTGGTCAATAAAAGGGTACCCCACGCCTTCCTAAGGGAACCCGGATTGCTTGTTACACCACTGGTTACAGCCTCACGTTTGAAAATAAAGAAGAAACATTCGAGACAAAAGGTTTTAGCGCCTTGTAAAAAAGACAGAAGAAAAACCTATCCTTTTTCGCGATCTCTCCCAACGTGTTGGTTCCCACGACAACGTAAGAAATGAGTTGATAGAATTTAATGGCTACCTGAAGAAGTGGTTTTGCATAGAAAACCTGCTGTATTATAGCCCTTTTTCTTTTGTTTGTTATTGTCATCTTTTATTTTCAAACACTTTGTAAAGCCAAACACATTCTTTGCAGTTGTGGCCTTGAGCATTAATTAAACGACACTTGGCAGGCAGTTGTACTCTGCTATCCACCTGCGATCTTTACGCAATCGAGATACAACATCGTATTCAAAGAACTTGCTTTTATGCACAGCAGACGATTAGGAGATTAAAACTTTCAAAAGGATGAAGAATATTCTTATATTACTTTAGCTTTTAAAACAAATCATAGACAAAATACTCAACAAGATAGTCACCTTCACTTACAAAACACCCTGGTTTTGATGCCAAAATGCAGAAAGGCCTCTCAGGTACGATATATTTCTGATCTTCACTTCCTTGCCTTTGATTTTTGCGCAATAGTATGGTGAAGATTTAATGTTTTCATCTTATTTAATCTTTAACGACTTCCTTGAAGGAAGCTTTACCTGTCCTAAGTCTCTAGATAATTGTTCAAAATTTTACTCGCTTTTGTGCAGTCTTGAAGTTTTGACCGAGATGCTTATTTTGAAATCTGTTGTTATCAGAGTATAACCTGCCCTGTGTCTTTGTTTTCTAAGGGAGATTTTTAAAGCTTGAGAAAAATGTCAGATGGAAGACCAAACAACGTGCTTTTTTCAGAACCAGTTAATTTTCGCCGAAGCTCTATGTTATTATTTTTTGGACAATTTGAGACTCAGGTGTTCTTAAAGTTGTTCTTATTTCTAAATTGATTCTCCTACAATCTCCCTCATACCATCAATTGTTTCTAAGACCAGTAAATAACAGTTTTGCATGAAATTTTCTGCAGCACAGTTAATTAGTTGCTGAAAACTGTTTCTGGAGAAAAATTTCGAAAGCCTATATTGTATTTTTTCTTCTAATCTTTAATCTGAGGTTGGGCATGCCACCATGTTCTTATAGATATGTTCTTATAAAAGCTGAGGGTGGTCAAATTATTTGTCCCTGTTCTGATCCTTTGCCTTGCTGTTTTTCAGGAAAATCTTTGATGAGCCTTAAAAGAAAGCTTCCCTCGGACATAATTAGAACTGGATTGATCATTGCTAACGTGGTTTTATCTCTGATGATTATTCACTTAATCGTCGACATATACAGCACGTTAAACACGAGTCCGCCTGAAGTGGTCAAATCCTCTGAAACAAACTGCAAATGTAAGGACATCTTAGGAGATGGTTCAATAGGATCATGGGTACGAGGTCATACTTCTGAGAGGCTACGATATCTGCCGCCGTCTAAACTCACTGACAGGGAGATACGACGGCAGCTGTTCCTTCCAGACCAAATTTATCGAAATGATCTCCGGTAAGTTATGAACCACTAAAATAATAACAGAGATCAGCTGGAAATCGAACATTTTATCTCAAACATCAAGGGGAATACCTGATGGGGGTGTAGGGGTTGTAACACCCACATGTATTTAAATTAGCTGATAGCAAAATTCTACTGTAGGTCAGCCGGTTTGATAAGAAACCCTTTTCTTCATCGACATCTTCGTTGGAAAGCTATGATGAAATATTTTTCTTTCTTGATAAAAAGTTCAAAAGATATGCCTGCCAAGACTCGGAACACCTAGCGATTTTCTTTGCTTCCATATTCTTTACTTCTGTTCTCAAGTACTACCACTTCTAACCATGCTCTACCCTTCAAAACAATGTGATTAATTTTGGCAAACGACAAGTCGTACTGGATGCATATTTTCTAACACCATATGTTATATCTTATGCATTGCTTGAAGCGAAAGAGGGATTGCTTGTTTTGTAGGAAATCGATGATAGTTAGAAAATGAAAGATTGATGCAGAGATGTTGATGTCAAAATAAATCAAATATCGGTGAAAATACGCTATAAAGTGTGCTATGTTCTTTTGCCCTTTGGTTGTTTTGAAAACTTGTAACATGTTCGAATAATTCAAGCTCCTAGCTTTAAAATTACCCGATTTATAAAAATTCGTCTGTTAAAGTCATTGTTATGAATGGGTTTTACAAAAAGATTCAATAATGTTACAGATGTGGCTGGGACAATCCGCTTGTTGATTTTACATTGCCAGCAGCATGTGATCCAGATAGCCATCACTTTTGCTGCAACGAGAAGTTTGGTTGGTGTGGGAACACGACAGATCACTGCCAGCAAGAGGGGAGCGTTGACTTCAAAAAGCTAGTACCGACAAATGAGGCTGTTTGGAAACCAACAAGCAACGAATGTAAATTGGTGGAGTTTTCACCAAAAGATGCTTGCAATTTAATGTCTAAAAATCAGATCAATCTGATTTTTATGGGTATGTGATTTAGAATGCTTTTATTGAAAGATGGACAAAGCTGTTCAATAATTATGCAAAGTTTGTTATCGAAATTATGAGCATAATCATCATGATTTACATAATCAACATCATTATCATAATCATCGTCATTATCATAATCGCTAGAACTTGTTCTGTCCTGGCTCTCCTTCGCACTGGAAAGTTAAGTCTGCACGCAGGCTATATTATCATCATAATTAGCATAAACAATATAATCGCCGTATGATGTTCAATAAGTCATAGCGGTTTCGTAAGGGTTATATTGTTTTGGGTACTATTGTTTGAACACAATAGAAGTATAAGAAACTTTTGATTGGAAGAAAATAATTTTCATGATATTTTGGGGGTCCTCTCAAGAATCACAGTAGCTAAAGCCCTGGTCAAGGTAAATTATTTCTCACAGTTCATTAGAATATTCTTAGTTTTTTGGTAAGACCAAATTGAAACAGACTTTTGCCTACTCCCAGATGCTTGTCCTTATGCAATACACCAGCTATACGCTAACAAATTGTTTGGAACCAGAAATGAAGAAACGAATAAAATAATTATAAACAAGATCACAGTATATGATTTCTTTGCAGCTGATGGATGACTGATTCCCTCTGCCAGGGGATGTTTTAACTTAAACGACCTACAAATGAGCCCTGTAAAATTTTTCATGCTCAGAGATTCTTAACTTTCATAAGCATTTAGTACTCACAATTTTTAGATATAGTTGTGACAGAAAATATTACTTTTGAAGCAAATTTCCTGCAATGCAACTATTTTGGCTTGCCCCAGCAGGTTAGCAGTCTGAAAACCGAGTGTTCATAAAAAGTCTCTCCGATAAAATGAATCTATCCTCTATTCATCGTTCTTCCTCCTCAAAACACGTTTTTGGATAAACTTGATCATAATAAGAATTTTCACAGACTTTACAAAGTACTGTTTTCTTTTTCAGGTGATAGTGAAGCTAGAAAATTCTTGACAGCATTCCTGCTTTTGCTCACTGGAGACATTGAGAAGGGAGTTTTGCGTAGGGACATTTCTGACCCACAATTTGAAAGCTGTCATTGGGAGCTACAGTTGCTGAATGAGGATTGTCATACCATCGTAGAAGATTCCTCGATTCGACTTGAAGACCCGGATTCGTGTGGCTACAATAACGCTTTTCTTGTAGAATATTATCCGGACTTTGACACATTTCTTACATCACGGACTACAGAAAGGATAAAATCTTTATTCAAAGTGAAAAACACATACATTATATTTAATGGCGGTGTTCACTTCAATGCAAATTCGCAAGCCATGTTGAACTATTATCTGCGATATGTGGTTGACTTGTTAAAAGACCAGAAATGGCCTAAACTGATTGTCGAGACTCTTCCAAAGACACCTTCAGTGGTTCTGAGTGATCAAAGAAGAAGATTCAAAAATGCTATCGTAGAGTTTTGCAGCAAACATAAAATTCCGGTATTTGACAATTTTGAGCTGGGAACAAATCTACAGTCCTACGACGGAAAGCATTTTTCATTACCGTATTACATGCAGAAAGTTCATATTTTACTAGGATATCTAAAGGAAACAACGGAGCCATGCTCTCTGTAGATGTTTCTTTACCTGTAGATATTAGATTTTCAGCTGGTAACGAACCCAGCCTTTGAATTATAGGCTGTACTTACGGAGATTCGGAATACAAATAACTTAACAGCAAGTAATTGAAGGTTTCGAGAAAATCGCAAGTCTTCACTAAATATTTCTGAAAGAGCAATACCTATAGGGTATCTGTTCGTTCTGCCAACCCAGCGTACCCCTAGAAATTCAACACCCTCGAGCCTGTTAGATTATATAATGTATACTGATGTTAAGTCTTAATGTCTGTACTTGCATGTTTTGTCCACGTTTTGTGTCATTGGATCGAATGTGCCACTCAGTACCCCCAAGAAACCAGTGATAAATGCGAGCATCAGAGACTATGGTTTTAAAAACGATTGGACTTACCCTGCCCTCTGTTTAATGAAGAGATAACTATAATCATTTTTCTATAATCAAGTGCATGAGATTCCCAATCGAGGAACAGAGGAATGAAAACACTTAAACAAACATTTTAGTTTAGAAATATTAATTTGAGTTTAGAAAATCAAAATCTGCTTGATTTTTTATTTATAACGTTAACAATGATTGATTACAAATGAGTAGTAGTAGTAGAATTTTTTGGTACAATTTATCTGATATCATGGTAGATTTTAGAAAAGAAGAGTGTTTGCAAATGAAGTCGATATCAGCTTGGCTTTAGAGCAAGATACTATAAGTAGTTTAATTGAAGAATTTTTCACTCGAGAAAGTTTCGGTGTCTCGATTCCAGGTATCAGTTCTCCGAAATATTCCGGTTTTAATTTTAAGAAGCAAGTTTTCAACTACTGGCTATTTACCAATATTTTGATTAATTATTCGATAAATATTGGAACACAGCTTATTTTTACTTCAATCTTTCATTATGTATGCAAATCCTTAGAAAAACGAGATTTTTCTCTCATGCTTTGCAGATCTAGGATTATTAAACAGCCCCCTTACCCCTTGAACCCTGAAAGAATCTCATTAGTGAGTCTTTCTTTCACGAATTCGCTTTTTCTCTGACAGGAAATTCTCTTTGTGAAATTTTGCCTCCAAAAAGGAAAGAAATTTTTCACTAACATTAATTGTTTCTTAAAAAGTAAAATTTGCAAGAATTCAGTGTAAAATTGTAGTATTGTTATGGATATCGTTTATTGTTGACCTTTGTACCTTGTATTGTCACTCTGGTACTTGTATGAAGTCTCACAAAGGTCAGCATTAAACAATGATAAATGCAAATACTACAACATTATACACAGAACAAAGCTCAGTTACACAGCTTTTTTTACCACCAAAAGTGAGCGTCGTTATAAATATATATTTTTCCCTAAGGCCATTTCTTGGAATTCATGCACTCAAATGCAAATGCTACTTATCCAACGATCTGCCTACAAAAAGAAAAGCCGGAAACTTTTGGTGAACGAGTCAACACATTTCTTAGAAATTTTAATTTTAACTTGGAAATGAGGGCTCAAAAAAGGAGGCTATTAGTTATCATGATAATAATAATTATAGCAACATCGTACCTGTCTTTAAAATGAGTAACGTGCCATAGTTCGCGCCACCGTTCTTCAATCATGGCTGTTGAATCCGACAATATATGCATCTTAAATTATTGATTATCCGAGAACAAGGCAGCGTTTTATTCCTAATTCGAAGATCATTCCTCGACAGCAAGACTGCTGATTTGTGCATTTGTTTTTATGAATTCGAATTTGCAGGTTGAAGGTTGTACAGTAGTCCATTGCGCGGCCTCTTCACATGTCGGAAGACCATGGTTGCCAGGAGTTGAAATTTGATCAAAAATATCGTAATATTTCGACTCTGTTCCTTCTCTATATAGATTCTAACAATTAACAAAAGAGAACAGTGCGTGCTTGTTTGTTTGCTTTAATTTGATGCTGATGATGGAGTAATGGTTTGTTTCCAAGTCGACCCATTGATTTGTTTTCGGAGAGCAACTTCCCTTTGAATCTTGGGAAAATCGAAGGCGGAGTGAATTTTTTACATTGGAGCACGGTAGATCGCCCCGACGCGTGGAGATTTTCAAATTATCAAGATATATATCAAGAATCAACACCATCAATATTGAAGAACTGTAAGTTAACATTCCTTATCCAAATTCTTTTTCAAACAAACTATATATGAACTAGTTCGAGATGACCTACACTGTACTGTGCCCGAAAGCTTAGCAGTCATGTGAAGCTTTCAATTTTTCATGACCAGAATGTTTGAGAACTTTCTCTAACTTTAAAGGTTATTTTGATTCAGCGCAAATATATTTTTAAGCTTCGATGACTGGGGCGGATTCAATTAGGCCAAAATTTTAAGGCCAAGTGTGCCAAACTTTGTTTTTTTCCGGACATTTTTTAAGGAAGCATATCGTATTCATAATGGCCTACTGCAGTTATGTGTCGAAAGTTTGGTGGCCATTTGTAACAGTTTCTGAAAACTCACAATATGGTGCAATCAGAATATATAGTTTTTTTAAATCCGATCATACTTCGTTGGGAATTGATTTCAGTTTCAGTTCAATTATATAATTTTAGATTTCACTACATACAAATTTTGTCAAAACATTAAAATAAACTATAGGCTACAAGTTACGATACAAGTTTAAAGGCTAAACATAACTACAGAAAAATTAGAAAATTGATATTAGAAAGACAAATATGTTGGTGACGACTTTTAACATTAGTACAATTTTCTGTCAACAAACTCATGTATAGGTTATTATCAAGCTAAGTTGCCAGTGTGCCAAAATATAAATATATTTTGTTCTAAGCTCTGACTGTATCATTGATTGATTGACTGATTGATAAAAAATCTTTAAAAAGGATGCCTCAGTTACCAAAAGGTGCTTTCCATGGGGGTCCTCAAATGTCATGGTACTTTTGTTTATTTGAAGTTCATTTTAAAATCATGGAAATTCCGTCTGTTCTGATATATCAAATTGGTGTTTATTTTGTTTGGTTTTTCAAAAAGCATCAGCAAGAACTTCACCTAAATTAGCAGCAGCTGTTTATACTCTTGTGCATGTGAAGTCATCCCTCAGCTCAACATGAATTAGAAAAAAAGATTAATATTGTTATTTCATTTGTTATTAATTTTATGGCTGTTTCTTTTTAGGAATGCCAGTAATTATTTTTAGAGGTTTCAAACTTTAAGGAGCCATGTTTGTGCATTTTGACTAATTTTGAAACAACTTATTTTGAATTTAGTAATTTTATTTTCAGATTTGTCATTGACACTTAGGCCTCATCCACATGTTTATATATGAATTTTCTCTAATCGTGAGATTTTTCGTTTTGTGATTAAGAAATTTCAAAGCCACATGAAGCATATTGAAATTGAATATGGCCATGCATCCACAACCAGATTCAGTTTTGTTTTCTCATTTTCACAGTTTTGTTTTCTCAAAATTGTCCTTACAAAGCCCATTGGGTGCATCCACCAGTTTCAGTCTTCATATTAAAAGTTTTAGATTCAATGGTGAATTGGTAAAATACCTGTGGACTGAAGCAAAACTGACAAATCAATTTAGAGATTCAATGCTTTATATTGGATAGTGCATAAAATTATCTGAGCTGCAATGCATTATTCTATTAAATCATTTGTGCAATCAGCCCACATGGTATAATTTACCTGACTAACAATTAAGTAATATGGACATAAACAAAGCTGGTTTTCACATCAAATTGTTTTTTGCCTTAAATAATTGGATTAAACTGGCTATAAATCACATCAACTGTTCCACAAGAAAATAAGTTTATGTGGTGAACTGTATATATTTTAAAATTCATGATAATACTGTTTATCAGTTTAAAAAGTATGGTAGAAGTATAGATTGCTAATCTAAATCTTATGCTGACTTAATGTGTTAAAAGTCATTTGGCAATTAAGAATAAATTTACTTAGATAACCAGTAATGCTTTTTTTCTATTGAAAAGCTAAACAGAAAAGAGAAGAACATACAACCGAAAAAGCCACCATTGTGTAGACAGAAAGAGTTTGTTTTCTCTCTTGGACTCCAGTGGTAATTTTTCTTTAGGCACGTGGCACTGATTAGTCAACTATACCGGTCTTGTGCTCGCGTTTTTCTGATTGGCTTTCAATCCACAACTGGGTATAATTTTCCTCGTGTTCTTTCAGACATTTTATGCTCTGATGAATGTCAGACAAAGAAGCTTTTAGCCAAAATGTTATAAAATGTTTGCTTTTTTCAAAGCCATTATCAAGTTCTGTACCGCCAAACAAACTGTTCACAAAAGAGAAGAAGCAAGGGACACTTTATTTATCAAGGTTGATAGATACTGTCATTAGTTTGGAAATACAGAGCTGCCTAAGAATAACTTTACCAAACAGGGGAATCTAGTTACACGGTAAAGCCGAAGCCAACCCAGGGCAACATTTTTTCCAACAAATCCCAACATTGTTAGAAATTTTTTGGGCATTGTCAGACATTGCTGGAAATTTTTAAATGTAGGAATGGCCAAACAAGCACATAATTTCATCCAACATTAGTCAGTTTATCATCACAAACAACCACTGCACCTTACTTCATTTATTCCAGCTTCTGGTGTAAACTTATCATGTTGACTCAATTATAAGCAAAATTACATGCACAGTAAGGTTTTTAGGTCTATTTGAAATTTTGAATAATTGCTAAGAAGAGAGAGAAAATACAGCTAAGAGGGGCAAGACCAGAAAATTAATCCAGAAGAAAACATGAAAGTGTGTTATTTGTGAATTTAATAAAAAAAATGAGACCCTGTTTCATTTTCTTCTTTGTCTATAAGAAGCTGGTGTGTTTCATAAAGTCCTTTTCTTGCTGATGTTAGGTTTCCTCCTTTCTTAAATTACATTTACAGCTTGTGGTGGCTTTTCCTTACTGCACTTGCACGAACATGATTTTGTTGGGCAGGGTGGCCAAACCATCCCAACATTGTCATCCAACATTTTTGATCATTTTTTGCTCAAGGGAGGTGCTCGATCCTATTTTCCAACAAAGTGGCTGAGCCATCCTTTTTCAAACATTGTAAAAAGAACCTGCATTGCAAAAAACGTCTTGTTTTTTCATTGAAATTTTCTTCCTAGTTGGTTTCACGGCCCTTACACCCCTTCTAGGTGGTGACCCAAAATTGAGGAGAGTTAAAAGACACTAACAAACAGCACAAACTTCAGTTTATTGTAATTGCATATATACTCAATTCTTCTAATATTCTCCAAATGTATTTAATTCACATGTAATTTCTGATAGCAAATCATGAAAATATGGATATGTTAGCTGGTTATAAGGTGGAGATTCTGGTTATAAGGTAGAGATTATGGTTTTGATGTGGATCTTGCAGTCCTGGTAATATTAGGTGTGCGATGGCACATGTAGCCTCCACACATGCCTAAAACTGCAGAAGCGTACTTTTTATTATACGTGCAGTTCCATGCTTTGTCTTACTATTCCCTTTCTCTTATTTTTTTTTGTTATTTTCGTGTTTTCATATTTACCCCGTCCCACTCTGAAACATGGGTGTTTCCATTACTCCATTTCTAAACGTCCTCATATCCTTTTTTAAAGCTCTTATAGCTGAGATTGAATGACCCTGTTTTTGATTGCCTCTGTCTTCGCTGTTCCCAAGGAAACGATTTATTTTTGAATGACTCAACTTTGAACAGCATTTTTGAATGACTCTGGTTTGGTATCAAATGACTTTAAATTGACTCAGGTTTTTGAGCATATCAATGGGACTCAAAATCGAATAACATCCGTTCTTACATGAATACAGAGTAATGGGAACAGGACCAAAAAACTTATAAGCTTTTTGCTGACTTATTTTGTTTTCAAGAAATTTCTTCCAAATTCGTTAAAATTATTTGGGTGTATGAAAACCTCAAACGCTTTTTCAAACAGTGATACACCCCTTCAAATATACATGGCATTTAAAAGCCTATCAGGTCTTTATAAAAATTGTAAGGTCTCCATTTTATGGATCCCAAACCACCGCACGCCTAAACTTTTTAAGGCATGCAAATACCAGCACCCTGACAAATTTCATATTACCAGGACTGAACCTGTTTATTTTATTATCTAACATCTATTCATAAATGTTGTGAACTCATTTTGATTCTAAGGAGGCATACTTAAATTATGTGCTTAGATGCCAAATGAACAGAGGGTCAATGTAAAGGAGGAGTTGACATTTTTTATTGCATTTAATAGAGAATTTATTGCACATAATAATAATCTTAGAAAAACCTTCTTTTTTTGCATGGCAATGAAAAAAATCTTCTTAAGAAAGTAAGTCGTATTTTAGTTTGTTGTGTAAAACATCTTTTGTTAAATGATAAGCTGGAAGGGATGTCCTTTAAGTTCTTTGTGAATTTGAAATGATGAAAATTTTAACAGATCTGTTTATTAAAAAGAAAAGGGTATATGGTTATGTTTTTGTGAAAACAACTGAAATAAGTCACTTTTCCTGACTGAAATTCCAAGAATAGAAAAAAGTTTGAATTCAGCTATTTCTGTTAACAGCATATTTTTCTTTCAAACCCAGCCAGCAACTATCAAAATAATATAATTTTGTCTAAAGGATAGGAAATTAATATAAATGATAAGATAGTAAGAAATAGATATGTATGTTGGTCAAAAACAGATCAGTTATATATTTTGTTATAAAATGATGTAATATGATATTATATATTGTTATTTTTAATCAGCTATGTTTTTATAAAATCATTTTCTAAATTCATCTCTTCAACTATTTTTGTTGTGGTGTCATTCTTTAATTGTAAAAGTTCTTTCATTATTGATTTATTATATATAAAGATAAATTAATTTTCAAAACGATGGTTTCTTTCCCGGTATTTCTGAAACTTTTGAGATTTCACAAATTGCTCCAATTTTATATGCTAGTAAGTTTTTATGGGCAAGTTTTCTTTACAGAGTTTTGGTTCTGGCAGAAATACTTTTCTGGCTAATTAAAAACTCAAATATTGCAGATTTTTGTAAAATACGAGTCAAAGAATTTTAAGAGGGATTGAATTTTGTTGACCTTAATTTTTTTCGTATACATAGAGAAGTTGTAATTAAAATTTTAATCCACCGTAAAATCCTTAAAAATTCATTTGAAAATATAAAGGAATTTTCTTTGAGCACCAGCAATTGATATGGTACCCATGTTCTTAGGAAAGGAAAAAATCTCTGTATTTAATGGGCCAACTTGTTTCTTCACACACACATTTTTTGTGTAAGGAATTTATTCTCAGGACATGGGTTTGTACGAATCTAATCACCTTTTATCAAAGTTGTTAGGTATGCAAGATTGCAAAAAAACGAAACGATTTACCTGCATGCGTACCTATAGATCCCTCCTATTTAGTCCATGAAAGCTGTTTGCATGGTCAAGTGAAATGTTTTTCTTAATAGTCTTTAAAATCATTTACAAAACCTAGGGTCTGTCATTCAGACTTCTGTTGCTGTTTTTTTATGTATATTTTTCATTGTTTTTTACATCTCATTCATTGCTCCTTGGTTTGTTTTTTTTTTCTCGTTGTTCATTGTACTTAATCCTGCGCCCAATCGTGGTCTCAAGCCGTTCAGCGGCTGGTGTCCCTGATTTGCAGATGTTTCGTTTCTCAAAGTGAATTCGAAACAAGTTTTCACTGTTTGACAACTGAAGATAATTTTAAATTTTCATACAAGCATCTTACCCCCAAAGAATAGACGCCCAGTCGCCAAACAGAAGACGCCTTCAGAGGGCTTAACTAAGGTTATGCGGTGCAGCTTGTGTCAAAGCTATTTTGACCTTAAAGGCAATTAGCTAATACTATTGTAGCTTAAGCCTTTTGTTAATCAGCAATTGACCAATCAGTGAACGTAATGCCACCTTAGACTATTGATTGGCGAATTTTGATTGGTAGATGGCTTAATTATCTGTTAATCGCCTCTAACATTCTCACACATTTATTTTCGGTCTCTAAGAAGAGATCACCATACTCAGTATCATGTTTGTATCTACATCGTCAACGATGGAGTACCATGTATTGTTTATTTGCCAACCCATACTGTTTGTATGCACCCTTACTTTTTAATCCCCTTGGCCACGACCCTCGTTTTACCATAGTTGATAGTATGCATGTCCAATCTTTTGCGTCGGTCATCAGTATCGTGGAGACGGGGGTAAACTCCACGAAAGGAGGATAAAAGGCCCTTGAAATATTGTCTAAAGGATTAACGAACTGCATAAGGAGTAGATAGAATTAGCATCCCTGAGCAATCCCCCGCTGTAGCATCATTCGTGCTATTTGCCTCTCAAGAACCAAAACCAAAGCGTTTGATTAGCTGAATCTTATCCCAGTTCGTTTCACCTCTAATAAGAAATGTCCATATCACAAATGAAACAAGGAGAAAGACTCTGAGGCCGCCCGCTTTCTCTCCTTTTAAAAAAGCACAAACAACTACTTTTGAAATGGGCTTGTGCCCCTTATCCCCCCTACCCCAACATCTATACCCACCCCTCATCCATATAGTGGATCTAGTTCTGAAAAACGTATCAATGTGATTCTGCATATGACCACCACACAACTGTTTTGACTTCAATTATAGATTTCCATATGGCAAAGTAAAGTGTAAAATTATTAAATACTCGCGATAAATAATGACTAAATTTGAAATTTTGAACATTGACATTATTTTCGTTGCAATACCTTGATAATGTCAAGGAATTTCTTTTCTAATTGCAAGTATTGTGAGATATTCTCTGTCTGAAATACGTTTTGGATGACAGTTTAAATTTTAAGTGATACATCCCGCTTTATTGTGCTAATTTTTAAATCGAGCTGCAGGGATTTTTCTTATCAAGCTTATTTTTTTGAGAAATACAATAAAGTGACACAACTGAGCTTGCTAAATTGTTTGTTTATGTTGAGGATGACCGACATAGAGAAAATCATATTTTTGCGTGTATTTAGTTTTACACGATTGCCATACGGAAGAATTCGTTTGGAGGTTAGCCTCTCTGCTGAAAAACATCTGCAAGGGCTTATTGAAATTAGAAATGAACAGATAGGCAGGTTATTATTTTGATGGACGGTTTCATTGCACTTTTTCTTCTTTTAAGATCATTACGCTCTTTAAAACCACGGAAAGTATAGTAATCTCGTTTTCCATCGAGTTTATGTGCATATCTATGCGTCCAAAGACCGTGTCATGAACTAGAATTTTTATTTCTACCATAGAAATCAGTATGTTTTGGAAGTTCCATCTCGGATCAAGTGGATTGGACACTCTGCTTGCCAAAGAGGTATTAATTTTCTTATTTCACGTCTATGATATTTTTATCAAATGCCCCAGAAATTCACAATTGCCATTGTTCGACGTCCCTGCGCTGATTTTCCACGACTGGTTATTATTTTGAATTTTAAAGGGTCTAAAAAGGAAGATCGTTCAAGAGCCTGATTTATCGATATTGCTTCGGCCTATGTTTTTGTCAACTATACACGTTAGTTACAGGTTTTTTGTCCACACGGTCGAGTTTGAGCATATTTAGCGCACACCTGTTCGCGTTTCTTATGATAATAGTTATAATTGAGCTGCTCGACGGGTTTCAGATCAGCTTAAAAATACTCTCATAATTTCTTCCTTGGTTTTCGGATCGATATGCAAACTTTTCTGTTATGAACTCATTTTTTGTGAGAAACAAGCTTGATCTTACAACATTGTACAAAAGGAAATGCTTATTGTTTTAAGAAATAAAAGCAGTTTTGAATGTATAATTCTTTGTAGTTTGGATATATAGAATTATATTTCCGACCCAAGTGCCATTTTTACTCGATGTAACGCCGGAGCTTGGATAAACGCCATTCGCGAAGGTCTAGTGTTTGTTCGGATATTTTGTAATTTTAAACGTTAGGCATTTAAAAAGATGTAAGATTGAAGTTGGCAATATCAAACAAAAGATTTCAAAATTGGGGAAAAAATAAATCATTTCCTATTTCAGAAGTTTGATTTTATGCCGTCAGTTTATAAACGCCCGGCGACAAAAAAACGCCGGATTTATAGGGTGGCCCGTTCCTTACCTTTCTGCCTCCAGGCTCTACTCTGTTGCCACTATTATTTGTATCAGAAGTTTGTCAAACATCTCATTTAACAGATGTTGCATAGGCATCGGGATTTTGCCACGGAAGTTTTATTTTTACTGTTTGTGCATATGCATAAGATCAATTGTATTGTATTGCATTTTGTTGAATTGTATTGCATTTTATTTTTTTTTATTGCAGTTTATTGTATTGTTTCGTATTGTAATGAATTGTGTTGTGTTGTATTGTATTTTATTGTACTGTAATTTATTTTGTTGTATTGTAATGTATTGTGTTGTATTGTATGGTATTGTATTGTATTATATTGTGTTGTATTGTTTTGTATTGTATTGTATTGTATTGTATTATATTGTAATGTAATGTAATGTAATGTATTAAATGGTAATGTATCATATGATTTATTTAATGATAGTTGTTACAATAGTGGCTGGGCTAAGACTAAGATGAAGCAATTTTATGGACCTATTAGGCAATTAATTTAATGCAAAAAGAACATATGTATTATGCATGTGTATTTATCTCCTTGGAACCAAGTCTTAATCAGATTTTGGAATCAATTAGAATTTGGTGTTTTGATTTCATCTGAAAGGAAGTTGCAGATTTTCGGCCCTTCAAAACTGAGTTATCTGAACTGCCCTTTGGAGTCAGAAGATTATTTTGTACACGAAGGTTGTGACTCATTAGCTTTGGCGTAACAAGTCCCTCGTAAAAAAATATTTAGATTGTTTGGATTTTATATATTTCAATTGCTAAGATTCAATCGATTGAATACGGATTGCAGAGTCTTTCGATTTGGTACTAGATCTACCTGGGAGGATAATAGTCAAAATATTTCCTTATACAGATGTCCATGATTTTTGCTAGCAACAATTCTAACCATAACTTGTCAATTTAATCTGGTTTAATAGGCTTGGATACCGCTCTCAGTACTCTAACTACAAGTGTTTTTCTGTATGTCGACATTTGATCACGTGTGCATGAGAGAGAGTCACGCGAAGTTGCATAGACATTTAGCGGGAAGTTATTTTTTGCAGCTTGACATCATACACACCATACTCTTCATCCTGACGTTTCTCTGGAAATGATCCTGGATAAGATTTCCTATTTCTGGGGGCGGGGGTCAGGGGTGGGGCGCCACTGTGGAAGGATACTCGTTGGAAGTGTATGTTAGAGGATATGGAAATTTAAATGTATAGGGTAAAGAAGGAGAAATATCTCTAATATTATTTTGTTGTTCTTTATCTTTATTTTTTTATGCTTTTTATTATGACTGTTGTTATTTAGTATTTTTATCATAGCTTTCTAACTATATGCAGTTTATATTGGCTACTTTGTTATCATTTTGAATTCATTTAGAAGTATCATGGCTTTTGATACATGTAACTCTTCTTGTGGATATCTATTGACAGCATCTGTGGCTGTTCTCATGTGAACCCTTACAGCAGCGTCGAAAGTCTCAGCCAAATTCTATTCTAAGTTTCGCCCCCTGGTGGCCTGCCGGCTTTATTTCACATCGAATTTCTCGAGAAAAGATAGTGCTCTGTTGTCTTAATTGGCTAAGCTCACTGCTCAAAGCTATTGCTAGTGGGAACATTTAGTTTACAGTTTTATTTGCTTATGTATTTGTGGCTTTCGCTATCCGCGTACATAGTAAAGTTTTTGGGCTCTTTATATAGGAGGCCGTATAGAGAATAAAAGAAGTACTCGTTAGTCTTAGAGACTCAACATCCCCTTTAAGGAAATTCACGAAGGCCATCGCTAAGACTTTGATGGGCGGGAGGCCATCTCTCAGAGTTTTAGTAAGAGTTTTAAGCTGCTAGTCTAGTTGCCATAATTCATCTTTCAAAGACGTCACCAATTGTTTGGCAAAAAATCTAAGGATTATCCCTGTGTGAAAATCTCTGATATTGCTTTGATTCATATTTCTCAATTTTTTTCCAATTAAACGGGAATCAACTATTTACTATCTGTCCTCGCGTTTTTATTACCACGAAAAAGGACAATTATTCCTATTAGAAAATTTTTTCAGCCAAGCCCTCTCCTAGTTGAGGGAATATTTTCTCATGTGAAAATTGTTTCTGGCTGACTAATGCTGCACAACTTCATAAACATGGTTTCCAATAATCCAGTTAAGGCGGCGTTGTATGTCTATATACAGGCGATCAAGATTTAATCACTATTAAGCTATCTCACCCTGAGAACAAGCGCGTTGCATAGGAAACAAAGCTTTCTAGCGAGAACTGAAGGGGGGACACATGGGACGAAATGAAATGATGTGGGAAGGCACAAGTTTGGTAAATAAGCAGATAAAGGAAAGTAGGGACAGCTTCTCGGCTTGATAACGGGAGGCCCCTTTTCAAAATGCGTTACTGCCTAGGTTTGTCGTGGCGAATCACCTGTTTACGCGTTCTCGCGTGTGTCTGTTTTCATACTTAGTATTTGTAAGTTGATTGATTTCTTCTAGGATGTTACATTAAAGGAAGTTCTGGATGAAGAAGATGTTCTCCAAGAATGTAAAACTCAAAATTCAAAACTTATCGAATTGTAAGTTTTTTTTGCAGTTTTTGAATATTTAGATATGCAGAATCAGAGGTGCCTAATCACCATGGTAACCATGTTACAATGCTTCAATGCAATCTTCCATCTCTTGCATCTGGAAAATGCCTTTTAGAAAATGGAAAGTTAAAGTCTGTATTTTCACAGTTCCGGCAATTGGTGACTCAGACTTTGAGCCTTCTACTTGACAAGTCCAGCCATGCAAGGGTAACTTAGAAACTAGATGTTGGGACACATAAATTAATTTTAGAATAGTATTTTATAAGGAAAACCGTAACGCGACGAGAATCAACAACAACAAACACACAAATCAATGATGGCTAATTTTAGAACCTCATGATCCTCGTGCAAAAACTTCGATTGCTTCTGAATGAAATTATGGAACTTCAATAATTATTTGCATTAGGATCCCTTGTGAAATTCCAAAGTTGTTGCCTTATAATCACTCTATCTATAATTTTTAAGCAGCTTAGAAAACACAAAATATTACACAAGGCTGTGTCATGTGAAGCCGTGTCTCAGTTGGTAAGGCGCTCGATTCGGAATAGAACGGTCCCGAGTTAAGCCATTTCTCTGGCCAGGCCAACGGTAGTTTTCAGAAAGGGCATCCGATTTTCAAAGGCTTAGCTTCTCTGGACAAAGAACCTGCTGGACATAGAATTCGACAAAAAACGTGTCACAGTTAGGAAGGTTACTGGGTCACTAAGGTTGCACCACATGTCCCACTTACAATGTTCTAAGAGTTTTCGGCTGCATACGCGTCTGTCTGCATCGTGGCCACTTTATTGCTGCAACCATATTCTTAACATTCCAATTGCTTCACCAATTTTCATATCAACTATTCTTGACCTATTACGTATAGTTTTTGAATTGATGGCTCACACAGCCGTAATTATTTTGGCAGTATCTTATGTTATCAGAAGACCCATGCTAATCTCCATAGTTTAAATTTCCTTTTGAGATTGCGAAATTCCGAAATTTTATTCTTCGTTGCGATAAACTAAGCCAGCTTGCTCAATACAACGTGAACTGGATTAGGAATTCTTACTGTCCTATTTTGCCGCCATCGTCGAGTTGAAAAATCGCATGGTTTATTGTTTTTAAAAATGATGATTGTCAATTATTGCCCACTTTTTTAAATTGTTGTGGAAAGCAAAGGGTGGTAATTTTCTGAAATATTTCGTCCTCTCCACAGTCTAGAGCTGTATTTCGAAGTAATTTTATCAAAGAATGTTTAAGATAGCATGTTTGTGGTAAGATGATGAATGTAACTAAGCCAAAAAAATTTCACGCAGCCTATACTATCTTAATCTGGGTAACTACTGGTCTTGGCTGTGCCGTCTATTGGGTTCTAAAATGTCATGTGTATGCCGTCTGTGTATGTGTATATGATTCTAGAAACTTGAATGCCATAGGTATGCTGTTTGCATATTGACTAAAATATCATCCGTTATGCTATATGTATGCCGTCTATAAAGAAACAATATTTTCGTACGTTTTCTGTTTATAAAAGAAGTAAAATGTCATCCGTGTGCCGTCCATAAGGGAACTGTGCTGTCTATATCGGAGCTAAAATGTCATACGTATACCGTCTATACGAGACTTTTATGTCATACGTATGCCGTCTGTAAAAGAACAACATTGCTATATTTTGTCTACATGGGAATTAAATATAGGTATTCCCTCTCTAAAGGAACTTCAGTGCCATCTTTAAAGCTACTGCGGTGTCAATATAGCAACTAAAATGTCATATATATGCCGTCTGAGCTATAGACGGCTAGGGCTGGAGATCACTATTTGTGGGTACTAAAAAGATTGCCGACACGTGACTTTTACCAAGAATATGATAGTGAACCTGATTGATCTAGATCGCTATTCAATTTTCTATTGGTCGACCTGTTCTTCTCTGGGATATCGCATAAATTAAATCTAGATTGCTGGTTACATTCGGGCTCGACTTAATACAAAGTTATCTCTACTTATTGCAAAGAGCAATGGGTTGGTTCTTGAAGGTCGTATTTTACGTCCCTGTATTCTAACTCAACATTTTTAAAAGACCGTAGTAATTTTCCATTTGTATTCAGTCGGAATTTGAATAAGCATGAAAATCAAATCTGATTTGTAATTTAACAGTGTTATACTTGGTATTAACTCCATTTTTAGCGAATGTTAGCAGGCTTCAATAATTTAGTTGTCCTATTTAACATATATTATGTTGAAATCTGGCAGTCTAATCTGTTGTAATTGGAAGAATTCATCAATGTTTGATGAAGTTATTATTATTCACTTCTAGTCTCAGCAAAGATGATGTTCTGCGAGATCTTCTAGATCTGGCCATAACAGAACCCCCGGAGGACGGAGATTTAAAGACTCAATTCAAGTAAGACTGCATTCATCCATACGTCTATCTATTCATTCATTCATTTATTCATTCATTCATTCATTCATTCATTCATTCATTCATTCATTCATTCATTTACTCATTCATTCAAGTCTCGAAAATAATTAGTGCAATGACCATTTCCCAAAGCAACTTTCACCGATTTTTAATGAAAGACGTTATTGCACTGGAAAAACATTTAAAGATCTATATATGTAACAAACGGGCACTTGTTCCAGGGTGAATAATTGGTAGGAATTTGTTTATGTTTTGCTAAGATCGTGCTTTATCTATGACCATGACAACAAACCAAAACTAAGATTTTGGGATAGTTAGAGGGTCATGGTAGCCAACCTTCTGATAGAAGATGGTACCTGATGATGATGAAGATCATGCTACATTTTATGCTTTAGTGTTATGCAAACTCTCTTTACAAGCTCTTTGGATGATTGACAGGCCTCGCCCCTTCATATATCTAATTGATTAGGGGTTATTTGTTTTAAAATCTGTAAGATTTTAAAGGGCTGCTTTTCTTGTAGATATCCAAATTTAGCATGTGAAGTGATATGTACAGATATAGATGCAATCATTGAAAAACTTGTTTGTGAGAAGGTGAGTGTTTATATATTTCGGGATCTCTTGGGCGGTTATAAAGACCATCTTAACTTGGTGGGCTGTTTGACGGTAATATATGTTTAAAACTTTCATATGAACTCTCCGCTCGAACCAGTGCCTCTCCAAGTTGATCAAAAGATTAAAGAGCCCCCCCCCCATGAATAAGCGCCCCTACAACCTTATTTGAATCGGTTATTTGTTCGTGAACAACAAGGGATAACTGTGAGGAAGGTGTGCTCTTTTTGTATTAAGGGCCGAATGCCACAAGCGAAATTTAGTTAGATGTTTTTGAAAAAGGACGTTTCTCTTCAATTGAATCCCGTTTTCCTTTTATATCCTTACTCAAATTTTATTTTAATGACCATTATAATTTGACCCTTGCTAATTGCTTATGTTATTGCAGAGCCTGTTGGAAAAGTTATGGGCTTTTCTAGATCAAGATCCGCCATTGAACCCTTTAATTGCCAGGTAAGAAATCTTTTATTCGCAGTAGATAATTACCTTCTTTTGAATGCCTTTATTGATCATGATGCATCTAAAAACACTTCCATTGTAACACCCCCAAAGTTTTGACACAAACTGTTAATTAAACAACGTCGTGCCCTGCTCGTGTGACTAACTTACTTTTTCTCTCGGTATAAAATATGTATTCGATACGCCTTAGTTTCTTGGAGCAAGGTGGAGATTGAATTGAAGAAACATGACAAGCAAGCTAAAAACAAACAAATCAAACTTCTGTGCTCTTTTTACACCTCTTCAAGTTGCTCAACCAGCCCTATCTAATAAGCAATAACACTTAAGATGGCCCTCAAAGATTGTAAGTGAGAATAAAACGAGGGCACTTTTTCAAGCTATTCAAAAGTTGCTGGCAAAAGCCACAAGCGTCTTCCCGAAGCAACTGCCCTGTATCTAATGCTTGTGCTTCCAGCTACCAGCGATTGCCTTTTGCCTTCTGTTTTTGTTTACACAATATGTCCTAGAAGCTGCTACCACATGTTCAAGATATGCACTCTGTTCGTTTAATAGTTGTGCTTGTTAAGCCTGTTGCTATTGCTGGGTCAAACACAATATGTTGCTGCGTTATCTATACATCGTCTGGAAAATAATTGTTAAAGAAAACACCTCGCTGTTGGCATTTTCTTTTTAAAACTATGTTTATTGTAAGCTTGTTTGTACTTAAGAAAATACATATTAAATCAACAGTTATAGAAGTTTTCCTCTCGCTGTACAAATGGAAAGTGTTGTATTTTATTCCATTCAAACGTTCACTTGAGGTTTAGGTGCAACGACAGAACGCCCTTTTTCCTTTTCCCCCTTTCTTCTCACTCTCTTCAGTTTCTCTTCACGTTTCTCACAGTTCCTTTGCACTTTCTCTTTCTGCTCCCCTGCAATTTCTGACTGTGTTTTTTGTTAAGGTTTTACACTATAATTTATATTTCCTATCCTGAAGTTTTGCTCCTTGTTAGAATGGCGGTTACTGTACCAGCTCCCCGCAAAAGCTAAAGGGATAAAATCATTTTTCTTCAAACAATTAATAAAACGACATGGTTCTATTATTAATTATTTTTTACAGTATCCCTTTTTAGTATTTCTTCTTTTCCCCTTTCCAACTTCCCCTCCCTTCTTTTTTCTAAATATTATTTCCTTTCGTACCCTTCCTTCTCTCCGTGTATCCCTCTTTGCATCCCGCTCTTTTTCTCTTTTTCTTTTTCTTTTTTTGCTTTCTTCTTTCCTTTTCTCATTTCCCCTTCCTTCACTGCCATTCCCCTTTCCTTTTTTTCTCCCCCCACCCCCTTTACTCCTCCCTTTCATTCCACCTCTCCTTCCTTTCTTTTGTTCCTCTCACTGTGTTCCACCCCATCTTGATTCTTTTCTGCATTTGTTATTGCAGCTTCTTCGCAAAAATCGTTGGTTCAATATTAATGAAAAAAGGAACAGAGGTTGGTTCCTTAAAATCACTGAAATTGTTCGAGAATGAGGATTGAATTCTCTATTGCATCAAATTTCTCTTATTCATTCAGCATAAAATTAGTTTTAAATTTGAGATTGTACAAATCGAATAGCAATTTCTTCAACAATTTATCTGGAGAGCCCGAGAGACTTTTCCCCATCTATTTAATGTAAAGGATGCTCCAAGAGATTTCGAGAGTTTAAAAAACACTATATGTATAAAGAAGAAAATGTTGAGCCGATGTTCAAGTGATATAGCCGTAAGTGTAGGCTCCAAAACATGCGATTAAAGTTCTTAAACTGCCGCCTTAGGTCCCATCCACACTAATGTGTTTTCCAAACTGGTCCGTCAAATTAATTTGTGCCCGCCTTTACACTGGCATTGAGAAAACAGATAGAAGTATCTTCGTCCACTTTTCATTTCTGCAATAAAGAAAGCAATCGTTTAAGCAACGATTGGTTTTTTATACTTATGAGTTTAGCGTTTTCAAAAGTTTCCGAAGGATAAAAATATATGCGTAAGTGGAGATTGGGCTTAAAATGGGAGACAGTTTGAAGGAGAATAGCTGGGAAATCACAGCCGGTAGTTATAAACGCTCGGAAAATCACATCGGAAAGTGCGGCCCTGTTTCTGATAACAAACAGTGCAGAATTCTTTACAGTCAAAAGCCGCAAATAAAAGATTCACTTAAAAGAAACTGCAGGCTGACTTTTTCAAAGTTTTTTTACCATAATAGAAGAATCTGTTGAGCCTGAATTTTGTCCATTTTCTACATATGCTTGTTTAGAACTATCTTTGAATTTATTGGATTTAGAAGACAGCTCTGTAAAACTAATTACTTTCTGTTAAAAGACTAATAACAATGACGGCATCAGAACATTGAACATCCAGTAAAGAGAATCCGTGAATCTATATTTAAAAATGATAATTATGACATTTCGGTTAAAATATATAATGTTTATACATTTCAAGGCCAATCCTACTATCTTCTTGTTAAAAGAAATTTTTTTAAGAAATTCGCCAGACCTTTTTTGTGTATGTATTAATTTATTCCTTTTCTGACTAAGTATCAGGTCTGATCCTGAGAAAAAGAATTTCTTATATGTGGGATTTTACTGTTAACTTTACGCTTTTTTTATTTTGACTTTCTCAGGTCTTTGAATATGTTAAAGAACATGACGTCATCGATAAACTGCTAAATCATTTGGAGGTTTCTGCTATGATGGAAGTCTTTGTCAAACTCATGTCCATTGTCGATTCAAGTGAAATGAAAACGAAAATGGAGAATGTGAGTAGCGGAATCTTGACCCTGTATGTCAATGTGTTGTTTTTGAAAACAGGTTAACATTTAGTAAGAATTTACTCTTTTTTTAAATAAATAAATGATGCTATGGACACTGGAAACTAGGCTGGCTGAAGCCATAGGCTTAATTTAGATAGCCGATAGAGCTGTTAAGGATGACGTCAATAACCCGAAATCAATACTTTATAACAATTTTTTCTGGTGAAATTTCATGGTACTTTATTGATTTTCTAGCTGCTGGAGGAACAAGAGCTGGTCCAGAAGCTGATCATGCGACTTGGGCCTCAGTATTCGCACGAGGTGAGCAAGATTTTTCCATCTATCGTTTTGGACCTCGGGGAGGGCCTTTGTTACCTGACAAGAATTTGGTAGAGATTTGATAATAGCTTCGTTTATTCTTTTACTGTACAATGCGGAATGGAGGCAGAATTGATGGTATGGATTTTCAGGGTGGGGAGTACAAGCCCAGAAATATGAGTGTTATGTAGTGGGAATAGTTGAAAATTGAAATTGTACAGTTTTCATGATTTTCCTTGGTAATATTAAATCCACTACAGCGTGTAACTAATCTGCAACTCAGACATTTTCAGTGACACAGATCTATCGGTTCCTTTGTTTGAACGATGGCCCAGTCCACCATTTTGTTGGCTGAACTGATTTTCTCAATGGATAACCAGTTCAATGAGCAGTTATGACGTTGGACCATTTGAATAGTTACCAGATGATTGGAAGAAGACACGTGTCAAAATGCAAAATTCTCAAAGGTCTTGAGACTGTGTTTTGATGCCCATCCCCATCTGTGACGTAGTGTCACTGCTTTATACTCTCAGATGAACATCGGTAATAGGCAGGTGCAATTTGTAAAGTCCATATACATTTCTTATAAACACAGGGTTGTACTTCGATAGCTAAGACTTAGACCTAACTGTTCTGATGTTTCGTAACTGTGGCCTAAACTTATTAAACCTTCCTTTTTTTGCAGATGCACAGCAACTCCTCAAACCTTCTAATTGAGCTGATACGAATGGGTAGAGAGGCTCCTTCGCAAGTTCCTGACCCCGAAGACCAAAGCGGACTGTTTAGTGTAGTAGAAAGGTAGGAATGGTTTCAAAAAAATGTATATAGCCATAATTCCACAGTCTGCTATACATTATCCACAGAACATGTCAAGTCCGTACAAGTATTCCGATAAACTAGTTGTCACACATCTCAGGGAGATGGCGGCCAACTTATATATATATATATATATCATTGGTTGCCTAGGATCTTGGCATGCTCTTTAACGTCTATGACATGTTACAAATCATGTTTCTTTGTTTCTTGCCTATCGTTATACATTTACACACACCTGAAGAATACCTGGAGATTTTTTTCGAGTATGTAGTGTTATTTTCAAAAGTGGCAACTTTCGGTAATTGTTTGTTGAAAATTTGTTTCTAGGGAGGATGTGTTATCTGACCTCATAGACAGAATACTTTCTGATCGTGGCAGCCCTAATGCTGACTCGTCTCTCGTGAATGGCATGGATGTCCTGCTCTCTCTAATTGAATTTAAAAGACCAAAGTAAGTATAAATAATTGATAAACATGTGTAGTACAGCTCAAATTTATCATGAGCTTTTTGTTTTCTCTTCGTCCCCACCTATCCACATTATATTTTCCAGCATTCCTTGCAGCTGTTTGTCACAAGCTTTCTGTATTTCTCTTTTTATTTTCTTGAACAATTATCCTCCCCACAGTGCTCTCCTTTTGCTTCTGCTAGGGATATTCCGTACAATTTCCCCAATTTTAAAAACTAGACTGAGCTGCTCGATTTTAATTTCGCCTTTGTTTTCAATCGGAGAATGTTTGACTCAATATTTGCAAAATATAGAAATATATTCAAGAACAATGTGCCATAATTAAAAATAATGCAGCTTTACTCCATAATAAGCAAGACATATCCTTATCTCATCTAAAGTAGGGACCAGATGACCTTGTGTCCTTTCCTGCTTTGGATGGCACAGTAAAATGTCTCAAACCTTTGTGTTTTAACTTTTTAATATTGATAGAAAAAAAATATCCTTATCTATATGGTACCGTGCCCTTTTCGAACCTTAAATGTTAATATCATCCTAGTTGTGGTTTCCTTTAAATTCATTCCAACAAAGTAATGAAAGTAAGAAAGCTGTAAAGATATAAATGATTATAGTAATGCTGCTTTAGCTAGCATTTAAAGGAATTATCCCCAGGAGTAATACTAAAACGGCCATCATTGCTAATGCCGCGAATCTCAAAAGCTCTTTTGCCAAAGTTGAATCCTCCCTGGACTTTTTAATTTCCCATAAGATGTTGTCGGTGTTTTTGTGATCTGAAAGTTTAGCATTGACCCAGACAAGAATAGGTTTTATCGTTGGCTGCTCCATATTGATCTTTACAGAATCAAACCAAAAATCAACTTTCAGATGAGCCTGAAAACGTATTATTTAATACTTCTAAAATACGCGACTTGGCTTTAATCACAATGCTTATAATTTCATGACCGCGATCCTGTTTTTCGTTAATGAAGCTTGCCTGCAGGCTCCTTTCGCTTACGTTTTGTGACCTACATTTTGCGAACCTAGGATCGTATTTTCAAGCTTCGAAGAAAATGTCGTTATATTTTATGCTTAAAGTCTGAGAGATTCCAGCTAGATCTGTATAAACCTTAATTCATTTACTTAAACTTTTCGCCAAAGAATCAGTCCGACTATGAGCGTCTTATTTAAATTTCTCAAGTCATAGCTTGTCAAACGATCCCTACAACCGGTTCTCTCGTTCGATGACCAATGAACAAAGCTCGATGCTTGCTTTCTGATAGAATGTTCCTAAAAAGCTGACATTATCTATAATGACAGTTAATTAATTGTTAGAGTCTAGAGAAGAACTTAAGAAAAGGATTTATTAGAGCCTGGTGCACTTAAAAAGTTGACCTTAAAAATGATTAAGTTTGTCATACAGTGTATTGAACTTTGTTGTTTTTGTTGGCAGTGTTGTTGCTGTTGTTGTTCTTGTGTTGCTTTTGTGGTTGATGTTGTTGTTCTGGTTGATTAAGAGAAAACAATGTTCTTTGTTGTTGTATTGTTAGCTACTTAGCTTCCGAAGTTAGTTTTTGGACACTGAAAAGCTATGCTTATCGAGCTGGTCTTTCCACTTGCCGTGACCACACCTCGTGATTCCTACGTATTTCATTTAGCTGGCGACTCTCACTCGAATCACGGACCCTTGAGTTTGTAGTCAGCGACCCTAACCACTGGGCCATCCTATTTTCCCTCGCACCAAATTTTGTTGTTGCTGTCAGTCATTGAAACGACATATCATTTTTTTCAGCCCAGAAGGACTAGAAGAACTCTTCACACCTGTTAGCGCAGAAAAGATTGCACAAGGTAAAAAGCAAAAATGAAGTGTTATTGACTGTATTTAATGTATCATTGGTGTCGTTCCCGTTTTCCTTAGAATTTATACCTGTTACAGTTTACCACCTAGAAGCATTTATTTTCAACATTTTTCATTGAAATCGTGTTTTTCTTTGATGGCTGCAATTAACGCAGACAAAAACGGGAAAACCTAACAAAGGTTTCCAGTTAGTTTTAGACACTCATCTTTACTCAGCTTGTTTCTTTCGTGGAATAATCTTTTGTACCAAGAGAAATGTTCCCCTCTACTCGTAGGCATTTACTAAAATATCAAAATGACAATGCAACCTCCCCCGCCCCCCCCCCACGGTGTGGATAATCTCTTCCACGCAACATTAAACACAGCATCAAACGCAACATTGAATGCAACACCAAGGGCAACATCCAGCGCAACATTAAACGCAGCATCCAGCGCAACATTAAACGCAACATCAAAACGAATCATTAAGTACAACATCAAGGACAACATTGAATGCGCATAAAACACTTTATACATTGCAGTTTATTATTCTACGCATAACCGCTCATAATTCTGCATTGATTTTTAGGAATCCAGAGTGCCCTCAAAGCTTTAAAATCACGGTTAAAAGATTTCCACGCATTGTTAGTTGAACCGCCTCCGGTATGTATTTCTTGTGAGTTTCATTCCATATTGTTTATAAGAAAATGCGTCAAATTTTCTTTGATTTTTGTAGTTTGCGTGTAGAGGCCACGTTAATGTGGTCATCAAGTATCTGAATTCAAAGATAGTGAAGATTGCTGTTTTAGCCATCATATAGTGTTTATCAAATGGTGTTCCATACCGTAAAGTCAGGGCTGTACACGCTTTGGTTTATAGAACAGGAAGGTTTCTAAGTTCCTTCTTCGAGTTTCACGCTTAATGTGACCATCAAGCAACTGTACCCAAGATTGTCGATTCAATTGTTACGTTCACTCTGTATACAATAATTAATCTTTGCTCGCGAACAACCTTGCGTAAGTTGATCAATATAACGAGCAGATAATCATGAGTTTTTGTCAAACTTTTCTTCTTTTTCAGCAAAGCCCAATGCTGTCAACTGTAGGCACACTCGACCCACCGTTAGGAAGGGTTCGACTGCATGTCGCATGGTTGATATCAGCTTTAGTAGCCACCAGTTCTCCGGATGTAAATAGCGAATTAACAGAATTAGGAACCTTAAACGTTTTATTGGTATGTCTCTTTTCAAATAAACATGTTTTGATTACTTCATGCAACATTAGAGTGCTGGCAAAAGGACTGAACGTTTCATTAAGAATCTTACGCAACCTGCATGCTTTGCAACCACAGTTCAAAAACTGGCCTAATATCACACTCCATGAAAATAAAAAACCAATTTACCAATTTCTCCTTAAGTAAAAAGAGAGCTTCCACAAAACATTATACTCAATTTTTGTTTTGTGCCGTTTAGTCATGTTGAGTGTTTTTGTGCGTTGTTTGTGTTGTTTAGCAAATGTTCTGGCGTTTTGCAAAACATTTTCTATGCTAGAGCAGGTACAGTAGCTGTAGCAACCAAAGCTTTTCCTGTCAATGTGTTTCAAAACCTCAAGGATCTTCATGAAACTTCTGCTTCATCTCTCTGACAATACTTTGTCTTCAACACTCAACCCTGTCCTCCTTCAAAACTCCTTTTCTTCCCCGCCATTTTATCAATTTTTTATCCCAGTCATTTTATCCAATTTTAAGGCCCCGGGGGGGTCTGTGTTCCCATGTTCCCTAAAATATTCAATAACCTCCCCTGTTCTCTAGAAATCTCTCGAGATCTCCTCTAAGTGTTCTCTTGATCTCCGTTATAATACAAGTTGTCTCATGTTCCCTTAAAAACGTTGGGTTCCCCCCACCCGTAGGAGGGTCTCATGGTTTATGAATTTATCCACTTCATACATCATTGTCGTACGAACTATCATTAAGTTTTTTACAGTTCTATTTGTGACATTCATGTTTGCTTGGATAATTCAGTACTAAAATTTGGCTAAGTTAACAGTTAGCTTTTTGTCAACTTCAAGTGCTAACGCCACTGTTAAATATTGGAGCAACGTTTGATTATTTAAAGCTTTTAAGCTGATTTAGACAATGTGGCAAGTTGACCGCCTCTGTTTAGATATCTTTATGACATCTGTTCTGTTGGTTTCTTTTAAGGCTAATTCATTTAATAATATCTTTCCAGAATCCCGTCATTCATTCTAGCCAAAAGCACTAGCAGTAAATCCAACCATTCTTTTTGGAGCGCTAATAGGAAAATGCTTAACAGGAATTTTTATGCAAAACTGTGGGAAATGCAATTTTCTTTTAAAGTTTTGTTTTCTATTTCGAAAAAGGATTACGTTTTGCAAAAAAATTGGATGCCCTTTTTGGTAATGCCACCAATTTTTTCGACTTTAGACCCTGATTGTCCTGTGCATGATTATGTTCCATTTCTTGTCACAATCAAATTCTGGTTTCAAGAAAGCCTTGTCTGTTATTTTGACCCAAACTTCTCCAAAAATGCTTTAAGTGAGCTTAAATTAATCTGCTTTTCGTTTGCTTTAGATATAGTTAGAGAAAGAAATTGCTGGTACTTGTGAAGTCATTTAGAATTTTCTGCATGCCAATGTATTTTACGTTATTTTATGTTATTTCAAATGCATTTTTAACATACCTACTCTCGTCTCTACAGGATCTATTTTTTGATTATCAGTGGAACAACTTTTTACATACCTACGTGGAGCACTGTATTAGTTCGATTTTATGTAGCAACACAGAAGATGAAAGCAACCCATTACTAACACATGTATGGACATTTCGTCTCTAATTTTCTTTTGGTTATAATTTTTTGTGGTTTTAAAATACTCTTAAAGTTATTCCTTCTGACTGAAAGAGGCAGCTGTCGGACAAATCTACCCCAACCCAATCCAAATTTACCCCAACCCCTTTTACGAAGTCTTGCCAGCAAACAAAAATAACTCTGATTTTCATATCTTGTTTTATGACTCAAGTCAGCGCCTGATTAGTCAACGAATTTTTCAAAATTCTTAAAGCTTGGCCTAAGAAGCGATTATGACAAACAATTTTATAAAATTTAATTATACAAATTTCAAAATTGTTGACCATTTTACTGATGTTTTATACTCTGGAGAGTGTCAGACGAAAAGCTTAAAAATGTTTTGAAATGTTTGTTTCTATCGGCGATCGAATTCTCGAGCATTAACCTTAGTTTACTCATTTTCTAACTAAATAGAAATCGTTTAAATCGTTTATCTAAGTTTATTTTTTTCAAACAGCTTTTATCCGATTGTTCCCTGATAACGAAGATTATAACCGCTTGGGAGGAGAATGAAGCACGGCAGTAAGTAGAACCTCCTTAATATGCAATAGCCTCCTTTTCCCCGTTTCTTTTACTGTTCACAAATTTTCTGAAGAAGTGTAAAGCCATGTTTTATAATATCTGATTGCGGAGAAATTGATAAGAATTCGCATGTTATGCAAACGCTGTTGCTTCGATCCAGACATTTTCTTTTCAATAGTAAAGGCAATTTTCAGCCATCTTGTGCAGAAGTAAATAGTTTTGATTTTCTAAAGTGTTTCCAACCGTTCCGCACGAGGATCGACCATATTTTTTCCCAATTTTGGGTAAATTTTGATTATAATATCTACTCGTAATCAAGCTTGACAACAGCTTTGTGTTGTTTTTCAAGAATTTTAAATGCAGAATCGAGAAAATTTTGACAATTTGTGTTGTTTTGACTAGGTTACTTCCTGGCGGTCAGCGAAGGGGTTACATGGGACATTTGACTCGAATTGCAAACAGTTTAGCCGCAAATATGGAAAAAGGACCCAACTGCGAGTTACTGCAATCACTTTTCAACGGTTTGTTAAATATTATAGTGATTTAGATTATGAAAATTTAAACATTTATTTTTGCCTTGGTTTCAGTAAAACTTCATACTTTTATTTGAAATCATTGAAAACTCTGCATTGTTAGCTTACAGTTAAAAGAGTATTTTGTTTGACATTTTATCAGTTTTGTAAATGATTTGTCTCATATCATGGGTAATTTTCGAGTCTAAATGAATGTGTCTCTTGTTTTTCTTAGATTTACCAGAAGAAGCACGATCCAGCTGGAAGGAACTCGTTGAAGGAGCCCTCAATGATGTAAACGTTAAGAATACCACACAGATGGTTAGTTATTTTTGCAGTTTATCCACAAAATTTCTGTTTTTTTAATGTAGAGTTGATTTAAGGCTTTTTAATGAAGTTTTCTACGAAAGGCAGTACGTATGGAGCCACATTTCATCATCAGAGCATATGGAGAAAAATTTACTTTCACGTAAGGTTATCAAGGTTTTTTCAAGCGGTATTATATATTGCTTTCCACATTAAAGTTGTTTGAAATTAATGTTATCAAATGTATATATATTATATATTGCTATATAAAAATGTTATAATACTATTTTAAATATTCCATTGAATTAACGGGTCTCGGCAGCAACAACTTCAATTTCTCTCATAACTTCACTTTCAAAGCTCTGCATCTCTCTAACCAAATGTCATATTAGCCTTTTGCCTGCAAATTTGAAAAAACGAAATGATTATGTTTGTTATCGCTAAGTAATAACAGAACTCAGCTCCTTTTTTTGTTCCATTTTTGCCAGGTTACGCAAATTTTGAATAAACTGTTTTTTAGAATGGGATTTTCATAACGCATGGTTAGAACAACTTGGAAAAGTTTTAAAATTTTCTTCTTCAAAAATATATATAGGGATGTCTCAAGGGTGGATGCTTTAAGCACATCTTCTCCTTCTCACCTTACCCTTTCTTTTTTATAAACTTCTCTCTTCAGTTTTCCCATAAATTCACTTCTCTGCCGGCCACACTAATTTATTATGTCACCCTTACCTTCTTTCTTTAAATCTCTCCACCATCATTCAATCAATTCCTCCTCTTGTTCAATAATTTCCAAATATAATAAAAATAAAAAAACATCTGATCATTATTATTTTTAAAAATATTTAGTAGAGAAAATATTTCTTCCAATCCTCTCCCTACTGAATAAGTAAGGGAAGTTTTCCCCGAAATAAGTCATACTTGTGTTTTCACAGCAATTTAGCTCTCCAATGATGCATTCCTCTTCGGAAGATGATGATGATGGTACTTTCAAATCCGTGCCAATACTGCAATATGAAAATTCGTTACAACAGGTATTGATCGCTTTCATTCAATCTGATTTTTCCATATTATCTGTCTACTTTACAAAATATATGTGCTTAATATTATCATTTTTGTCTTTGAATCTTTGCCGAAGTTTATTCCCAAGTATTATACTTGTATAACTGAATAGGAATTTGCACAGTACTTTCATTTGTACTGCCATTAACACCGGCTGGCCTTTGTCATATTTAAGCCCTTGTAAAACCAGGCAGTACTAACGAGCCCTGATATGGGCTAAAACTGATCTGCAGTTGACTGTTTAAGGTACAATGTCTTGGTTCCAATCTGAATTTTTCTTAGAGAAATGTTTTGAATCTAGTTAAAATAGTTTTTACTGAAATTTTTTATTTGAGTACCCCCACAATCCCCATTTAAATGCTTGTCATTAGAAATAAGGAACATGTATCTCTGTAAAATATATGAATACGCCCTTGTCTTCCCCATGTCAGCCTCCGTTCTCTCGCCTCCTCTTTCCCCTTCCTCCTACTTTCCTCCACAAACCCTCCTTCTCCAACCCAGACCTCCACTACACCTTTCACTCACCTACGAACCCTGCAACCTCTCTCCTTGCCATAGCCACCCCCCTTGGTTTTTTCTTTCCCTATTTAACCCCAATGGGAATGCATAATCAACATGTTGATGAAACCCTTACTTTTTGCAATGTTGTTAACTTTTATGTTGTGAATAATATTGCCACAATTGGTTGAATATCTGTTTTATGCTCTTTTGTTACCCAGGCCTTTTCAAATTATCAGGTCCAGCAGATGTCAGCGGAGTTTATCGAGACCTTTGGTCATAATGAGGATGATCTTAATGAAATCGGCAAATCTGAGTACGTTTTCTTTGCCGTTACGCTTCCAATAAGCAAACACTCTCTGACTTATCTAATTTCTTTACCGTATTTCCTCTAATGAACGCCGCCCTATATTAAATGCCTCACTTTCGGCCAACCATTTTTAATAAACGCCGCATCTTGAAAAGCGGCGTTCATTAGAAAACAGACCAAACAAGAAATAACGAGTAGTTACTTTTCGAAAGCTATGAAAGTTTTCATGTCATAGACGTGACCTCTGACGGAGACATTGACTTTGAATTTCCTTGATACTTCCGTAACGTGAACACATCTTTTGTCAACATCTTTCAAAAAGTATTTAGTACATGTTTAGATTTAAGAAACATTGTCCAAAGTCTGTTTTTATCTTTTTTGTCGCACTGTTCATTTTGTATTAAACGTCTCTCTCTGATAAACGCCACCCTGTATTAAACGCCGCATCCAGAAGTTTGATTTTTTAAAAAATACCACGGCGTTCTTTAGAGGAAATGTCCCCACGTTAGAAACAAACAATTTGTATTTTGGCTGTTTTTATACAATTTCTATTTAACGTAGATATAAGCAGAGTTATTTGACATATTTAGAGTCCCTAATAAAAAAATTTGTATCTCCTCAATGAAATAATAGGTTTTGAATCATGGCTGTTTCTATGCAAGTGTTTTTAACGTAGCGTCTCTCAAGGTTTTTTTTTCAAATCAATTATATGGTGAAAATTAACAAAGTTGTCGATAGTTTAAGTTCCTTAACTTTTAAATGTTTATTAAATGTAAAAAATGTTGTTTCGTTTCTTTCTAAATAAGGTCGAATTCATTAAAATTCAAAGAGTTCTTTCTGCTGCTCTGTTTTGCTTACACAATGCACAAAAGTGCCATAAAACATAAAATTAAGGATAGGAAACATTTTTGCAATATTTTCTTACAGTTTCAAAGTGGATTCAGTTATTTGGTTCAAAAACCAAAAGCTTTTTAACTTTAATTCTATCTCACTGCAATTCTTATTTTGTTAGTGTAATGACGATAAGTGTTTGTATTTGATAATGTTCCAAGAGCAATCATAAACTGTTCTTACAAACATTTCTGAAATTTTTTCGCTTGAAGCACCTGTTTTGATGAAATGTTTCTTATAAATGAATTACTTTCTTTTTTATTCAATATTGGTTTTACACTAACCATGTTTTTCTCAATTTTTTTCTAATTCCATCTTATAGTTAACTCTCTCACTCTTTTACTCTTTCACTCGTACCTTCAAACGATCTTTAATAAAATGCTTTTTTATTGCAGTAACCCGTTTGATGAAATTGGAAACGTCGATTTCTCAATTAATGCTAATGAAGAAACAGTATGTATTTTTTGTTTCTTTTTAAGAACATGCAAATTTTATAAAAATATATTTTATAAGAGTGCTTGGCACAGATCCAAAAGTTAAGAACAATTTAAGAACCATTCTAGCTCGCAGGCAAGATGCAAAAATTTTGTAGCTGAAAAAAAGATCGTATAAATATGATCTATGAAAATATTCATTTCGTGACAGAACGTGTTTGTAAATTGAGTTACATCATAATTAGATGCAGTGAGAGAAGACAAATTAAATGTTTTTTGCAGGGCAAAGTAAGTATAAATGATCCGAAAATTATATGGTGCTATTTCAAAATGTAACGAATTTTGCAAATTTACAAACATTCGAATTTTTGGTTTTTTAATTGCTTGCAAAATAATTATTTGTGTCTCAATCTTAAGGCGTAGTTCTCTTGATCACTATGGAGAGGAGAGATTACGGCCTCTGTTTCATGCCATCCTCTTTTAGGTGTAATTTTTTTACCGTTAAGTCGTTGGTGTTTATGTGCCCTTAGGTATGTATGCGGGGTTGTTGGTGCGAGACAAATAAGGCTAGTCTTTTTCAGAAACGCTTGTTATCAGGGATTTTCCTTTCAGCCCGATGCGCAGTTGTTTGAAGCTGTTTGTAATGAAAAAATTCGCCAGTTCGATGATAGCGGAAGTGATGAAGAGGTGAGAAAATTACAATTGCCATTTTCCTCCGGTTTTCTTCGAAAGGTTTCTCTCTATTCCATTTCGGTTCTTTACTGTATGCCAAGATTTTGAAACTGAATTTATTTGTATGTAACTTTTGTTGTTTATTATCAGATGTTGTCTAGTTCCATAGCTGAATATTTTTACAAAGCCTTGACAGGTTTTCTGATTCGGTTATTTCAAAGTCAAATGGGTTCAACACATCTACTAAGTTTGGGAATTTACCAATTTTCCTTTAATTTGAGTTGTGATTATGAAAATATTCTTCATAATTCGTTGCTGAACATTAGTATAAATTTCCTCGTCAAAAGCAACTTCCGAGCAGTGGCGGACACTTGGGGGGCGACCGCCCCCCCAATCTTTTGGAGGACAATGGTCTTTTGTTCTAAAACAATGGGAAATATGACGTCATCTTATTAAAACAATAGGCTTGCCCCCCAATATTTGATCAAGTGTCCGCCCCTGCTTCCGAGATCCCTTCTGTAAATGCCAGTTGTAGCCAAGTTTCACTGTATCAGGTAACTTGAACGTAATATTGAGAAACCTCTACAGATTATCACCATGCGATTTACTGCGAGACCTGTGTGAAATTTCTACGCAATGCTAATCGAATCCATAGGAAGCAAGTTGATATTAATGCTTTTTGCAACGCTCTAGTTCATCGCAAATGGTGTGATAGGTATTTTAAAGTGCTTAATACTGAATACATTTGCAGTACGTATAAGGTCTGCAAGTGTTACAGGGGTGGGGTGTTAAGATGGAGAAATGGTGGATGCAGGGGAATAGATTCGTGTGATTCTACAAAATCTAGCTATAACACAATTCCCAGTTTATTCGTTGCCATTTCGCTATCTCAACAATTGTCTTTTGAACTTTAAATTGAATAAAAATGATCTTCTTGTATTGTTATGGAAAGCCTTATTTGAGTGTGGGTTGACTAGGGTAATGTAAACATGCCTAAAAACATTCGTTTATTGAATCATTCGCAAGTCTTACATTCGTATTTACAGTGTTTCGGGAGCTCGCAATGGGGAAATGATTCTATTGTAAGTTTTAGAGTGTGTGTTAGTGATTTCTCTGTTGTCCCTGTTCTCGTAGTCTCTCGTGTGACATCTTTTTGCATAAATTTTACCTGAAATGCTAAAAGTTTACCTGTTGCTTGTTACCTGTGTGCGTTTTTGGATGTTTCACAGAAGAGTATGAGATGTCAAAAATGCTGGACTAACCGGGGTATCTATCCTCTGGTTGATATCACCCTAAATGTTTAGCATTTGTTGAATGCGGTTTCAGCAAGCCTAATGTTGTGATGTTGATAAAGTCTTCAAAATATTTTTATAGCATGTATTTCTCTTAAGGATGTTTGGGAAGAAAAAGAGCTGAAATACTCCCCCAAAGCAAATATGAAACGAAGGTGAGGAGTTTTACTGTTATGATAAGCCGAGGGAGGGTTTATCAATTCATACTGCAGTATGCTTTTTCCGATGTATGGCTGTATTTGCAATCATACACTTTCTGCTAGCGGAAGTCTTTTTATTCAAGTGTCTTTTGCAAATAGGCTTCAGCAGAACAATTTGCCTCAAAGTGAACTTTATGCAGAGTCCAGAAATGTGCAGCGGTGTAACGGAGACATTCTGGGCCCTGATGGAAAACACTGAGACGGACCCCCATTACGATGCTGTAAAGCATGTCAAACACAATACAAAAATACGAAAATAAGAATTTTCTCTTAAACTAGGTGTAGCTTGAGTTATAGAAGCTTCAGTTGACGAAATTTAAAAAGTTTTGAAACTGAGGTGAACTTGAGAAAAGTCTTCAAAACACAGATATAAAATCATTTGGGGGCCTTTTTTGTTCGGGGGCCCTTAAACTAAGGTGCCTTAAACAGCGTGGCGCTACCGGAATTGTGTTCTTCCTTGAGCCCAAACCGTGAAAATGGTTTTTTGTTTAAACAATTAGAGCATGCTGTGGTTAAATAACTTCAAAGGTGATGTCTTTTATTTGGCAGACCTGCGGAGAGTAACAGTGACGAGTCTGATAACAGCAGCGATGAGTCAGCTAGTTCGAGCGACGAAGAGGCTGTGTTTGCAGACGAGGTCAAACGAAATAGCCCCTTAATCACTGCAAAATCTGAAAACAAGGACACAAAACAGACAGATGAGAATATGGATATTGAAGGTTTGTCATTTTTTCTCATTTTTGTTCCCTCTTTATGTTTTTTCAAAGTGTCCTCTCTGAAGTGTTTCACCCAGGGATACAGGCTGTGCGTTTGAAAGAAATTGTTGGGAGGAAAATTATTTTCCCACGCTATCCTGGCTGGTAAGCCTTAAAGCTCAAGACTGCCCAAATTATAAGAAATCGTTTGAAATGTGTGTATCTCAGTAGGCCGTCTAGGATTATTCTTTGTCTCCGACGCATTTTGATGGGAAGACGCGTTATTTCTAAGCGACTGGAAGAAACTAATCGAAACTTCATAATTCCGAATTTTAAATCTTTTTGGATACACTTGTCCTTTCGTTGATCATTTTGGGAATTTCAACACTTGAAATTTCTCCTTTAACCGAAAGGGATATCAACATACAGACGAACAAGTCACTGCAAGAACTCCATTGCTTGCTAGTGAAAGATAACGCTGTCACATTATACCTTAACAATCTTGAATTCATTTGATATGTATTTCTCTATTGCTAGCAAGGTATTTCGCCTCAACTTTGCTCCAATCACTTCTAGAATGGACCGCTACTTTTGAAGGTGAAGCAGTTGCCATGGATACTTTAGATGCCGCCGCAGTTGGTTGGGTAGATTCGGAGGCGACCTCGGTTGTCGATGTTGCCGATGAACAAGGGTTCGCAGATTTCACGGATATCACGAAATTCTCGTGGTACGTGTCTAAAATGTTCTTTAGCTAAGCTTGTTATCAAATTTTAAATCAGGTTTAGTACGTCAAATAAAGAAGAACTTAAGAATGCTGTCTTTCTTGGATCATGCACGTTTTATTGGCCTAGCCTTTTCGTGGCCTATCCTTTTTACGTGATAACAAAAGGAAACTGGGACGAGCGCAAAGTGACTCTGCATAGAATAGTGTGGTAATTGTGAAGGTGTAACCGACGTCACAATAGCCATGCTTACTTGAAATTATGATCGTTAAACTTCTTTTTTATATTCCACTAGAAATTTTCAAGACAAGTTACCTATTACGCTACCTACTAATTACTTAACAAACACTACAAGGACGTTGATACCATCGTTAAACTTGGTAGCCAACAAAACATACGCCCGAAATTCATTTTACGTTCCATAGTGTTGTAAGTAATAAGCCACTCACTTTAAAGCACTAACCGTTATTTCATTTAACACAGTGATGAAGATGCGGACAATGTAAAAGCCGGACCAGAGTCGCCTGTTGCCATGGATGAAGACAGCAGCGATGCATTTCGACTGGAATCATCGAAGAAAAGTGAAGACAAAGCTGAAAATGAAGGTCAGTGGTTGATTCGTTGATTTTTGAGAAAAGGAGCTCATAATTATTTCTATAGGTATCAACTCATACCCGGATGTCTTATTTCTATACCTTGCTTTGCGATGCCTGTTTTCGCCTGCAGTTAAAAATTGCTCCTTGCCAATTTCATTCCTCTTTAGCATTGCTTTATGTCCTTTCTTTGAGCCCCTATTATCTGTCTGGATTGATTCAAGTACAGTTAATTACCCGTAATGCTTTTATGTGTCGTTAGATGATAAAATGGAGGAAGACGTATCCGAAGCGGAGAAACCTGATGACAAAACATCACCCAACAGGTTAGGGTTCTTCTATTACAACCAGAATATTTGTTATTTCATTACAATTTGCAGAGAGAAACTCTTTCGCGTTGGTAGGGGTTAGATTTGTGTTTTAAATTGATACCGTAGGTAGCAGGTACGTAAATACCGGGGTTGTGGAATCTAACTTGCAATTCCATTGCTTATTTCCGTCAGAAAATGACTTAACACAAATTCAATGCTGAAAATAATGCAATTTACCAAAACAATATAATGGTAAGGTTCTGTACGTAAAGGCGTAGTACAATTTTGGAACAAAAAACAGTTGGCTTATTGTCATTTGGAAATTTCTAACCCTTCACTCTCCCACGAACATCTGTCACTTGACGTCTCTTTAGGTATTATAAATTCCTTTTGTCAATCTTATTGGGAAATTCAGCAATTGAACCTTCCCATCTGTACGAAAGGTATATTTAACTACAGATGAACAAGTCACTGCAAGGAAATTTTTTGCTTGCAAGTGAAAGATAACACTGTTACATTTGAACTATGTTTATTCTTTCCTTTTTTCTTGAATAAATTGATTTCGTCATCTCGAAATTTTCTCTTACGATTCTTTACTCCAATTTTTTTAAAGTAAGAAAAGTTTTGGCGAGTTTCTGTCAATTTAGCCACCTTTTGATTTCTTAAGTTACATGCAATACATTAATTCAATTTGCAGGCCCGTTAGAAAACTTTGGGGTTCCTTTTACAATTATCAAAGTTTGGAGAACATTTCCAAGAGCTTGTTGCTATGAACTACCCCAATCTTGCTCTATTTCTTTGGTATTCTATCCACTGCCGAGTCCACTGCCGAGTCATAGACACTAATTTTTGTTATCAAAATGCTTATGTTTTTTTAAATCTGAGGTTATCTTTGCTTTCAACAACAATTCTCTTTGATAACACATACAAAATCGACATATTTGTAATATAAAATATTGAATTTCAGCAAAGGTGACATTCCTAGGATCGAGACAACATTAAATCCAGAGACAGAAGACTCAAACGAGCCAAGCAAACAAATGGAGAAAGATGTCGAAAGCAACTCAGGAACAAAAGATGAAAACAAGCAATCAAACAGCAAGTAAGATGAAAACCAGCAAAATATTTTCTCGGACACCTCAACCGTTTAACTTTATTTTGACGAATCGATATCTCAAGCCCTTTTTTCTGGAGAAACGTTGATTGGTACTGCATGCAATTCTTGTTGTTTGTTTTTTCCCGAGGATTATCAAGTTATGATAGTGTTTGCCAAGGAATTCTTATTTCCTTGTTCAAAATCTGCAATCTGACTTACTGCATAGTTTTTTGCTCAAACAAATTTATCGGAAATTTCAAAATTTCTTATTATATACATCCAATATTTAAATCTCGACTGTTAAGCTGAAAATACCATCAACCCAACACATTTTTTACTCTCACAAAAAATTTCAAATCATTTTTCATATCCGCTCTGTATAAATGGCTTATTCCTGGCTTCTGATCTTTCAGAAATGTCAAAGTTGATGTTGTGGAGTCTGGTGACGATCCTATGCGTGTGACGTCACAAGTTGTAGGTGGCTTTGTTGTCATCGATGCCTCGGTCCCGGAAGTTGAGAAGGAGGTATACATGTGTTTATTTCTAAACATTGGTTCAAAGATAACCCGAATGGCTTCATGTGAGCTATTCTCAAACACATTGCACAAATAGCAATTAAAATGTTTAAATGTGTTGATCACATCGATATAAAGCAAGTAAAAATTTGAACTTTTCTAGAAAGAAAGGGTTCTTTACTGAAGCTTCGCTCACACCAGAGATTAAAGAGTACTGAATTTTTAAAGAAAAGCAAGCAAAAATAGTTGTTCATTCTTGGTTTAATCTTCCTAAATCAATCTGTAGACATTGAGGTAAGGTATGCAATGTAAAATATTCTTTAGGGTTTTGGTTGTTTGCACATATATTGTTATCAGCAAGTAGGCTTGAAGTTTATGGGGTTTTCAATATTCGGTCAATTTAAAACTTAAGCCGAAAACCCACTCCGGAAAATGATCCGCCGATCGGATCAGATTTTGTGTTGCGCACGCGCTTTGGATGCAAAAATTGATCCGCGACGAATCGAAACGGATCGAAAGAAAGTTGAAATCATTTAAACTTTTATTTGAACCGTTCCGGTACAGTGGTTTTCTTTTGATCAAAATCGAATTAGAATTTTTAAACAATAGAGCACTTGCGTCATGAATTCCAATCTGAAACGATCTGCAGATCGAACGGAACTGATCAGAACAACACGATCTGATCCGATCCGCGGATCGTTTTCCAGAGTGGGTTTTTGGCTTTACTAATGGGTCTTTTGTACATGCTTGCCTATTGTCATAAATAAAGTCAACTTTCTTTCCTGACTTTAATTTCTGCTAGGATCAAATATAATCGCTTTACAAAGCCTCTTATAGAAAAGCACTTCAATTAAAGTATTTCTTGAAATGTTTTCACAGAATCGAAATGAGTTACCTGCAGCTAAACCGAACCAGGAAGTGATGTCATCAAAAAAAGAAGCCCATAGCCCATCTAAGAGTGGTGTTTCAGTTGTAACCGTGTCGAGGTATTGAAACCGTTTTCAACATTTGTACCTTTGACTTGTCCTGCATACTTGTCAGCTAGACGTTGTAACTTGTCCTAAGAGCGCCCAGATCAGTATCATTTTTTTTCATATTTTTCCTTCCTTTTTCCATGTTCTGCCACTTCTCCTTCCCTGTAGGCGTCCAAAGGAAGGTCAATAAAAACACCAAAATTTGAAACTTCCCCTGGCACAAATTGTTTTCAAGAGCGTTTTGACAGTTTTCGTTTATCTGTCTGATAAGTTTGATTCTGTTCCCTTCATTGTTTAGGTAAATAGCATAAACGTCGCATCAAAAATTTTCTCGATGCTCCTTGGATGTTGCAGAGCTTCCTTGTGAGCCACTTTAGTGTAAAGCAACCTTTTTAAAGTTGTTGTTAGGAATGATAGGATACAACATTGGAAAATGGTGGTTGTAAGACTTTTCGACATCGATTGTTGTATTTATTATTTGTAGAAGAAAAGCGCTACTCGATCCATGCTAAAATCTACATTGAAACAAAATATGGGAAAACAATTTAAATTGCACTGATGAAAACGGTTACATCATGGTCATTTTATGATTTTAAACTATCAATTTTTGATGAAATTTCAGTTTTTTGAACTAAATGCTCGTTTTGTTTTTCACAGCTGCTGTCTTAATTGGCGTTCTTTTTATTCCAATAACAGACAGGTTATCAATATAAGTTCTGATGGGACAGTCGAATCACCGCGATCACCACGATCACCGAAGAAATCAAAGTCACCAAGCAAGCCAAGGTCACCGAGATCACCGAGATCACTGAAATCAACGGAATCAAGTCAGAGACTTTCACCAAGGCAGCTAGATACGAAGAGTTCAGAAGTGTCAGAACAAAGTGAGGTAAACGCGGAAGCCACAACAAATGGACCTGTTTTGACACTAGAGGATAATGGAAATTCGGAAAATTCTGAAACGAGCAAGTGAGTAGGAAGTATAGGAACCCTTTCCTTTTATGAATTATAGCTTAGTATATTTCCTTGTTTTTGTATTATCCTGTCCTGAATAGGTTTTTACAAAGCAAGTCCTTGTGAAGTAAATTGTGACATTCACACTCTGCCATTTGCGGAAAGTTCTATAGCTTATCCTTTTCTTTGCTTCGTCTTATCAACATTGCTGGAAACCCCAGAGACGCTCGAATAGCTGTCAGGTAGAGAGGGGGCACGAGAAAGTACAAAGCAATAGCAAAATAAACAGAATTGCTGAAATTTGTGAGGGCAGGTCAGACAACCATCCCTATACGCCAGACCTGGGCAACTCACGGCCCTTGGGCCACATCCGGCCCTTTGGACGTTTCTTTCTTGCCTGCATGATTGTGTGGTCAGTCAGGACTTGAATGATGCTCAAGCAATACAATTGTGTTAACTTTACTCTGAAAACCCTGCCATTTTTGAAAATTATTTTGCTGGATTATTGTTCCATTTGACCTTCATCATTATTTCAAATATTGATTTAAATATTGATATATTTCTAGTAACCAGTGGCGGCTAAAATATTCTGTATTTTTTCACCTTTTACATTGCCAGAAAATGAACATTGCGCATAATTAAAGTTATCGTTGGTTCTGCCCTCCAACACTCGGATTTCGCATATAACCCCTTTTGAAGTTAATTGCCCAGCCCTGCATACGCCCTCCTGCTCTCATGTGTCTGGCATATTCTACCCCTTATATAACTCTGTTTTCTGATTTTATAGAGATTCGTTGACCACGTCAAGATGTGAAAGCAGCAATGTTGAATCGTGACGTCACGATCAGCTGTGGTAGATTTTTTCATATGCAGCTGAGGGCAGCAGTAGCCCTTTCTCCATACACAATCAAAACTAATCTTAAATGCGATTTGGGGCGTTAGTTAATTTGATAAGAATTATTCTCTGAGCATTTGACAGAGAGACTGTTGCTATGACAATTGACCCCGCCCATAACGAAGAAGTCAAGCCTTGAGGATTGTTGGAAAGTTTAACCATGAATACCAGAACGTTTGCAGTTGAGAGTGGAATGTATGCCAATCTTTGGAAATTTTTTCAATACCCTTTTTAATGAGAACTTTGTTCATGCGAAATACGGTTTTTAGTAACCCATTTAGCATAATGTCCTTTAGATTAACTGGCTGTTGTATAAACACGAAAAGCTTAAAAACTGCGATGAGTAAGGTTGTGAACTGTTTGATGCTAGAGGTCTAACTTCCCAAAAATTGTGTGAGTTACAAGGTGCACTAGAAGGTAAACCTGCTTTTCCTTCCTTGCCATCTCGCCCTTCTCCTCCCCCCCCCCTTCCCTATTCCCATTGCCTAAGAAGAAGCTTGGTTTCCACGCATAGGCTCTCAAACTGGCAGTAGGTTTAAATTTCTGGTAACTTCTATTAATCCACCCAAAGTATGTCATCAAAATCTTCCACTGAAGAACCAAAAGTTAATGTTTTCTTTTTTGTGTTCCAGAGCCTTCCTTAATCTCCTCTTACCAAGCTATGCTCACTAGTATTTTCCACTGTTAGATATCCCATGCCTTGGATATATCGAAGTGCCTGCAAGTTGCTTTACATTGCCGTTTAAGAGCTCGCAGTAAAATTTGAGTCAGACACGTACTGTGTCCTGCTTTGCAGTTTGAATATCTGTCTCTGCTCTTTTTGATCAGTTATTTAGAACTCTCACTCTAAATTTTCCAGATCGTAGACGTTTTAAGAAATGGCTTGTCATCCATTGCCACTCGTAATGTAGGGGTTAAGTAATCTTGTACGCTGTGTATCGCTAAGTTACGCCACGTCTACTATCGCGACTTCGCAAAGCATTTCACACGCAACACATATAGCCGTATCCTTGTAAAACCATGGGCTGTTCCTTTACCTTTATGCAAATGGCTTACATGTCTGCAACTTTTTCCAAAAATTACGAGAATCTATCACCTTGATTTAATTCAAGTTTTGTGTCATTTTTACGAAGTTTTCTGTGTTTATGATGAAATGCTACAAAATTCTAATTCAAACAACCGACCAGTGAGTTATTTCTTCATTTTGTTCTTAAATTTTCGTAATCTTAAAAATTCCAAACAATCGGATTAGAGTGCACTAGCGTTTGGAGCAGTGAATTGGGTTCTTTAAAGGCAACTATCAGATCCTCAAGTGGCTTGAGCCATCTACCAATCAATATCAGCCTATCAATAGTATGATGCTCACTGATTGGTCAATTGTTGATTGACAGGTTGCTGCAACCACTTTGGTGGCTGTCAACTGATTTTAAGCAGACGTATAGGGTAACCCTTGCTATTAATTGCAATCGAATCTCTTTTTCTGCCAGCCAGCCTAAATTGGCGCCTTTACAAGAGAGAAGCCTAAACCCTACTCCTCCTGTCTCTGTGTCATAAGCTGAAAGGTTTCTAATTAGTTGAGCTGCTTAATTCGTTTGAAACCAATTTTTTTAACCAATTTAATCTAGACTCTTTGGCAATTGTTGGGCTATTCCAGCTCTCTTTCTTTCCCACGAGATTCTTTATATGGAAATCATGTCTGTCGATTATAGGATTTTTAAATTTAACCTTCTTCCCCCTTCTGCCCCTCACTGGTATTTAGAGTGCCCCCCCCCCAAAAAAAATAAAGCCGCCAAACATCAGCTTGTTACCCATATGCTCAGATTTCCTTCGTAACTACGTTAATGTTGGACCACCTCAAAATTTGAACCCTAAAAATGGCTCATTAAATGAAGAAATATTGCCAGCTAGACTGAATGAGATGAACCTGACGGCTGTGAGTATTGCCGTTCTGCCTATTGAAGCTTCTAAGCGTAATGAATAACTATGGCCGGGTTAGTGTTGGCGCATCTATCTGAATGCCTTTTATTAATATTTTATAAATCTCAATTATCATGTTCTCCTTATAAAACCGCGCGGTGTATTAAAAGGTACAATTTGCAAACATTATTGGTGTAAAACTCTCTTGTACTTTCTATCAGTGGCATTTAAGATGAAAATTGTGATTTACTGAATTTAGGATAATAACCAACATCTGTCTTTGTGAGCCTCTTCTTTGTTTCGAACCCAATCTCTACTTCGCTCATCTCCATGTAAGATTGAGCCTAGAAGATGGGAAGGGGTTAGGGGCGTAACTGAAACCTTAGCTAAAGTGAGACCCATCGGCCAGTTTATTTAGAAGTTGCCGAGCAAGTCAAATGTGTTTCAGCTATACATGCAGTGCCCTTCAGTCCATTTTTTGGTGTCCAATGATTTCATAAATGTTTGCAGTGTAGTAAACAGCCCAGAACGTTTAACTGCAATTTTACGGACCAACGAATGAAAAACTAGGGATCTCACTTCCCAATAGACCTCTGACAGACACGCCCCGGCTTTTACACACCCTGTTATTTGAATATCAAAAAACCGAGTCAACTTTTATTCCAATAGGTCAGCCGTGCATGAGTTCTCGAGGCATTTTCTTATCAATGCCTCCCTCATAGGATTTATAGTGCATGCGAGTTTTGTCATTGGGGTTTCCACTGGGGTTTCCATGTCCCACTGGGGTGTCTCTTGATGCTAGTGATACTCACATGAGAATAAGACACAATTGTAATCGAGCTGAGTTTAAGCGACCTTCACCCACAAAACCATTTGTCTTTACGAATTGATGGCCTAGCTACAGCAAGAAATTGGGTTAGTCGTACGGCCTAAAACGATCCTTTTTCAACGAAGAATCATGGTTGTTTTCAAGGGAAGCTGACTCCAAACAAAAAATTTGGTAGCTGTCACTAGAAGAAAGTTTGTGGTATGTTAAGTTCTCGTACTCAAGTTGCATTTATTAATGATTCACAACGAAACCTTTTCTACTGTAGGCCCCCTTTGCCTACTTTGGTGTTGAATGCAAGGACCGAGATTCCGGGGGGAGCCCCCCCCCCCCAAAAAAAACTGAAGTAGCATAAGTAGACTTAGCTTAAGTAGCATAAGTAGACTAGCATAAGTATTTTGTGTATTATGGCTGTTGTCTCACTTATTTATCACGGCTTATTTATCATGTTGTTTCACATGTTGTTAAATTTTGTTTGAATATAGTTGAATAGTAACTTGCAAACGCTGTTTTACGCTGAGTGTTAGCGGTAACTTCACTTCATACAAATTTAGCCAATGAAAACATTTTTCGGATACGTTTCCGTTCATAGCCATAAAAGAATTTGTTCATAGTTGTACATTTTGCAATAAGCTATCATTTTGAAACTGCCTTTACGTAACCAAAGTTAGTCAAGAGCGTTCTCTTCAAGTAAAATTTGCGTTCCCTGTTGGTAAATGGTCGTTTTTGGTGGTAAAAAGGGCATGGGCTTAAAAATATTTATTTTGCCCCAAAGCCTAGTAGTAGGCGCTGCCACTGATCAAAGACATGGTTGAAAGATTCCCAAAATCGAAGACATGAAACAACTTCGAAAAAATTTTATATGGCAGAACTTAAACTATATGTGTCGTTAGCAGTCGGCAGCTTTTATTTCTGCTTCTTTAATTTTTACTGCTGTGGAAATTCATCTTTAATCCATACACACACTTTGTACTAAAGAAAAGGATAATTGTATGGCATTAGCCAATCAGATATACGACACATGCGCTTAAAATCACTTTATTTCGTTCTAATGTGTAATAGTTCCACTACAAGATATAACTCAAATTTCTTCGCCTTTGTGCACATAACGTTGATCCCGAATGTTGCAACATGATCCTCTTCTTTGGAGTTTCCTAAAATGTCTTATCATGACCCTTATTTGACCTTCCCTGACCTTCTGACCTATTTCAAATACCTATACCACAAGAGGGGTCATACCCCAATTCAAAAATTAAATAAACTTTGTACAAAATTTGAGCAAAATCAAAGAGGGTTAAGAACTTTGAAATGGTTACACTTGAAATAGAATGTCCCGGGGGAGTTGATGAACAAGGGGTCGACTTCCTGTCAAGTTGAAATATTCTTGAAACTTGGAACGATTGAATTTTTATCTCTAAGAAAAACATCGATGTCAATAAAGGGGTTGGAATTAGCAGAAGAGGGATAAAAATACTAGATTATGTTTTCTATAAAAGTAGTGTATCTATATGACCCGATTTTCTTACCCAACTCTCCATTTTAAGGTCTGCAAATTTTGCGGCTGACGACCCTCCCCCTTTATAATTTTTGTAATCGCAGCTTCCTTTCTTTCCAGTATGGTTGTTGAAGGTAAATCATTTCTCTCGTTTAATGGGAATTTTGGTCGGTATCAACCAGGAATGAGCATTATCAGTGTTTCCCATTGTGCAAGGGAAAATGGACATTCTTTGCTAATATTTGTTCTATGCCCATTTGATGTGAGCTTGCGATAAAAAACTTCCGAGAGGAGGGGGGTTTATTGTCCTTTTAACCTCCCTTCCCCTGATTTACAAAGGCGTATATTTTCATTCAATCCTCTCCCTCTCTCTTAGCATTCTTACCTAATAAATAGCTACTGTTCGTATTTCTAGGAATTTCTAAACATCTAACGTTCCGTTTTAAGTTTATTGTGTCGTAATTTCAATCGATACTAGAGAAGATGGTCAAGGCACCATGTTATTTTCTTCAAGGAAAATGCAAATTGTACCTTTCCCCCAGATTCAATTAAAACATGCTTGGAAAAGCAAAGTATACCTACTTCTAGTTTGTTGTTGCTCAACCAGGTCTAACTAGGTGCACTACTTTTAGGGCTAGGATGACATACTGTTGTTGCAGCTTCAGATACGGCAATATGATAATCTTGGGAGAAGAGCACGGGGAAGAGTGGCGTAACGAAGTTTAGGGCACCTTAGTAAGATAACTAAGAGCCCTCAACCGAAAGGGGCCACCTAACCATTTTTATATCCAAATCTATAAGACATCGCTCAAGTTAGTCTAATTTTCAAAAACCTTTGAAGCTCTTCGGCTGGAGCTTCTTTAACTCAGCTCCCCCTAGCTAATGAGAACAAAGAACAAACAGATTGTCACGCCATCTGTTACGTCACTGACGGGGGTCTACTTTTGCCAGAGGCTTGTACTCGTGCTAAATAGACTCATGTTAGAAATCAAGTTCTATGTCGAAAACTTGAGAATACCAGGAAAAACTAAAGTCGCATGTTTTGAAAAAATATACATAATATCAGTAATACATCACACATACAGATACAGATAATATAACAGTGAATATTACTGATGATATTACTTGTAAATAAGCCCACTGTTGGTAGCTCTTTATAAAGAATATAGTTCCTTGAGTTATTGCAACATCTTTTCTTTGAGGAAATTTTCCAGCTTTACAGCATCCTCAGCAAATTTGCGAATACCCTCTGCAAGCTTTTCAGTGGCCATTGCATCTTCATTTAACAACCACCTAAACGACTTTTCATCCAGATGGACCTTTTGTATTTCTTTCAACTGAGCTGAAGGTAAAAAAGTTTGCATTTACAACGTGAAACTGACCTAACATCGCAAAAGGAAACAAATTCTAGAAAACGTCAATGCGGCCCTTTGATTTTAAAACTAAGCAGCTAGAATCAGGTAATAAATGCCGCTATTCTAAATAATTCCCCTCTTAAATACCGTAAATCCTCGAATTAGCCCCCTAGGGGCTTATTTACTTTTGATGTTTTTGGATGGGGGCTTATTCGAGGGGGGGGGGCTTATACAAGGGGGGCTTAAAAGATTATTGTAGACATTAAGAAGACATTATTAAAAGACCTCGTCTATTTTAGTAGGAATTTCTTTATGAGCATTTAATTAATTACTACCAACAGTATGAATTGGTTGTGGTAATTCAATAAAACGCCATAGGCAACTTCAGATGGCAAAAGACATCAAATGGAGGGGTCCAATTCGAGAATTTACGGTAGCAAAGGGGGCTTATTCGAGAGGGGGCTTATTGACAATTTGTAGTTCTAGGGTAGGGGCTTATTCGAGGGGGGGTTTCGAGAGGGGGCAATTAGAGGATTTACGGTACCTTAATTAAGCTTTATCAAGCACCAGGGAGAAGAGTTCTAACTTTTTTGAAATTATATAGGGGGCTTATTGGAGAGGGGAAGGCTTTTAAGATTCAGGTTAAAAGAAGTGTTTATTCTGCTATACATCTATTGAAAATAGCTAATGCCAACAGTTTCTAAAGTGGCTATTTATCATATTTTAGCTAAAAAGATTATATATGATAATTCAATCAAGAATTTATTAATGTTAATATATTAATCTTCATCAGAACCTTCAGGGCCAATAGACAAGCTTGAGCAAAAACCTGGGAAACTTGACAGAGAGATTATTCAAAATGTTTTGCTTTTCCTTGTCATATGATTCAGTCATATGATAATGTTACAAACTTGTCATTCCCCTGTTGACTTACCAGTCTCGTCACTCAGCATCCTTGGAACAATAACCTTTGACTGTTTGAGTTCTTCTAGCAATTTAGGCCTAAAAATAGCATGGAAGTTAGTCCTAGTAAGAAATAGCGAGTTTATATACGAATACAAGGGCACAAAGCTTTTCCCTCTGCACTGACCAGTCCGCAGAGAATGGCAGATATTGCCACCAGGTTAGGGAAGATCTGCAATTAGACTTTTCAGGGTTTGCCTTCAACGGGGAGAAAAAACTAATTTTTTGTGGACTCTAGGCTTGGGTGTTACATTTTGAGATAGCATCCATTAAAAGCAAAGTGGAGGTTTACAAGTGGAAAAAGTGATCAAAATAACATGGTACTTGTAAAATCTTGTCGAGAACTGCTATACCCTGCAGATTGAGGCAATGACTTTTTTTGTTGCTTGAAGTGAAAACGTCAGTCATTCAGTAAAAAAATCAAGAAATATTCAAATCTACAAAATTAATTTTATACAGCAAATCAGCAATTTTAATGAATTAGAATAACTCTTTCTATTTTCTCCTTATTTCTCTTTCTTATTCTATTTCTCTTTCATCATATCTTCATCTAAGGTATGATCTTAAAAAACATAGTACAATCCTAAAATTTATTCAGTATTCACATACGAGATTGTTAAGTTGTCGCATCCTGCCAATGCTAGAATCTGTGAGGTGTTTCTAAACGATGCTCCCATTACAATTGTCTTGTACCCAAATTTTTTGTAATAGTTGTAAATGGCTGTCACACTCTTGACACCTGAAAATTTACAACAATACAATCTTGAGAAGCAGTCTTACACAATTTTGAAAACTCTCAAAGAGCATTTTTTGTCTGAGAATTCAAAGAAATTGAATAAAAATACTGACTCTACTTGTGTATAAATTTCCATTTAAAATAGGTTACTGCTTATATAGTGCTTAATGTCATCCATGTGGGCATTAAGCACGTCACTTTCTATCATTCAAAGTTACCTTATCTGTACATGGTTTGATGTGATAACACAATGGTTTCAAACTGCAAAGTCCAATGAAAACCTAATGATAGCATTCAGCAAGACACTCAGAGTTGCAGATTTAAATCCCCTCTTTTACCCAAAGTACAAAATTTCACTTCTAGGCCTAACTTAAACTGTTCATTAAATAAAGATAACAAGTATTACTTAAGTTCTATTGATGGAGATGGCACCCAAGGGCACAATGAAACTTATAAAGTAACAATTTGCTTTGTGCATTCCTTTAAAAATTAGGTTTTAGACCGTATAGATGCTGCCAGGCAACACACATTAAAGTTTGGGTGCAATTAGTCTTAGGTCTAAAATGCTACTAGAAAAACTTTCAAAATCTCTAAAAAAATCAAATTGAGTTTATGCTTTTCATTTATTGTTATTCAAGCCAGTACCTGGGTCTTCCTGTGGTTCAAAATCTTCTGTCCCTGTGCTTTTCACATACCAGTCATAAATTCTTCCAACAAAGGGCGAAATCAATGTGACTCCAGCCTCAGCACAAGCAACAGCCTGTTTAATATAAATACTGCAAATTAGCTTCAAGCTTATACATTTATGTGTGATTTTACTTCACGTTTTGGCATAGATTAAATGAGCAAAGCTAGTTATAAACCTTAATTAAGATGCTGCACCATGCTTGAAATTGCAAATGAATCATGATTCAAAACATTTTCTTGTCTAAGAGGGAAAATGTATCTTGCTTTGCACGCATGATATTTAATAAGGTTTATCTTCAAACAAAGGATCAACCCTTAAAAATGTAATTTGAAACCAAGAAATATTCACACAATTACTACAATTGAGAAAGGATTGTTAACAGTCAGCTAATTATAAAATCAAGTTTGAAAGAGAGTTTGAAACTTTGAACTCCTGTTCTATATACTCAGGAAAGGAATATAAAAATTACCAGTGGTAAAAGACTACCTGTGCAAAAGCAAATAGTAATGTAAGGTTACAATGGATTCCATATTGCTCTTCAAGCACCCTGGAATAGAAAGATAGCATTTGAAAAATAACATTGCTCATTTGTGAAAATTATTACAAAGAGATATTAGAAAAGTGAAAAAATTCACTAGTAAAGCCCTGGCAAAACGACTAAACATTTCACTAAACATTTCATTCAGCATTTGTTTAGTGAAGTTTAGCGAGGGTGGCAAAAAGTGACTTAACTTTTCACTAAACATTTCACACAACTATAACACAAGTTTATTTGTTTATTTTTTAGGTTTATTTTTATCTTACAAGTTTATCATTTTACTTAAAAAAATAGCTAGCAAGAAAATTTGATAAAATAGAGCATAACTGCTAGAGGGGAACCGTTTAAGGTTACATAGGGTCAACAACAGTGGTGTGGTGGACACAGTCCTTCTTCACTAAACTTTGACAGGAAATTATTTGTAGCTTATAAACTAAAACTTAATGTTTGTGGCTTGTATAATCAGATCGAAGCTAATTTTGTGCAAATAACATTTTTGCAACTGATAGCAGTCACAAGTACATATACATTCCAAATATATTCTTAGTTTCTCAATTTAAGAAGATCAGCTTCATATGTTCCCACAATAGGCTATTTTCAGATGTTCTGGCTTTTGTAGCTTAGGGCAAAAAGGCCTCAGATCACTTGCCACATGGATTTGTTTTGATGTGGTCAATATAATCAGAAATAGTCATAGCTGGTAGACATTAGCAGCCAAACTACATACTTGGCTGCCTGAATCCCCTCCCAAGTTGAGCTGAGCTTGATAAGAACTCTTTTTTTGCTGATCCCTGCCTTTTCATAAAGAGCAATAAATTTCTTTGCTTTCTCAATTGAGCCCTCTACATCAAATGATAACCTGTTAAAAAAAAGCATTGAAGATTGCCATAAAAAATTAGATTTGCAGTGAAATAGGTAGAGAAGAAAACAAACACCCATTCAAAAACTCCCTTTGTATATGTTAAATGAAATGATTCAACCATGAAACAAAAATGAAACAGTCAGGTGCCTATACCAGGTTATAAAGTGCCAAAATGTTGTCCTATTTAGAAAAAACAAGACCATATCTGAACTTCCCTGCTGAGATTAAATTGATTTAGTCAACACGCAATTGCATATGAGGTCATGTAACTTTAGCCCTAGATTTCCACTGGCATTATTCCCAGGCCTTTTCGTAAGAAATAACCCATGCCAGTGGCCGATGGCTCACGTAATTTCTCTTGCACATAAGATGACTCTGATAGTGATAGAATGACCTTATTAGGTACCCTTCTGTTTGCAGTAACATCAAATGAAAACAAACTGTTATGATGACCTTTAATGCACTCCAAGAGAATAAATACCAAATACAAATGTGGTTCGTTTATAAACTTTATGTATATCATGAAGGTCATATAGACATCATTGTCGGATAATCGCGAAATGTTGTTAAGAATCTGCCATAGGTTCTGTGCACAATATTTGTTTATCTGGTCATGTTTCCCGCGAATATTCTACCATTTAAACTTCTGACTTATGATAACAAGAAAAAACAAAGAATACAAGGTCTCTTCGAAAGCGTTTGCTTCAAATTCCAAGCACGATTTTGCGGGAAACGCTTGTTATCCGCAAATTTCAAAATTATTGTTCTTGCGTTCCCAACGCAGAAAAAATACTTTACAGTCTGGCTGCCCAGGAAATGGCCTAAGTGCTATTGTAGTTTAAATACTAGTACCTAAAGCATTCCTACACATTCGCTGTGGAATTGATTTTCAAACGCATTTTTTCATTGAGATTTGGTTTAACCAGCTTAGTTATATTTCCTGCATTTTGATATACCGGCTTTGTATTGTCTATGTCACTTGCTTGGGTCACAAAAGATAACTGAAATTGTGTTAATTATAATTAACACAATGAGACATTTATTCCTCACAATTGGTTGGGTTTGCGCCAGTGCTGACGCGATCACAAGTGATTGCTCAATGAAAAGTCCAGCATTGCCAGCATTCAAAAGAGCATTATCTGAAATACAGCTCAACAGAGGCAAGTCATTGGCCACCTGTATCTGAAAATGTTCATCGTCAAATGAGAAATCATAAAAACATTCATAGTGTTAAGACATCAAATCTAACTGCACAGAACGAAGTTGCAATATTTCTAACCTTGCATCAACTTCAGTTGATACTCTTCCTGGAACAACTTTGAGGATTTCCAAACCAAATGAGACAAACTGTAAAGATTAAATTATCTTTTAATAATTGGACCACATGAACACAAGAACAAAAACCCCACCAAAGACATAATCTAATAATCAACTAAAGTAGCTCAAAAAACTTTGGCAACAGTATCAGGTGATCAAGTTATCAACTGAAATTAGCATGAAACATACCAGTTTGTCCATTGCAGCAGTGACTTTTTCATTTATATCACTAAAAATGTAAAATTATTTTTATTACTTAAATTCCTTTTTTCTTCAGATAAAAACGTCATGGTGAAAAAGAAAAACAAAGGTAGGACTAGCAGTTTACAAATTTGTCTTTTACATTGTATCGCATCCAAATACATGATACATTTTTTGGCTTTCAGACAATAAACAAATGATTTAATTGATTTTAATAGTAACTTCCACATTGAATTTCAGGAGGCGGAGAAACCTATGATCTTATGAAATTGTCTTGATAACCTTATAAAATTTTTTTTAACATCAGCATTGAATTAAGTCTAAACAGCTGTATTGAATTATGTAACATACTGCAACAAATAGCCTCATTCAGGCAGTTGGGGCTGACTTTTGAATACACATTAAACACTTAGCTGCAAAAGAAGTTTCTCGTGGAGATTCTATAGCAGAACTAGCAGTGACACTACTTAATCTGTTTCAAAAAAGCAAGAAAGACCCCCTTACTTTCCATTTGCCTGACCATATTTGATAGCATCATCAATTAAATGGTCATATTGAGGAAGTTTACTTGCTGCGAGTATTAATGAAGGGTTTGTTGTGGCATCCGTTGGTTGAAATTGTGCAATTGCTGCAATAGATTAACAGATTTACATTTGTGTAGAAAAAGACCAAGTGATGCAGAACTCAGATTCCCTATAATCACAAAGAATCAAACAAAGTAGCCTTTAGAAGGAAAAACCAATTCAGATGCAAAAAAATTTAATCAGTGTTCTAGCATCCCTGCTTATAGAATCATGTCATAATAAAATCAGATGTAAAAAATAATGAAAATTTAGAGCTTGTGTTAATTCTAAGACTTCAAGTTCATTGTATCAGACGGGAACTTCTCAAAAATGTATTTTCTGGTAACTGGTTTTTATCTTTAACTATTCAGACAACATTATTTATCAAAATTTAGAAAGGAAAGCTTCAGCAAAGTTGCAACCTTGACAGTATTAGATGATTCAAAAGAAAATGAATAGTTTCCACATTAAGACTGAAAATAGGCAGTCTGGTAGAAACATAGGCTACGTATTCCTTCTGTTCGCGTAAGTTTATAAGCCATAGAAAATTGTCTTATTTAACTTGTTAAAAGGCAGATTCCACTACAATGCTACATATTCTGTAACATATAATAAGAAGTTTAATAGTAAGTAAGAAGTAAGAAAAATAAAGGATTGAGGCTAGGAAGTTTTTTTTAAAAATCAGGCTCATAGAATCAATAGCATTATAGAAAGAGACCTCAAAACAGGTTTTAAATGAAGCAATTAGAAAACTATGAATAATTAGGGGTTCAACTAAAAAGGGTACAGTAAATACCCTGAAAGTCCCCTGTGTCAGCCACAACTGTTGTCAGCTCTTTTAATTGTTCCAGTGCATTTTTGGTTGCCATTCTTTTTTGCTGCAAATAAAAAAGTTTCACAATCAATTAGCTGTCTTTTCTTTGAATTTTTGAAAATTCTTTGAATGACTTTCAGTGCCTATCAGTGACTCTTATTGCATCTGTATAAAAACTATTATATCTAAAATGAAATATGCTGTGTCTGCATGAATAATGATGATGAGGGATGACTCAGGTGAATAAAAGAATCAATAATGGCGAGGGAATGTCCTATGGTATGTATGCGTGTTGCTTCATTTATTATTAGTTGAATGATCCTTTTGGAGGCTCAAATTATGAGGAAATGATTACAGGAAATCGCCAGAAAATTATAAAAGCCACTATCTTCATGGACAGAGGGTATATGGACAGAAGTCCTTCAAGTTATCAACCCATCATTCAGGCCCCTTTCAAGAAAGTGAGGAAGCTGTTTACATTACAATGAGACTTCGGCTGTTACAGAGATCTTTCTTTTGCTTCCATCCAAGTGGGAATTCGTTGTTTTGTCAAAATATCATGTGTATAATGGCATGGTGTCCCGAAGGGAAGGATGATAATGGGCCTTTACCGGCCGTTTCATAAACGTGCGTGGGGGCAGCAACGAAATGCCCACAAGAATGCAATCAACTTAGTACTAGCAGGTGCAAACTTTTTATGCAAAATCAAGTAAAGACCCCATGTTACTTACTACAAATTCTGTAAAAATAAAGGGAAATGACAACAGAAATACCTAAATTTCCTTGTTCTACCCTCCTTCTGCCTTGAGATTGTTCCAAGACAGAACACACGCATGCGTGACAATGTATTATGGATGGTTGTTGTTGCCAACTCAGCATACATATTTCTTGCATCCTGCTGTGACTCAAACGTTGCCAAGGTAATTTTGATCAGTACGGCAAATCTTCGAATGCCCCCCCATACAAGCCCCCTCGCTTTGAATAAGCCTCCACCCTGGAAGTAAAATTTTAAATAAACCCCCACCATCGAACAAGCCCCACCCTAAAATTGCCAATCTTTTCGTGCTTGAATGCCCACATTGCCAATCTTTTCGTGCTTGATCTCCCATAAACGTCCACCGCCTCCTACTTTTAGTGCCCTGCAGATCTGGTATCCCGAACATGGCAACCAGCACAATTGCCTTCGCCACCATGGTGACGTCACTGGTGTCGTCAGCCACCACCAAACTGACCGACCTGATGGACATCGACCTGACCCCCGTGCGATCTTCCCCGAAAAAACCTGCCCAGCAGGATTACACCAGAACAAAATCCGACAAAGGCCTCTCACTGGGACTAAAAAAGAAAAAAGTCAAGTCTGTGAACCCATCCCACCTTAACCCACCAAGCCCCTCCCCTGGCCCCTCCCGAATCCCTACCCACTACTCCAAAACGACCCGCAAGGCCTTCCATTGTCCAGGCCCCCGGCCACACCCTCTCTTTACCACACCCACCGCCACTATGTCCACCCGGTCTGCACCTCTCACCTCCACACCAACCTTTCCTACTTCTGTACAAACCCACTCCAATTCTGCCTCCACCCCCACCGCCCCCCTCCCCGTCCCAACATTCCCTATTAATTTGCCTGAACTCCACCCACCACAGGCCCTCTTAGAAACCCTCCCCCTGCCCCCACCCCAAACCTTCGTCAACAACCTTGCCAGACATCTGTGCTCAAAAAAATTCCACGAAAACGAGCATGAATATTTCTCCCGGAGTGCAGAGTCTGGCCATTTCCCTACCTTCACCCAACCCTCGTTCACATCAGACTTCACCAGGCCCCTGTCACACCCAAACGCAACCCGGCTAAACGAGGCCATTGCGAACCTCCGCAGAGACATCTGCCACATAATGGCATCCCACCACCTGGATCTGGCCAGAGAGGAGGAGGCCAAAGCCACACAAGTCCGGTCAGAGATGGAAGAGCATTATAATCCGGACATAATTAGAATAGCAAACTGCAATGCCAAGAGACAGGCAGCGTCCGCCCCTGGGAACAGGGAGAGACACACACAGCACCCGCGAAGACGGCCCAGGAGGCAACACCAGTATTCCACCTTTTGACATTGCTTTCTCTTTCCTCTCCCCCCCTTATTTTCTTTCTGTATTTTTGCCGCTTAACTTTAATATAATAAAACATTTTTTTGCTGCTTAATTATGGTATAACAAACATGCTCAGCTGTATATTTTTATTTTAATTCCTTTTCATCAACAATATTAAACTCTGTCTACCTATAAACGATGTTGCTTTATTCGTACTCATTATTCTGCTATCTAGATTGCAATATGTACACGGCCAATCCTAGCACAGCGTCCAAACGCACCATACTCAGGAAAACCATTGGCACCAAACTAACTAAAAATGCACACAAAAAGCTGCTCAAAAAGGCCATCCTGGCCACTAAACCAATCAATAACATTGTCAATCTATCCTCAGCTCACATTTCAACAAGTGAGATATCTCTGCTGAACAGGGGACTATCGTTTGTCCCTGCCCCCGGTCCGGTTGACAATGATCTCATCTTACAAGGACTCGATGACTTCATACGTCGAATGCGACTGCAATATTTTTTCCACTCCCATCCCCCCAGGACGGTACCTGAACCCTTTAGAAGGAAATCATTTTGGGCCCCCCCTGATGATGTCTGCCCTCAATTACAACAATATTTTGATAAAATCTCCGTCGACATCAACAAGATCATAAGGTCAGCTGCTAACCCTACACCCCATAACCTCACCCCAATAGAAACTGCGAGCATTAAAACTTTATGCACCCGCAAGGATATAACCATCAAACCCGCGGACAAAGGAGGAGCCATTGTTTTATGGTCTATAGAGGCTTACCTTAAGGAAGCTAACAATCAGCTGTCCAACCCCCTCCACTACCGTAAACTAGAATCTGATGGAATACAGCTGCTATCCACCCAGATCACAACGTTCTTAACACATCTACTAGGTCGGAATCTTCTCACACAACAATGTTATGATTTCCTTGAACCAAGCCCCCACCCCCGCATCCCCGAATTCTACCTTTTACCAAAAATACACAAACCAAAGATTAACGACCTCATACCGGGCAGACCAATAATCTCGGGGTGTGGCTCACCCACTGAGAAACTCTCCAAATTTCTGGACCATTTTTAAAACCGATTGTTAAAACTATACCCTCATACATCAAGGACACCAATCATTTTCTCCAAATTATATTTAGAGAGAGACATAATTTTCCACCAGGTATCATCCTGTGTACCCTGGATGTTAAATCCCTCTATACTAATATACCACAGGATGAGGGTATTTTACACTGCATGATGGCGTTAATTGATTTTTATGCCACTGGACTACCTCTACCAGCCACACACCTACAACAAATGTTTGAGTTTATATTAAAAGGGAATTATTTCTCCTTCAATGGACAGCCATATCTACAGACACATGGCACTGCCATGGGTACCCCTTTTGCCCCAAACTTTGCAAACATTTTTATGTCTGTTATTGAACAATATATCCTCTCCACAGCCCCCGAGGGGAAGAAACCTCTACTCTGGAAACGATTTATCGATGATATATTCATGATATGGCAATATGATGAAGCTTCCCTCACTGAATTCCTTGCCCATACCAACAGGGGCGAAACTACCGGGGGGGTGTGGGGGGTGTGGCACCCCCCAATCCAAAAAATAGTCGATTTCGCAGGGTGCCAAGAAGAGCTTTATTGCCACGCAGAAATGCCACCTCTGAAGTTCGTAAAGAGCCGTTTAGGAATTTTGAAATGAAAAATTTTTGTCTGAAAGGTGCTTTTTAGCCCTTTTACAAGGTATAATTTCAAAAAATTTCTTCACGTCGGACCCAACCATGGTGGGTCCTCCTACCTCACTAAACTCGACCCTTAGCCCCACTGGGATAAATTTCGTTGCGCTGTCTACATCATGTACCCTCCCCCACCCCCCAATTAGCTGTTTATTAGCTTAATTTTGCAAACCAACATTAAATGAAGTGAATATAAAAAAACAATTTACGCTCACGTAGAGAAATAGAAATTTCATAGGGAATGAAGTTTCAAGTTTGTTTTTATTGCTTAGAAGTTTGTCCTTGGTAAAGACCAGTGTAAACTGGTAAAGCTTTCACTAGTAACCTTTAGATAAACCTTTGCTACGAGGTCTGCAGGGCACCACTCAGTTTTGCAGGGCAGAAACCCTTTTCACCCCCCCCAAAACTATTGGCCAAGTTACGCCCCTGCATACCAACAATGTGCACAACACGATTAAATTTGAAGCACAACAATCTAGAGCAAAAATAAATTTCCTTGACACCACAATTTATCTTAATAACAACAGTGGTCTCCTGGAAAGCACCCTATTCGTGAAACCCACTGATATATGCACCCTTTTACATGCTAAATCTTTCCACCCACCTTCGTGTAAAGAAAGTGTTATTTACAGCCAAGCACTTCGCTTCAGACGTTTGATCACAGACAACAATGAATCTCAAGATATCACCACCGAATTTAGTAAACTGACATATGTCACCCAATGCGAGCTCCTCTTCCCAGGAAACCCCGCCAACAATGAAACCACCCTTCAGCACCTCAACTTCGAGCCCCCTCCACCAAAACCACAAGTCCTACCTTTTGTTGTCCCATTCGACATAAAAACTATAAATATAGGTTCCGTTCCGTCCTTACTAAACATTGGCACTTGATCTCAGCTGATGCTTATCTTAAACAAATATGGAATGACACCAGACCGGTTCTAGCCCTCACCAGAAGGCCTAACCTCAAGGATCGATTGGTACACTCTAAAATAGGCCATCAATACAAAGCCGCTTCTCGAAGCATCATGCGCCCTTAACTTTTACAATATGTAAATATTACACTAGAGGCACAGTTACACCTAAGGTACGGCATTCACTGATTATTAATTTTCATTTTTATTTGCGTATATATTTATTTTGCAACCGTGATCCTGGACGCAGGATTGCGAGGGGCGCCCACGAGAAACGGACATACCGAATTAAAGCCCCGAAATGTCCCTCGTGGGTTTCTGGCTGATGAGTTGCTTTTTTATCATTTTCTGCCCACTTACAAGCTAATTGTTTAAAACATACATGGGCACACACAACCACCCCCCATCGGAGTTTGAGGCTGTGACCAGGTGGTAGTGACTACTCCTTATCTCCTTTTTTCTCATTTTTCTATTTTGGATTTTATACTTTTATTCACATATTGGTTTTTTAGTTTTTACCTTCTATGCCTATAAAAACATTTGGCTTGACTAACTAGAATTATGTAGTTATAAAGTAGAATTGAAAAGGAAATGAATTGAAAACCACAAAAAGCTACACATGTTGGAGTATAAGCCTCTTCTCCGAATTAGCCCTCATCAAAAAGAGCATAAATTAATAAGCCCTCAGGAGGCTTATATGAGGAATTACAGTAGCTAATTAGGTATTTTTTATGATTGTACATGCATCCCAACTTTGTCCTATGTATTTGCCCCAAAATTGTGACCAAAATGGGGGAATAGAATTAAAGGTTTTTGAAAAATTTTTGCAAGCATTATAAAAAATTAAACATTAAACAGAAGAGGTTCCGACAAAATATTTCAAAGTATTTAATTCTTCAATTTGCCCTTTATCCTGCCCCATTAAATGCCAACCAAAACCAAGCTTTTAGGTATAATTTGTTATCGTCATTACATTACTTTTCGTTATCTCTTCGTTTATATGCTTCTTTCCAGACTTTTATTCTGACTGTTTGTTCTTTCAGATTTAAAAAAGCGTCATTTCAGGGGCTCCGATGCAAGTTGAAAAGTTGGGGGGGGGGCAAGGCCAAAAAAGGTTAAAATAAAAAATCTCTTTAAAAAGTTATTTTGTTATGCAAAAAAGTGAGGGGGCGTGGCACCCCTTTTCGGGATCCCTGCACTTTGACACATGGCTTTGATGATATGTGTGTATATCAGCATTAGATTTTCATTAAATACTGTCTTATAATCATTTTTTGTAGCTTTATTTTTCTTGTATTTAGTAAAAAATTGCTAGCTAAGCCGCATGCGCGTTTCAACACTTTGACACAAATTTGGGCCTAGGCATGTAGCATGTGTGGCATGGAAAAATGAACGAAGTTCGTAGCTTGTTGATTAAAAGGAAATGGATTTATAAACAGAAGAAAGTTCAAGTATGGCAGAAGTTGGTACTCAACGTTTGGTGAAAATTGAGCCTCTTGAAGATGGTCTGTCGGCAAAGAAATCTCAGGTTATTGAACATGAAGTTCAATCTCAGTCAACAGGGCAGTCAACATTGCAAAGAACCGATCATGGTATGGCACATTCATTTGCCAGTGGGAGAATTGCTGAAGCTACAACATCGATTTCCCCTCCAGGATACCCTTCAACTGCGTTCCAGCCCCAATATTTTACACCGACAAGGAGAATGGATTTCGTTCCCACATTCTGCAAGACATTTGAGTTGCCAGAAAGCCGTTCATATTCAGACGAAAATAACACAGAAGACTTCGATGATCTTTTAGAAACCTCTGACAGATCACGCAGTAAATGGAGCCGAGCTCAAACAGACACTCTTGTCAACTCATGGAAAGACGAATTTGATGAGCTGGAAAATAACCGTAACCCACTTGCATGGAAAAGAATTTTGCGAGATATTAATCGTAAAGGTGGCAAGAAAAGTATGGACCAACTAAAAAAGAAACTAAGAAATTTAAAGGATCGTTTCAAGGAAGCAAAAAAGAGAAGCAAATCGAGTAGAGGGAGACGTCATTTTCCAAAATATTATGATATTTTTAATGATCTTTTGGGAGCAAGAGAAGATGCCAGGGAAGAGGAAAGAGAACGACGAAGGTATTCCAATGAACATTTGGTCCCAAATCAAACAGAATATAACATAATTCAAGAACCTGCAGAACCTTTGCTAGAAACACAGCAAGAAGGTTCTGTTGTTAGTGCAGAAATTCCAAAAAATAATGTAAAAACGTCCGAAAAAGTGGAGCAAAAAGAAATGCTTCCAAGAAGGACTAAGAGGAAAAAAGCATCAAAGTCAGGGGCATCTGCCCAACTGATAGACTTTCTTGGACAAATGCAACGTCAGCAAGAAGAATCGATGAAATTATTTTTAGAAGGAATAGAGAAAATCGAGGAGAAGAGCAGGAAGCACACAGAGGAAACTTTGTTGAAAATAGCAAATATTTTTACAAGACAAAAGAAGAAAAAGAAAAGGAAAGATGACGAAGAATCTGATACTACTTCTGATGATAACGCCTAATATAATTGTTATTGATATGGTTTTTGAAAATAGCTTTGGAAAAAGCAAACATTCCACAACATACTAAATGGTTTTTTGTCTGACGCTCCTCAGGGTAAAACTATCCACAACTGGGTATATATTTTCATCTTATTTGTTCGGACCCATATTATGATGTATTATGCTCTAGGGTATTTATATCTACAACTGGGTATATATTTTCATCTTATTTGTTTGAATCCTTGTTCTGATGTATTATGCTCTGAGGAGTGTAAGACGAAAAAGCTTTTAGTACCGTGTGAAATGTTTGCTTTTTCCAATTTTGTACCGCCAAACAATATGGTCTTTATATAGTTGGCGATTTGTGATGTGTTTGGAAAAAAGAGATTGATGTGACTTACTCTCATCAAATACAAATCTCTGATATGCAAAAAATTGAGTTGTTAATAGAGTCTAAAAACGATGTTGTTTTCTTTTTCTGTAGTTATGTTCTTGCACAGTACAGCCTTTTCAGTAGAAGTAGACACAAAGTTATTTAATGATTTATCTTGAGCAGGTCGAGCTTTATGTTCCTTTATAATAGTTGTTAAAATGTTTCTGAGAAATCTAGAATGAATACTGTGGGATATCTGTAAATTGCATCTCAAGAAACTATTTGAATTTTGTTCAGTTAATAAAATTCACATTTTACTGTGTTGGGTAATGCATTTTATATGCAAATTGCTTTTTCTCGAAATGCTCAATGTCATTGCAGTGAGTGAAGATCTTTCACTTACCAAACCCTTTCTAAATTTATTTTTACGTCAGTTTTCAGGTATCATCAGTTTTCATCATTTACATGTTTTAAACAGATTTCTTGGTTAATTACAGCGACATCATAACCTGTGTAAAATGATTAATTTTTGTCTGGTTGTTCATTATTCATTATTCTTGTTTCTCCAAACAGTTTCTACTTTTTGGATAAGAACTAAATAACTTTTTACCCTTTAGCTCACTACTTCAGAGAAAAGTTTTATCTTAAAAATTGTTAGGTCTTGGCATTAGCTCCCCCCCCCCCCCCCCCCCACTCCCTCCATCTTTACCATTAAGCAGGGGATCAAGCCCAAAGCTCCCAAAACTTCCATAATGTTGAACACAACAAAATTTATTTTGGACTTTGACAGTTTTCCCCTTCCCCACCCTTTCATGCCGATTGTGAGACCCCTCGCTATTTGCACCCCAACAAAACAAGGGCCTCGGTTTCGAATATCAAGGTTGTTGTTGTCATCTCCATTCTCTATTTTCAAAGTTGAGAAAGGATTGCAAAATTTCCAACAAAGCTTTCTTCTTTGACGGATTCGAGCAACTCACGCATACGCTACAAACAAGCTTTGAAGAACGTGCAAGTCTAATTTCTTTTACAATTCGATTCGGCATGGGTTCAGACCTTAATCTTTCCGATGAAGTTGACTTCATCAAAAACGACATCAATTTCGCAGTTGATTTTATCGATGCTTCACCAAAGTTGCCCGAACAGAATGGTAGAATCTACATTAACATTCAAACAAAGGAAAAGGAGAAGTTTTGCGTTGAACTGTCAAGCTCAGGATTTAAGGTAACGTATTTTGATTGTATTTTAATGAAGTTGTTTGCTTAACAATATTTGATTTTGATTTGACGAAATCTGCGTTCCCAAAATGGCTTATTATGGTTAAAGTAACTACAAGACTTGAAATCAAGCATGTTTTATACAAAATACGGAGTTTCTTCTTTAGTCATCTTTGTAGCAATAAATAACAAGGATTTTGTGAAATAGGCCAGTTTATTAACAATACAGTCATTTGCAAATAACTGACTATACAACCACCCGAGAGAACAGCGGGATTCTTTGGATATTTTCTGTGCAGACATTCTTCAGAACTTCAGAACATATTGATGAATTGCACTAAGCAATGTGATTCTTTTGTTGAAGATTTTCATTCGCTCTTTAAATCCCAGGTTTTTGTTATACTTGACTCAGGCAACTGGAGAACAGTGGTGGAGAACAGTCCTTTTCTAAACACGTGTCATTACTGTGTCATTACTGTTGGTCAATCTCATAGGAGCTGTATATCTTCAACCAGATGTGAAACACTTTTAAAATCAGTCTCATTAGAAATTTGATTCAATATTATGGCTGTTTTATTTAATGCACAAACTTACACATTCACACATGTGAGATACAATGAAACTTATCATGTTGATAGCAAATAGCCATATAGCAAATAGCCATGTAAATGTAAACCACATATATATATGGCATTCACATAAAGGTGTTAGCCCCAAACAGACTGCAGAGTATGGCAAGTGCACACCCGAGATATTTTTTCTAAATTTTGCTTGTACATCTGATAAAGAGTGTGGCATATCAAGATCTGGGCATGACATTGGTGTATCCTATTAGGGCAATAAAGAATTAAGTTTCCTCAAGATCAACATAATCTTGCACCAATGGTTTACAACAAATTGGTTTGATAACAGAATAACTATCAATCTTGTACATTATTTATCTTAGTTCATTTGATCTTCTTAATTGATTATCCTCAGGCTCTAGAATAGTTTTTCATACTAATGTGCACAACTGAAGTGCACACTTGCACACTCAGGTTTATGTGAAATAGCAAGGTTTATGTGAAATAGGCACACACCCAAGATTTTCTTGGAAACTGCTGTACTCTGCAATCCAAAGCGCCAATAGCTAATACCATTTTATTTTATTATGTCCTGCACCTTGATTTTTCAGACTAGATGGTTTGGGGATTCCTGCTTATATAATTTACATTATCTTACCACATTTGTATCCTAACTCCCTCTTATCTTTACTTTCAATTTTAGGTTTATACATGTAAAAGAACATACACTATATACACAAAAAACTATATATATACAGGTGTGTTTTTGTTACAGAAGAAATATTTTCATCTGTGTACTTTGATCTTCTTATCTCCCTTTTAGGTTGTTGGAAAAGACTTTGATGACATGAAAGATGAAAATGATCACCAGAAAACATACGAGACTGTTTATTCCTTGCTTTCAAATATCAGCTCAAGTTATGAAAGGACATTTGGCAATGAACTGGCCAGGAAGCTAGCAAATCTTCAGCAGGAAACAGAAACTCAGTAGATACTTTTTGTTGCTGCAATTTTTAAAATACTGAGATTCAGAGTATGCAGTCAATACATGCACCATTTAAAAACCAAAACTTAATTTAAATATGATACCATCTTATTTTATGCAGAGTGTTGCTGTTTAGAAAATAATACAATAACGCATATTTGCTTAAAAATTCTCCTTTTAGCGTGTTTTAGTATTTACCAAAATTAATTTCTGCCCTTTTTCATACTACCAAACTTTATACTTCCATTTTAAATGTAATTGTTTGTCTTACACATTTCATCACATTTTTATCTTTTACCAATTTTTAACCCTTCAACTTTAGTTGAACTTTTAGTGATAGATTTCCAATCCTGTAAAAAGCCTTTGTTTGTAAAATTGTGATTTTGGCCTCAGTTTGGAACTTTTCTCAAGTTCTTAAATTGATTCTTAGATCCACTGTATTAGGGATTGAATATCTCCTATAGCTCTAATATTATAATCCAACAGAAGGCTGAATATTTTGCAAGGAATTTGAAAATTGGCAGTAATAGGGAATGCATTCTGGAAATAGCTTCTGAAAGATAATAAAGTTCTGAAGTTTTCTTGATGGATGGACACTTTCAAATTTTCCCTTCCTGGTAAACAAATTTAAAACCGTGTTTTTTTCGATAAAAATTGAATTTGAAGACTAAAATTTAATATCTTATATAAAAAGGCTCAATTTTGGCCTTTAAGTGTTTTACAGACTTTATTTCTCAAAAAATGGACCAGAACAGTACCTATCATTCGTTTTTGTAGCAGGGTCAAAACTTACCATAGCAAAATCATCTCCATTCCACAGTGCTAGTGTTAAAAGAACAGCAAACCTGGACAGTTTTGTTGCGGTTCCAAAATTGCATGGGACAGTGTAAAGGGAGTCTGAGTTTTCTTTAACATGACCCAGCTAGTTGTGTGACCCAGCAAGTTACCTGAACTTGCCTGAATTACTCTAGTGCTGTAGCTATGGCAATCTTCCTAGCAATCTTTCTTTCTTGTAACAACTTACTATTACATACATCATATTCACATCAACAATAACTTTTACTTGTAAATTGTCTTTGTAAAAATGAATTTCTCACATGCTGTTTGAATGTCTTTTTTGTGAAAGCTTTCTCGAATTTTTTTCTAGAGAAACAAAGTGTGATTGTTCTTGTTTTTACTTTTTATGATGCCAGCTAGCCCATCAATTTCCAAAAATGTACTATTTAGCCTGATATTTTCCTGCTCTTACCTACAAGCAAATTGAAATATTTTCAGCCAGATTGCCAGAGTATGTTTGGCAGCCCCTCACTATATAGGTTAAATGGTATGCGAATTAAGTTATTCAAGTCCACATACATACTTTTAAGGTGGAATTTGAATTCTTTTACAACCCATTATGAAAAGCTATCTGAATGTGATCATCAGGCAACTCTGACTTGATAAAAGTACATTAGGAATGTCCCTTCAAATATCCCTTTCTTTAACTTTGAGTCAAAGAACAAGTTGGGGTACAGTAAAAACCCACATAAAAGAATCTGGATTAAGAACCTGTTCGGCTAAAATTTAGAATTTAGGCCTCCTCCACATAAGAACCTTTTCACACTAAAATTTCAAGTTAGGCTCCTACCAGTGGAGATGCTGTAAAGGTTTCTAGGTGGAAGCTGTTAAATAAAGTATTATTATCTGTTTATATCTAAAATTAACTTGACAAAGCAATTTTTCTTTTAAGCCAAAGTACAATACTGTCTCTATTGTTTCCATCTTTCCAGTAAATTCTCTTAATAATCAGCATTTGTAAAGTACACAAATTTTTATTCTTATTTATTCCAAGATTTTGACATATAAGCCCTTGTCTTTTAAAAGACATTTTGGAGATTTTGCTATGTGTTTGTTTGAGTATGTATTTGTTTTGTTAAGTATGTACTATCTTTAGGTATAATATATTAATATTAGTGCATGGTATGAAAATTATGATTTTGCTCCATGAAGATAAGAACTTATTTTAAGAACCTTGATAGCCTAAATTCACTTTAAGGCAGTCGGTCCCCTTTGTGTTGCTCAGGGAAATTACGCTATTGTGGTTCTTCGCTATTGTGGTTTATTTGTGCATTGATTCAACGATACATTAATATCGTGGCCATGAAAAGAGGTTCTGAGAACAATGGGGGACATACTGCCATTCATATAAGAACCTGTCTAGGCTAACTGGGCTAAAGGAAAGATGATGCAAAAAGATTCATTTTCGCTTTTCCGCTGCTCTCACTCCGGCTACTCCCGCACTGCGCGTCCATCCGATAGCTCGCTCGTGCGTCCGCGTATGCTTCAAGCTATTGGGTTTTTACGTTTTCAACCCGTAACAGCACTTAACGTGAAACGCATGAGTAATCGTACCTGGTCAAGCGAATTCTGTCCATTCAAGCTTGAAAAACAGCGCGGTGGTGAAAATATGAAGCATTGAATTGAAGCCGCTATAAAAATTATCGTTGTGTTATTTCTTAAAAGAAAGATGACAATTTTCGAATGGTAACGCATTCATTACATTTTAGGTAACGCATTCATTATCCATTTTTCACTTTAGATGTTACTATATAAACAGGTTGCATATAAAGAATTTAGGTTTTTGTATTTAATGTATTTTCAACTTATTTCTCAAGATCAAACGAAGTACATTATTGTTACATATGTAACAACGTAGCCAATATGGATCAACTCTATCTTGTTTTATGAAAATGTTTTTATCAGATCCCAATCGAAACAACTAAAAAGCTTCGGTTCTTTGATAAAAACTATAGAAAAGAAGGTAAAATAATTTACGATATAATATACAACTTAGTTTTCAGGTCTAGCCTATGAAATTTACAGCCAACCATCAGCATTGCAGTCTGCTAGCCCTTTTTTATCTTTGCATAGATGCACCAAACAATGTTTTGGCTTAAAGCAAGTGCTGGCTTGAGGATGCATAAATTAGACTCATGTCAGCCATTTGCTCCAACTTTCTAGGTTTTTTACAGCTTTCGAAAGAAATGTATCTGCAATGGATATTTGGCAATAACAGTGGAGCAGATGGGCCTTAAAAGTATCGAAAAACATTATGGATCTGTTCTGAAAACAAAGAGCAACTTTTGAAAAGCTCTTGAGAACTTATGGGCCGAATAAAGAAAACTGTAGTTGGGGTTTTTATTCTGCTTGGATTACTAGCTGTTGCTGTTGTAGTGTACATGATTATGCGTATAAGGCGTAAGAAGAACGTGAAAGATGAGCTGGAAGAAGATGAAGTTGTGGCCGAAGAAGAGAGGCTCATCATACAGAAGGCTGTAACAGATAAAACACCTTTGGCAGTGGAAAGAACAGATATGCTTTTCGAAGAGGAAGATGATAGTTTAATGATGTGTAAAATGAGTAAGTGATTCTTGTTTCTCAGAGTACAGAAGAATCATTCAATCACCTTGTAAATGAGCCAAAGCCTTCAAGAAACTTAAGTTCTCTTCTTTTTGTTTTGACTATATTTCATTGAAACTTGGGAGAATCTTTCGCAGGTATCACTGTATTGTTAAATGGTGGAAAAATATATGCCCCCTTTTAAATCAACAAGGAATTCAAAGGAGTCTGCTTTCTCAATACATTCATTTCCTACTTAAATTAAAAAGCATCCTTCAAAATCAAATCAACTTTAAAACTGTCATGTCATACATGAGGTATTTTTTACCGAAACACTTATGAAGGGAGATATTTTAGGTAATTCTTAGCAAGGAACATCTAATGAAAACTGTGAATTGAAACCTTCCAAGCTGAAACCATGTCCAAGGAAAACATTTTCATAATCGTGCGTTGATTTTCTTCTGTATTTGTTGGCATTTTATCAAGCATCCGGATCAAGGTATCGCCAGGTTATTGTCAAATAGCTCTGCTGCGAAAATAGCTTGAATGTTTTCTCTTGAATTTCGTTCTTATGATTTGTTATTTTTTTTACTAGATGCCGAGTCTCAGAAGTATGACCAACTAACACTGTGGAAAAAATATCAAAAAATCAAAGCAGAGGATCCTGAAAAATCCTGCTCCATCGATAATGGGAGAATCAAAGTTGAATTTTACCACCAATCCTACGAACAAATTTTCAAAATGAAAATCATAAATGCTAGGGGACTGAAATGTAATGTACCAAACAAAGAGCTTACAACAAGAATCAAGGTTTTGCTGATAACGCCATTAAAGACTCGTCACATTCCTAGAAGAACGGCAGCTATTGAGAATTCAAATAACCCAGATTTTAATCAAAAGCTTGATATAAAACTTACGAGAAAAACAGCTCGCGATTCCACTGTTGAAATCAGTATGTGGAGCATTGATGATTTTTACAAGGAAAGTCTTCTTGGAGGTTTTCGAATCGAGCTCAACAAGTATGATATTTCACAACGAAATATTGTCGAAGAAGAAATACAAGTCGAATTTGAGGTATTTTAGCAATTTTCTTACCAAGAGATGAAATAACTGCTGGATTTCTTAAGTGTCTTAAAAAGATCTATTTATCAAAGCATATAGCCTCATTTAGCAAGGCAAAGGGTGCACCCAAGAAGAGAAGATTGCTGCATGACCTTGAATCAACAATATAGTAGAATAATTTGATCGTGGATATAGTAAGACGATTTATCCTTTTTTTATTTCTTTAGCTTTGATTTTTATCCATCTATGTAGTTATTGAGGTTTCATGAATTTTTGTTCAAGATTTAATTGTATGACTTGTCTTGTTTTACGTTCGTGACGATCATATCATCATATTAGCATTTCATACATTTCCAGACGACATGAATAGTACATAACAATTAAAATTGAAATTATTCACCAGCGTATGCAAGCTACGTAACACAAGGAAAGAAAAGCACGCAAAATTTTCCGAGAAGGAACATACCCTTCTGGATTGCAAAATATTTGTCCAGCAGACGGGGTAAAACTTCCGCTGTTTGTCCAGGAGAGTTTATATAGTTTTATGAAATTTTATCAATAACAGTAAGTATTAGTTTTTAGTTTCGATTCAAAGTTGCAAGCTTTTGATGCGTTTTCTTTTCAGGAACAAGAAAACCCAGGCTTTGTATTGGTTTCTCTTGGCTATAAAAAGGAAGAAGAAAAGTTAGTTGCAATTGTAATGAGAGGAAGAATGCTGAAATGTTCTGCCCATGAAGAATCTATGCTACAAGAAACAATAAGTAAGTAAGCAGTTTTTCGTGTGATAGGAAGAGTCTTCTCTCTTGGACTCTGCAACTAGATGAGAGATTAGCGTCTAGGATTGGTCAAAAACACACAACCAATCATCTGCTTGCCTTTGGACATTCCTAGACGTTTATACCTTTTCAAGTTTCAGGCGTAAAGTACTTTAAATCAATATGATATATTTCTGCTTTCCCGTGCTTTTTGCAAAAAAAAATTCGGTGATATTATATTTGTTGGCAACAAGACACAATACAAGCAATTCGCAAGATCTGCTAACCAGTGGTGCCATCCTACAAAGTTAGGAAGGAAGACTGTGCTGTAGGGAACTTCAACCACACCCATACCACACCTAATTTATATTTTTTGCGTTAAAGACTCTCCTTTGTGTGGAAGAATCACTCAAACTATTCAATTTCATAAAAAGACTGACAAGAAATTGCACATTCATGAGAAGTCTATAGTATAATAAAGGGTTGCCCAAACAGAATTCGTCCAACCAAATATGAACTCACTGGTAAAGGGAGGCTTAGCCCCCCAAACCCTCTCTGAGTTTCAACTAGGGAGTCTGAGCCCTACTGAGCCCCACTGAGCCCCACTCCACGGCACCACTGCTCCTAACCAACTTTTCCATCTTTCGATTCCTATGCCTTCCCTAACTTTGAATTTGAGAACTAGGCTCTAATGATCAATGTAATGTAAGTACACATGAAAAATCTTTTCTTAGACCGTTCTGTTATTTCTTTTCCCTCCATGCACTATCCTTTAAAAATTTTTTGTTTTTCTTAGATCCCTATTTCAAAGTTCTACTTTACTGTAACCGGAAGAAAATAAAGAAAGAGAAGACTGAAACTAAACTGGATCAAATAAACCCTGTCTATAATCAGGTAATGGAATTCATCCTTCCACAAAATTCACTTTCCACAACAAATCTTGTTTTTATTGTCATGCATAAAGACGTCAGGACAGATTCCAAGCAAAACATAGGCCGAATCATCATTGGTGCCAACGCCAATGGACGCTGCTGGCAGCACTGGAGAAGAGCCATTGAAGGGAATGGGAAACTTTTTGCTGATTGGCATCAACTGTGGCAATAGCAATTGCGTGTTTTGCATTCTGATCTCTATGGCTTTCTGTTTAATCTACGATGGTGCTTCCCTGGCCAGAGACAAATACTAATTGTAGCGTGCAGTTGCATCAAATAAAGGTGGACGTATTTAAGTATCTAAACAGTGTGGAAATGATACTTAGGTAACTCGGTACCCTTAATGTGTTTATAAATCATAATTAAAAACACACATACACGATCAAAAATTCTAAGAAAACTTTTTGATCGTGTATGTGTGTTTTTAACTATGGTTTATAAACACATTAAAGGTACCGAGTTATCTAAGTATAATTTGTCACACAACAAACGGGATCTTTTAAAATTCTTGGCCCAAAAAGCCAGTGACCGAAAACAGTGTGCAAATGATTTTGTGTCAATTTTCTTTGTGTCCTGCCGTCAATGCTTAGGAATTAAGCTCTGGACAACAGAGCATCTCGATTTCACTGATATAAAATTTAGTCCTGCATGTTACACAAAATTCCTTTTTGTATTGTCCTTATGTATTTTTTGTACTAAATCAGCCTGAATATATAGTAAAGAGAAAAGAATATACAGAATCAAAGTAAGAGTATACTAAGAATATAAAAGTCATCTGTGCATTGTAAATTTTCAATGACGTATTATAGAAATTGATATATAAACAGCTATTGGAACAACATTTATTGGGCGAACTCGTGAAAAAGATATTCGGTTCTTTGTTTTATATTGATCTTTTGCTTGCTGTATAAACTGATATCTATAAATTTTCTAACAATTTTGTCGCTGAATTTTCAGTGTCGTATTTTGCGGAATCACGTGATTTGCAGACTGATGCTCACGAGGTAGTATGATTTCAAAATTGCACGCAGAAATCGAAAATTTGCATCACAATCGAATTTGCTGCCTTTTAACAAAAATTCTTCCTAAGGCCCTAGCTTTGGTTTTGACGCCAAATAGACCTGACCAAAAGACCAAAGGCTAATTTTTTCTCTTTTGATTTATCACAGTTTTGCGAGAATGGTAAAAGGCTTGATTGAATCAATATGTGTTTGGCTTTATTGGATGAAAATCTAAAAAGCTCTTTCTGACTTTCCACTTTTTGTGGCCTCTTAATTTGTTCTCTCGTATATCAATTCATCACCGAATTTTTCTCAAAAGTTTTTCTTTTCAAGAGTGAATTACATTTGCATTGGATTGAAAAGGATAACTGGCAAAATATGTGGCCTATTTTTCAACATTAAACTGCTGTCAGATGAAGTTCAAAATAGAAATTTCTTTTTAAGGCTTACTTACAACAATCCATGGGCTTGCATACTAAATTTATATTCTCAATAGGCTATGCATTTGAATAGCTAAAGATGAATATTCTTGTTTTCTCATATGACATATGAAAGCCAGCAATATTTTGTTTTATCTAATATTTTCCCAACATATTGAATCTCAACCGAAGCCTAATGATTCTTTCCTTTGCAAGTCACGATTATTTAGGATAAAATGAAAATTCACGGTTTCGTTTAACTCTCAGATAAGTTAAGCAAGAGTTATAAAGCAAAATAGAATCCAAACATGAGCTAGGTTTATTGCCTGTAATTTGTGTTGTATGGGGTTTCTCGCAAAAGATCAAACAACAAGTGCTATCCGCTTGGTCGAGTAACCACTTGAGGATGTCGTCAGCACACAATGCGCGATCTTGATTGGTAAACAGGTGACCAGTTATTCAGTGGCAGCCAATGAACTGAGTTCACCGGCCGAACCCGGAGCGAAAGTTTGTAAGATTTTCGTATTAAAAAATATGGATTCTTGAATTTTGCAAAAATCCAGCAAAAGGTAAGTCGATATTTCTCATTTTATTGTGAAACTTAGGATTGAATTTGAGTTTGAAGTTTCTAAAGAGTGTTGAGACCTGAAAAAATTGTTCTGCAAGAAAACGCTTGTATCCGGTAGGCCACCAACTTGCTCATTACAGATTATGATTCGCTGCATCCATTGTGGAATATAATTTAATTTGAAATAGAGCAGAGATTTTTGTGCAGATTTTAAGCTAATTTGCATTTGAGTCTTGCGCCAAGCAGGAGACCTTTGTGTGCAACTGCTCGTCAGTGTTATACAATGAGCCAGGTTTGTTCCTTTTTTGTTGCTGAAGACTTGAATGTAAGATTTTAGACTTTGCAGCGATGACAGCAAGTTAAATGAATTTGACCATATCAATATATGTACTTAGTCAACATTTGCAAAATAGGAAGGAGACGTATTCATAGAAGATGCTCTATGCCTGGAACCAGATATCGAGCACTCAATATTTTAGGCCTCGAATTCTCGATTAAGGTCCTAATTCCACAATCGGGTGAGCACTGTGCACTCAACATATCCAGCATTGAGCAAAGTATATAACTTCAAGAAAATGCAGCTATGCCATGATTTATCAGTGATAATTCAATTTGCTGTTAAATTCACCACTACTTGCTACGATTGAGGTTGAATGGCCTTGTAAAATGAAAACTTACGATAAAATCATTGTGAAAGTGGAGTGCATATTCGAAACTTAACGTTAGTCGCTCGGCAAATGTGAAACGACAATGCAAGTCCTGCTAATCTTTCACAATGCCACCAATAATACATTTATATTACGAAAATAATGCATCTTTTATTTAATTTTAGGGATGAAAATCATAGAAAATAAAACGTGCATCTGCATTCTTTCTTTTGCATTTCTATTATCCGGTAAGCTTTAATTCTTTAATTTTGTTGTCAAAACTGTTTCTTCATAACTCCTCCCAAACTATAAGCATCTGGGTTATGGGATACAGTTCCGTGCTAATTCTAACTTGGATGTGTTTGGGTCAAATATTCTTTGCATATTATGTGCAAATGCAGTCAATCAGGTTGAACCTATGTATTTGATTTTCACCCTTTGTCAACAAACAAGAAATTGGTACTTAATTGCAACACTTGGAAGGCTAAAAGTGACAATCAAAGTAAATGACCATCACAAACTTAACTATCCTATCTAGCAGCCACGCCCCCTTAAGGATCGTTCGAAGCAGGGCCCTGGAGCTGCAGCCCCCCCCCTTCCAGATAATTGCCAAATTGTGTTCGATATCCGTCATAATTGAGCAGGAAAAAGCTGGAAAGGAACCCCCTTCCCTTGATAAGAATTTCGTCGTAAGAATTTATCAATTTTCTTTTCATTTTATTGATTAAGCACATTTTTGCCAGCACTAGTGAAATTTTAAACTCCAGGCAACTGTTTGTTTCGTGCTCCAGGCGTTATATGCTCCAAGCCCATTTCACTAAAGTTTCAGTTATCCTGCGTTGAAGAATATATTTTTGAAGAGGATATCTGTCCCTTCCAAGTACAGTCCGCAACACGGGCTAGCTTATATTATATTTCCAAGTAGTTTAGGACTTGATAACTTGAATCGACAGTAGATTTCCCAGGCATGTTTGAATTGGCCTTTTTGACGATGAACAAAGAATACGTCTCATTTCACCATAACCTCTGGAAAGGCACCGCGCAGCCATTGGGCTAGCAGGGGCTATAGCCCTCCCACTGTTTGCTTTAATAGGTTAGAAAATGTTTTGAGAGTTTACCCTAACGTAACTTTAGAATGCTTACTCCAACGGAGCCCAAGTGGAAGCAGTTTTTCTTGACTGGGAACCCTTATTTGCTCATTTCGTTGCTGTTTAATCTTGTTTAATGACATGTTGTATTTTCTAACTTGGTTAGCTTGGTATCCTCAAGTTATTAAAATATATATTTTTAATAATTGAAATATTGGACTGTTTATAAATAACAAATGGAAAGAAGCAAGTATTTTTTAAAGGGGCGTTTCCCGGTTTTCTAAAGGATGTTACCTCAATCTTTTTCAGTCACGCCTTCTTTAGCTACCCTACTTTTAGATTGGTGAACAGCTGCCTCTGGAAATTGATATCCTGGCATAAATTTCTCTCTTCGCGCTTCCTTGTGGGACTCACTAGAGATAAGGGCCAATTTACAGAAATCATTCAAAGGAACTATATTTTAAGGCTTGATAATGGGTCAAAACACATTGTCTATTCCCGTTTTATTCCCAATCACTATGCAAGGTTTGTTCATTTTTAGTAATCCAGGCCGAAGTACTATGGCCTTCAGGGACATATGGCTTACCTGAAGCTGTAACAGGATGTCCAGAGTTTGGAGGCCAAGCCTGGCAACGAGGCTTCACATATCATGACACAGCTGACGTTGAGCCTTCAAACAAGAGATCTGCGAACTACCATTTTGCTGGGAATTTCTCGCAGCATGGCATTGAGCAAAGATTTTGCATCAAGGACAAGCCTGAAGGTGGAAGTGAATTTTGGCCAGAAGGCAAATATTGCATTTACAAGAAAGGCAAGTTATTTTGTTAGAGCGAATAAAAATTTATAACATATTTCGTACATGTATCATCAAATAGTAAGCAATAACGTTCAACGATCAATGAACTTTCGCCGCATACGTTAAAGTTCCACCAATGAGCTTGAAGCTACTTGGTAGGCAGTGTAGATGTCTAATTGGGTTCCTAGTCTCGTCTAGTCTAGACCATAATGCATCAGGGGCCTTGAAAATATCATCAGAACTTTGTGCCGAAGCTAATGATCGATAAGCGCTGTCCCAAGTGTGACAAGAGGTAGAATAATTTAGCAATTTCGAGAAAGTGGAAAAACAGTCAAGTTTCTAACCTCTTTGGGTTGGTTTTTCAACTTACCACCCTTTCACCATGGCAGTCAATAAAAGGAATAAATAGAAGCTGGGAGTTATCTTTAAAATGCTCTTTTACTCAAGCCTGCACCCCTTGTCCCTTGGTCGTACCGGCGTCCCTGCTTACCACCCTTTTCACCACTGGTTATCATAACATGCAAGTAACATAGCCAAGGGGTTTGAAGGAATATATGACGTTGAAAACCTTCTTTATTATTTCGCATGCAAAATAGAAGCTTTGTGAATTATGTATGTTGGAAAATACATCTTCCAAGGAATTGGTCACAATAAAACTAAGGAAAGTTGAATCATGCAACTGTACAGTACCTATTCTTGAATTATCTTGCCTAAGCATTATCAGGTGCTCTCTCCGTGTGTCAATTAATTGAATTAATCTTGAAGCTTTTTCTATTGAAGAAATGGTAAGAGGCATATTGGTTTGTATTCGATTCCCTCGACACCAATTAAACTCTTGAGTAGGTTTATCAAACTTCGGGGTCGATTCCCGAAATACCGAAAAATAATTTGTATTGCAGCATAGACTTCTGCACCACCTTTATGTCTAGGCTCATGTTATGATGTACTTATTTACTGTACTGATATGCCTCTTATTATAATCGACTCATATACGCGCATGTAACCGTTTACTTAGTTTTGGATTGAATTGAATTATAAGATAGTTGTTGATGTTGAGTCGAAAGTATAAAGAGATTCCTTTATCTTGCATCCTCCTGCGGTGCAATCATGCAGAGAGTTACTAAAAAACATCTGAGATTTGAGATTTGAATGGAGAATATCAAAGAAATGTGCTTTGGTCCTTGCTGTCTTAGCTAAAGGTATACGAGATTTTCAAGGATTTCTTTTCCCCTTGGTTAAAACAACTCTTTTAAGAACAAAGACTTTCAACAATGTACAATACATTTATAAAATCTGTTCTTGCTTATATAGGCGTATGCCCAAGTGGAATGGATGAGGGCTCTATAAAATGGGATGACGAGCACTCTAAGATTGATCAAAGAAATCGCCATGTTGGAGCTTTGCCGGACGGTAACTACGACGAGACATCAACGGAGATCAAGTACTGCTGCAGCACAAAGGGTGACGTCAGCAAACCGGTCAGCCTACCAAATACGATGCCTTTCTATTTACTGACATATGATTCACCCACGTGTCAGAAGGTCGCTGGAATGAAAGTAAGTAAGGGGCAAGGGTATAATTTCTAGGGCATAATAATTGAATGAAGTAAAGAAAGGCTTGTTGTGATTGTTCTGGCATCGGGGTAAAACTTAAGACAGGAGCTAGTTACATTATCTCGAGTTATCTTTTACTGATATGAAATTTTCACTGATACTGTACTTGAGTCCCCGACCTAGAGTTTTTACTAACACAACCACCTCTCAAGTCACGATCCTGCGCCATCTGACAAATTTCTACAAAACCTTTTCCACCAAGATTCTCTCTAATGTTGTGGACAAAACGCGCTTTGGTCTTCCCCGTCTTTGTTCAAACAAGCACGCCCGTACCGGGGGGGCCTTGGGGGCTATTGCCCCCTCACCTTTTTGCAGAAGTATGTTGTGACATCAAGGATAATGATGAAAAAACCAGTACAAAAGTTTGTCAATTTGTCTAGAGCTGCCCTCACCCCAAAATGTGTTCCGGTATCCCTGTTAGACAACACTACAATACTTATCTATAAATGATTTAGCTTTTTGTATGAATTGTTGGATTGAATTGATTCCTTATGGACATTATTTTAAATGATACTTCAAGTAATAAGATCAAAACTACAATGGAAATTCAGTCGAGAAATTGTTTATCTCTGCAAAGAATATGAAGCAGGCAGTTGTTCACAAAACAGAATGAATAAATAAATAGAGAGAAGGAAAAGAATAAATGAAATGAAGTCATCTTTAGAAGTATCTAGAGCCCCATGCTTCGAAATCAGAGTTGTAAGGATTCGTAGTGCATTGAATGCGGAGTTTGATAACAAATGTCAATGTGATGAGTTTTTGTTGTTGTGTTGCATTTCAGGTTGCCAGTGAGTTTGTCAAGTATGATGATAATGACAATGGCAATACCAATGGAGCTCTTGGAGCCCATCCATATGGGCCAAGCGAAGATAAATACAACACAAAGATATATTACTGTTACTATGAGCCAGGTAATATCTCGTTTTCAGATACAACAACAGCAAACATACACTTCATAAATGCGTATTTTTGTCTACTTTATGTTTTCATTTATTGACTACACTACCTTCTCGTTTAAAGGCCAGCGAGAATCGATTTGCTAGAAATATAAGAGTAGCTTAAAAAACAAAAAGAGACAACTCCTTTTTGCAAATTTGTCTCTGGTTTCATCAAAGCAGACCAGAGTTTGTTAGCAGATGAGTTGTGCTTCGAAAATGTTCATGCAAAACTGTTATTTTGTGGTCTTAAAGATTTCTAGTAAAGATAATTATTAGAAAAACTGGATTAGGATCGCCCTAGCCTCCAATTATCACCATAGGCATTAAGGGTTCTTTCTTCAGCTGCTGTTGATACTTTCGATTCTTAGTGAGCTTGGACGGGAAACTGCAACTACTCATTTGCTATAGGTTTTTGTCTGCTCTAGCCCCCCTCTTTTTCGCAGAAAAATTGAAAAGAATAGAGTAAAAATAATAGAAGAAAGGAATAGTGCAATAAATCCTTTTACTGCTTAACTTCAAAGAAATAAGCTGAGGTCCAAGGGGCTTAATATAGTCTGTGCTCCAGACCCCTAACTAATAAGTTGGAGCACAGGCTAATGAATTCTATTTTAAGGTTTCAATTAATCAAACGTGACATGCTTTTAAAGAAGTTTAAAACGATTGCAAGAAAATGAATGCAAAGAATATTCTGAAATGATCTGAAGCTAATCTAAAGCTGTCGTCGAAAATTTTCTGCAAATTGATGATTAGAAAAGGGGGGGGGGTGTAGCCCACCCAGCCTCGTTATCTCATATGCCCTTTGTCGTTGAGAATCTACATTTTGTCTAGAAAATGACATATAGCAAAAAACTGTGTCATTCATTTCAACCATTTATCCTTTTTATAGGAGAGGAGAGCACAGATGACCTTGGAACGGGAAAGAGTATCGCGGATGACAAGGTGGGTCTTGTTAACCAAATTTACAGTTGAGGGGTAAAGAACCAATCGAGAAATTGAGATTTAAGCTTATCAACAATGATTAAACCCAAGGATCACTTTTTGTAGTCAATATATTTGCTTTCTTTTTAAAAGATGAAAGTAGTTTCTTAAAGCAAAAAGTATATTTTTTTAATTTTCTTAAAAGATCAAACAAGAACCGTGCTACGAAAATATGATTGATTGAGAAATTTGCTTAAAAGCAGTAGAGTTTTGTTTCTTATTTCTCGATGTCCAACACCTTCACGCCTTCTGTAGCAAAGTATACCAATTCAATTTGAATTGTCAAAGAGCACTTTGGAAGCAAGAAAATACAATGGAAAGTAAAGGCACTGTGGTGACGTGGTCTTTTTTAAAGAATTTGTTTATAAAAAAGGAAGAAAAATTAAAATTTTGCAACATACGAGCAAATGCTTTTTTAATACTTTTATTGACATGATTGGCAAAACACCGTTTTTTCTTGACGAATTCATCAAAACAAGTTTTAATATAAGCATTTAAGAATCCACATTTTACTCGTATCCCAGGTATCAAAAGCTGCCCGTTAATCCCGGCATTCTTAATTTGCTCCTGTACACCTCATTAATTCATTAGTTTAATAGTAGTTTGTTATCTTTTGCTTCTTTTTGCAACTACTAACACACAAGTAAATACTTCACGCAATGCAGTAAGCTAGGCTCTGTACAATTTATGATCAATGGATAGAAGATCATTTATCAACGGGCCTAAACCTTTTTTGTAGGACCATGCACCAAAATCTTCATCTGGCTTGGCAGTTGCAATCGGTTGTGGAGTAGCTGGCGCCATAGTGGGAACAGCCTCGATCGTATTTGCCACAAGAAGGATCCTAGCTGCAAGAGGAAAGGGGAATTTCGATGGGATGGAGGGGCCAAAACCCGATGCTCCTTGAACTCGACCATAATAAATGAACAAGCAATGCCAATATTTGGCATGTTATAAAAGAGCAAATTTAGGGTTGCTTTCTGTTGGAGTCTTTTTACAAAGTGTACTGAAACATTTTGCTTTTAATTTGTTCAATGAATAATCTATTTTTATTGGTTTCCATTACATTACATTTCAGATAACCATTACATTTTTATATTGATGGCATAATGGGTATAAAATGCTTTTGCAAATCTAGATCTTAATATCATGTATGTAGTATCTGTACATAAAAAACTGTTTACCTTTGTAGTCGTTAACTCTAATAGAAGCTTTAATTTGATAATCATGTCGTTTTGATAGAGTGCAGAAAAAGCACAAAGCTTTTTTTCTTATTGGGTTGCAAAATGCCTACATATGATTATAAATTATTTTCTGCCCTTGCGAATATTATCAATATTTTATCGGTTTCACGGAAATGTGAGATTGTTACGTATACCATGATTATATCAGTGGCAAGTGCCTTTGTTTATTTCTCAATAAGAAAATCTTGGTTACGCTTCTGATTTCAGATCGTACCACCCATCTCCTTTCTAGGAACTCTAGGAACCAAACCCCTCCTTTTATTACATACATCAAGTGGCGGTTTTATGATGAATAGATGAAATTTCATCAGGGTTATTTTCACGAGGGGCTTTCGAGCTTTAACTAATTTGCTTGAAATTGTTGTTATTTCTTATTCGTTATGATCTCTTGTGCCACACTACCTTACGTTTTTCTTGTATCTGCTCTACTAGTTTATGGGGAGGGCGGGGAGTCCATCAGCCTCCTGAAGATTCGATTTGTAAAACTAGGGTTAAATTTGTGTTTCGTGGCATTTTCATTCCCTTGGTTAAGTTTTGGCATTACGTAGGTCTCACCTTGCTGGGTGAAGCTACAATACAAGTAGGCTGTTTTATTTTCCAACTCCTCCCGCCCTTATTTTGTTTCTATATGCAAATTTCCTTAAATACAGCTTTGTGTGTTGAGTTTCTTTTGCGGCATCGTTAAAATCTCTCATACCTTTAGGCATCTTTTATGCTATTTGGCGTTTTTTGATGCTATTAGGTAGGACTGGTGCATCGGTGGGGAAAAGAGGCTTTTCCTGTCCATTCCCTTCCAGTTATCAATCATATTTGGGGTTATTGCGTAACTTCCTTTAGTAACCCCTTATGGTAGCTTGAGCAATTTGCGCCGATGTACCAACGGCCCAACTCGCTCTTGATGATGATGTCTGAGGGAGCTTTATGCCCTTTATATTGCATTGGTATTTAATTACCGAGTTAGTAAATCAAAGAGCTTCTGATAGGCAGAAAGGGCCCCCTCTTAAGAAAAAAATAAAAATTATAAAGGACAAGGGACCCCGCAGATGTTTTGGCACCGGGCCCCGCACCGCAGTCCCTTAAACAGGGCCCACACCGCCGGGGGACCAGAGGGGCCAGGGTCCCCCCATTATTTGGTAAGCAAAAACATTTCCATATATACCCTGTTTTAAAGCACTAAGTTCAAGTTCAATGCATAGAACTTGGCCCCTCAACCTTGAAATTCTTGGTGAGGGCCCTGTTATATCTCTGCTGCATTCTTGCTCTCAATTTTTTCAATGGAATTATTCTTTGGCACGTGGACAGTTGGAGCTCATAAGCAAGTGGTTGTTGCAGCTTAGAGGGTCTTTTTGCAAAATGGCGGCAAAGATTGAGCGGAATCCTGGGGTTTCATTTGATGCTGGCTGGATTAACAATGTACAAATAAATTATGCCTGCACTAAAGTAAGAGGAGAAACATTGGGCACAAGAAGATCAGTCAAGAAAGAATGGCAGGCTGCGTGGCTTTTGAGAGCGGTGACGTGCACAGACTTGACAACTTTGGCAGGTACCTATGTTTCAAACCTGCTTGTTTTGAAACAGGCTTGTTCAGCCCGTGCATGACCATAATTTCCCCAGAAAGAGGCGTATCCTCAGCAAAAGAGGGACATATTCCCGTGGGTTTTACCAATATTCTTTCATGTTTGAATAAGTATCACAGTGTTTGGGCAAAAAAGTAGGGCGGAGATTGAATGAGATTTACAGTTAACAATATTATTTTAAAAATTATCAAACAACAATGTTTAGGCATATTGTAATTGCAGAATGCAAAATTTCAAAAAATGCGATGTATGATGTGGTATGTTATAAAGAATAAATTGTGTTATTCTAAAAGCATAATTTTCGTTTTTTTGTAAACCAGGCTGAAATTTACAAAGAAAGCAGGCTTTGTTCAGTCCTGTTATTTATTCCAATAAAATATTATTGCATGCATTAAATAACTGAAAAACCTAAAATATTAAGGTATTCACATTCAGGGCTGCTCAGTTTGTTAATACAACAGTTCGATTATTAAACTGATCACTGTTTTGAAAACCATCCAAAAACTGCTTGCACTAAATTTGTATCCAAAAATGTTTTATTGCTTTTTGCAGTAAAAACAACAAAACCAACTAACTTTCTTCAAAGTAATCTTAAGCAACTGGAACGATGATATTGGATAATGGAACAATGGTTCCTGTATGATTTTATTTTTGCATTATCAACTTTGTTTTGTTTCCAATTTGGGGATAGTCAGCCTAATGGCCAGGTACTTTTGTAATCAAGATCTCCATGTAGTAGACTGAGTTATACCACGGGTCAAGGTCACATGAATCTCCTAGGTCCATAACTATAGTAGGACATGTGGGGTGTGGCACCCCTTCTTGAAAAACATTTTATTACAAAAAGAGAAGTTTTTTGCCATCTAGAGATGCTTAGTGGACAAATTTCCGAACTTGGCAGCAAATTTAGGATAGTTCAACCACTCTGTCGTAAATCTGAAAATCTCCTTTATGCAATGAAAAATGTCTAGGCTTAGATGATAATAGAAGCATTCTTTCTCTTGGCAATGGATGCCAGTACATCAGGTGGCCAGGGGTGGACAATTCCAGGAAAGAGGTGCTCTCCTTGTGGGAGACCAATGTATTCTTCTGTACTGTGATCTCCAGAAAGGGAACTTTGGTGACAGGGGTGGACCATTCCAGAAAAGAGGTGCTCCTCCAGTGGGAGATCAATGTCTCATTCTGTACTGTGGTTTCCAGAAAGGCAATTTTGGTGATAGGGGTGGACCATTAAAGTAAAAATTTGTCACCTGGTGGTTACCCTGTGTAGCGATAAGCCGCAAAGTGTTGGTGCAAAGTGTTGCAAAGAACAGTAGCAAAAGTAGCAATCAGCTTTTATTTGGTATTGATTATGGGGATTGAGCTCCCATAGGACCACATCCCTGGGTCCTGGGTATGGTATTGTGTGAAATTTGTTTGTGTGCTGTGATCAGGCCATATCTAAGGACATAGGTTTTCAAAATAGTGCATTTTGTCCTAAATAAAAACCAATCAAATATTTGCATCCAAACTGAAATGATGCATTGTCAAATATCATTGTGTTTTCAAATGGTTCAACTCTCAAACTGTTTTATATGTTTGTATTTTTGATGCATGGAAAATAACAGTTTCATTTGAGAAGATATTCTTGTAATCATGGCCTAGAAGAAACCTGATATAAAGTTAATATAAAGTGTCATTGAAAGATTAGTGGTATAAACTCTTGTACAAGTCTTATAAATCATAATTTGTACGCTTACAGCGGCTCTCCCATCGACCACTCAGATTTTCTTTTGCATAGAGAACATTTCCAAGCACTAAAATCTCTACGGGCTAACAATGACATCTTTATTACAAAACCTGATAAAGGGTCTGGAGTGGTAATTTTAAACAAAAAGGACTACATCAATAAAATGGAGGTAATTCTCCACGACAAAGAAAAATTTGCTAAATTGGGTGATGTCGAAACACATGACAAAACGGCCAAACTAGAGCGGAAACTCCAAAAACGTTTGTTGGAACTGGTCAACTCAAAAATGTTGGCTACAGAAATTTATGATAGGATAAGACCAACGGGCTCTCAACGACCACAAATGTATGGCCTCCCTAAAATACACAAGCCGAACGTCCCACTTAGACCTATCTTGTCTATGATTGGCTCAGCACAACACGAACTGGCTAAGTGGCTTTCTGAAGTTTTGGACCCTGTTCTTCAAAATATTCAAAACATTGCATCAAGGATTCTTTTACGTTCGCTGAGTTCATGCAAAACTTGAACATCGAAAACGAAACATCTTTCATGTGTTCTTTTGACATTAGTAGTCTTTTCACAAATGTTCCTTTGAGTGAGACCATCAAAATATGTGCCGACGCTTTGTACCGGAGCGAGCTTAATAGCCCACCATTCCCAGAGGAAGTATTCATTGAACTGATGGAACTGCAACACGTTCAGTTGAATTCAGTTTTAACAATGAAATGTACCAACAAAAGGATGGTGTCGCTATGGGTAGCCCTCTGGGACCTGCCTTGGCCAATATCTTTGTTGGCTTTCATGAAGAGCGTTTGTTTGACTACGACCAAAAGCCAGGTGTCTATTTTCGGTATGTGGATTACACATATACCATTTTCAAAACAGAGGCTGAGTGTGATATTTTTCTAAAACACCTAAATAGCCTACACCCAGCCCTCCAGTTTACGTTTGAAAAGGAAGAAAATGATTCCTTACCATTTTAGATGTTTTGGTCGAAAAGTCTAACACTGGATTTCTTACCAGTGTATATCGCAAGCCTACTTTTACCGGTCAGTACATACGCTGGAATTCATTTTGCCCAAAACAACGCAAAGTCAACCTTGTCAAAACATTAGTACATAGGGCACTTATGATCTGCTCGAAATCTAAACTGCACGCTGAACTGGAAAAACTCAAAACGATCTTCTTGGACAACGGCTATCCTGAAGACGTCATTTTATCTCATACTAAGGAGAAGATCGCAAGTTTTTCGGCTGTTCAAAAGTTTGGTCCGCAAAAGTGCCCAGTTTATTTGAAACTACCATGGATTGGTAACACTTCCTTGCGATTCGAGAGTCAAATTAGGCAAGCCATAACCAATTGTTTCTTTGCTGTCAATCCTCGGATTGTTTACAGCACTAGGAGAGCCCTTCCATCCATTCAAAAGGATTGCGTCCCTACCAAACAAAAAAGTTCAGTCATTTATGAATTTACGTGCCAGTGTGATTCTGGCTACGTAGGGCGCACAACCCAAAGATTGGGGGATAGGATAAAACAGCATGTTCCTTCCAACATACGAAACAAAACTGCCCCTCAAAGAGAACAGCCTCCTTGATCTTGTAGGTCTAGAAAAACTGTTAAAACAAGTGATTCTGCCATTGGTCAACATCTTTTAGACAACCCAGATTGTGCAAAACTCTATAATGACGACATGTTTCGGATAATTGGCAGAGCCCGGTCGTCCTTCCATCTAGCAGTTTTGGAGTCAATCTACATAAAAACGAAAAAGGAGTTCGTTTTCTCTCTTGGACTCCATTGGTAATTTTTCTTTAGGCTCGCGGCACTGATTGGTCAACTATACCGGTCTTGTGCTTGCGTTTTTCTGATTGGCCTATTTCGATCCACAACTGGGTATATATTTTTCAAACGTGTTTTTTTCGGAACCTATTCTGACGTTTTATGCTCTGAGGAGTGTCAGACGAAAAAGCTTTAAGTATGTTGTAAAATGTTTGCTTTTTTCAAAGCCATTTTCAAATCATAATTTTGCAGTCATGTGAGAAGATGGTTTTCGTTTGCTTGACATTAATATTTATCATATTAAAAAGACTCATCACAGGGGTGCATATCAATATGTTAAATTAAATTTTTATTAGAGATTTTACAATGTTTTTGTAATTTCTTAATTGCTATTTATTAATTTTCATTTTGTTGTCTTATGTAGGTGATGACACTGCAGGTAATGTTAGAAGATTGTGTTTTAAAGCTCAAAATCCTATACGGAAAGATCTGATAGATGCAATGGATGTAGGGCATTTAGGAATCACTTGTGGAGCAGTATGTGTTTATTCATCAAGAGTTAATGATGCTGTTAAGGCCTTACGGGATGCACGTTCATCTGTGCCTATAGCTTCAGTTGCTGCTGGTTTTCCTGCAGGTGAGTTTAATTTCTATTGTTCTATTGCCTATCCCAAATCAATTTGCATATTAAACTAATAGCTGATAAGCAAAATTTGAATCATCTTTGTAGCAAGCATGAATATTGGATGTATTGGTAACTTGAGAATCCACAACTTTCTTAAAGAAATTCTGGCAAAAGGATCCTATGGTGATAAAAATTCAATCTTTAGGGGCATGATCCTATGGTGATGAAAATTCAATCTTTAGGGGCATGATCCTATGGTGATAAAAATTCAATCTATAGGGACATTTATTGGAAAACCTTGGGATTAAAGGTACAATGCTTGTTCGAGAGATGGATCATGCCCGTCTCCCAAACATGCACTAGCTCTTTTTTCAGGGTCATCGCACATGCGCATTATCGCTGGTAGCCATGACAGGAAGTTCAAGTGTTGTGTGGTCCCAAACAAAACCACTGTGTGAATACTGTAATTAATGCACATATGCTTTGACCCTGCAACACTGATGGGTTTAAGACTGTATTGTTTTGAAACAAAGGACTGAAAGTTTCGTCTCCTGAACAAATGCCCTGATGCCTCAATGCCCAAAACCTTTTTTGCAGTCAGCCAGCTGCAATGCTGTTGCATGATAGGCTTTATGTAGATTTTGTTTTAGATTTTTGTTTCTCTAATTGTACTTCTTTCTTATATTTTGTGGTCTTTATCATACTGAAATATTTTTTCGACTTTTCTATGATTGTTTGCATGGAAGAATTTGCTATGCACTTTTGAAGGTTATTATTGTAGACATTACAACCACACATTCTCATCACTTAAGATCAAATATTTATATCAAAATCCACAAATTTTTCTTTGACGATGGCTGCTGGTGGAAATTCGAGCCAACTTGTCTTATGAAACTCAAGGGGGAAGATGATGGCTATTGCAACTTTTAAAAATTAACACTAAAAATGTCTTGATTGGTTTGAATCTGATGAAATGATTGCAAACCCCTCTAAATTTCAAGCTATCACAATCAGCAGCAAAGATAACTGGAAAGGAACAAACATATTGGCACTGTCCTTATGGATTTGTCAAAAGCCTTTTGACTGTCTACTTTTAGCAAAACTACATGCCTATGGTGTGGATAGAGATTCTCTTTTATATTAACAAAACTACATGTCTAATAGAAAGCAGAAGTCAGAGCAAAAAGGTCATTACAGCTCCTGGGGTAATTTTGGACAAGGAGTGCCACAGGGATCAATACTTGGACCTCTACTTTTCAATATTTTCCTAAATGATATTTCTTACAGCCTTAAGGCCAGGTTACACGATCACTTTTAACCATCACTTTTTTCGATATTGGACCAACATGCTGAAAAGTGATCGTGTAACATATTAAAATTGTCCATTTTCGCTGCAGAATTTAATGCGCTTATCTGCTGTTAATCCTCTATCATTGGAAATTTTACTCTGAACGAAAGCAGAGTAAAATCGAGTTCATCACTTTTTTCAAAGGCGCCGACAAATTCTTACGACACATGATGTTTTGACGAGAAGGGAACGGCCTAGAGTTTCGAGAAAAGAAGAAAAAGACGCGAATTGTGCTCAGAAACATAATTATTAGGAGAAATTGAAAATGAATAATAATTTGGAGTAAATCGAGGAGCAGCCAATTACAGAAAAATAAATGCAGTTTAATAAAATACACTCATTTTTTATAAGAAACCGTCTATAAAAGCCAGTACCCGAAAATGAGAAAAGGTTAAAAAACTCCAATGCTCGAGCAAGAAACTGCAAAACTGATATAGATTGAGAATAAGCAAAAATCAAGAATTTCTTGATTTTCTATTGCTAATTTTGACTAAAATTACTGTCGAGGATGGTTTCTTTTAAAAAATGAGTTTATTTTATTAAACTGAATTTATTTTTCTGTAATTCGCTGCTCCTCGATTTACTCCAAATCATCATTCATATTCGCTTTCTGCTAATAATTATGTTTCTGAGCACAATTCGCGTCTTTTTCTTCTTTTCTCGAAACTCTAGGCCGTTCCCTTCTCGTCAAAACATCATGTGTCGTAAGAATTTGTCGGCGCCTTTGAAAAAAAGTGATGAACTCGATTTTACTCTGCTTTCGTTCAGAGTAAAATTTCCAATGATAGAGGATTAACAGCAGATAAGCGCATTAAATTCTGCAGCGAAAATGGACAATTTTATTATGTTACACGATCACTTTTCAGCATGTTGGTCCAATATCGAAAAAAGTGATGGTAAAAAGTGATCGTGTAACCCGGCCTTTACTGAAGGGTCTTTATGTAATTTTGCTGATGACAACACGGTACCTGTCACTGCAACAAATACTGATGAACTATTGCAACTTGTAAAAATTAACACCAAAAAATGTCTTGATTGGATTAAATCTAATGAATTGATTGCAAACCCCTTTAAATTTCAAGCTATCACAATCGGCAGCAAAGATAAATGAGTTTGAAATTGACCAAAAATTTGCAGACCGTTACTTTGCTTGGTGTTCAGATCGATGAAAATTTAAAGTTTGATGCTCATATCGATTAGATCTGTAAAAAAGCAGCTAAAAAGTTAAATTCTTTAAAAATATTCGCAAGATTTATGGGCGACAGAGAAAAAAGATAATTATTAATTCATTTATACTATGTCACTTCAATTATTGTCCATTGATATGGATGCTATGTGGTAAAGGAAGTCAGGATAAGCTAGAGAAAATTAACGAGAGAGCATTAAGACTAGCCTATTTGGACTATTCCTCTTCGTACAAAGAATTACTTGCTAACTCAAAAAGAAACTACCAGACATATCCAATCAGTTAGAATTTTAGCGCTCGAAGTTTATAAACATTTAACAACCATAATCATGTTTTCATGAAAGACTATTTTGTTCCCAAAACAACAGGTCATAACTTTCAACTCAAAAACCCCCTTGACATTCCAGAAGCCAGAACTACCAATAATGGTATCAGATCATTGAATTTTCAAGGGCCTAAAATCTGGAATTCACTCACAGAATCAATCAAGACAGCACAAAATACTAGACAATTTAAGATTATGATAAAAACTTGATTCCTTGAAAACAAGTGCGCATGTTCGTTTTGCAGTAAATAATCTGTCTTATACAGTCCTTGAGATTGCTTCATGTTAGTCTTAATTAGTGTATATCCACTATTGTAAAAACTAACATCAAATAATTTACATACAATACAAAAATAATGGCTGTGGAGAAAATTCAGTTAACTTTTTAAAGGAAGGTTAGGTTTAAACTGGTTAGTTGAAATCAAATTAGAGATTTTTAGTGGTTTTTGCTTATTGCAGGTCAGACACCCCATGCTATAAGACTTCTTGAAATCAAGAATGCTGTTGCAGATGGTGCTTCCGAAATTGACATTGTTATCTCAAGGGCCCATGCCTTGCAGGGAAACTGGGAGGCTGTATACAGGGAGGTAAAAGAATGTAGGGAGGCATGTGGAGATGCCCATCTGAAGACAATCATTGCCACAGGAGAACTCGGATCCCTTGAAAATGTTTATAAAGCGTCAATGGTATCAATGATGGCTGGCTCAGATTTTATTAAAACTTCCACAGGCAAGGAAGGTGTTAATGCAATATTCCCTGTTGCATTGGTTATGGTGAGGTGTATCAGAGATTTCTTCAAGGTACCTTTGCTGTCATTTTCATATATATACTTTTTTTTAATAAGAACCAGTAAATTTAAGTTCAGGCTGACTGTTCTTAATTTTTTCGAAAATCTGAGGCTGGATTGTTCTTAATTTGTTCTTAAATTGAGAGGGTGTAAGCAGTGCTATTGGAAGCTTTTTCGCTCTAAGGAGGTGTTCAGGCCTCATTTGCCAACAAATTGAGTGAGACAGCCTTAATTTGCTGACAATTTTGAATATTCACCGAAAAAGCACCCACACATCGCTAAAAATCCTCGATTTTCAGAAAAAACGTTGTTCAAAATTGCATTTTGCAAAACTCAGCCTCAGCTTTTTCTTAATTTGTTCTTAACCTTTGACCAATTTTGAGGCTCGTGTTCTTATAAAATTGTTCTTATAAAAGAAAAAGAGTGTAAACATCTTTTCCATATCTTAAAATTTCAAGTTAAAGCAAAATCACTTCGTAGTGTGTCATTCATTAGTCCCATTATAGGAGTGCTTAACACAAGTTTTCAAAAGCCCCGTTCTTTGTGCACAGTTTTTACACAATGCTGCTATGTATGATACTAACCATTTTAAATTTGACCAGGAGTTTAAAGGGTATATTTTGTCCGGATGTATATTGGCTTAGCGAGGGGGAGGCAAGACGCCCCCTCCCCAATTGCAAAAATATCTTTTAAAAGTGCGTTTTTGGTGTTCAAACGAATGTGGACCCCCATTTTTCACTTGATCATCCTCTTTACCACCCAGGCTACGCTAATGATTTCTTCATTAGTGTCAAAATAAGTTTTCATTTTGTTTTGATTTGTAGCGGACAGGATACAAAATTGGTTTTAAACCCGCCGGCGGAATACGCAGTGCAAAAGAAGCCCTTGTGTGGCTTTCAATGATGAAAGAAGAACTAGGGGACGAGTGGACCAAACCCAACTTGTTCAGGATTGGTGCCAGCTCGTTGCTGACTGATATCGAACGACAGCTGTATCACCATGTTTATGGCCGGTTTGTGATTTTACATTTATCTTTTAGCTTGTCAAATTGGCCCTCGGTTTATTAAAATGTTTCTTTATCTGAGAATAAGTTTAGGATCTAGCAGCAGCATTTTGCTCTTTGACGACTGTAGCTACACCCTTAGTTGAACCAGGAGTCCTCATAGGACATGAATTTGCAACATGCTACTTCGGGATATAACCGGCCACACCTAATAAAAATAACAATATAGTTGTACTTCCCGAGCCCGACCCATCTGACATCCTTCAGCTAGATGCTACCCATTCTAATGTAGAGTCAGATGAGGCCACTATCACATCCTCTATAGACACGTCTACCTCTGACTAAGGTGTAGCTGAAGGAGCGTACAGGTTCGGATTATCTACAAACCGTGCTATGTAAGACTGCCATTGCCTCTCAGGAATGAAAGTTTCTTTATGAGTCATACCCTCAAAGTAGAGAAAACATTGCTCGACAAGGTCGACTCCGCGGTTTAGTTAAATCGTGTCCTTTCCTCTTTGTATAAATATGAACATTCCTAGATCGAGTTACACTTAAATTCAAAGATTACACATCGCTATTTAAGCAAAAAAATTCAAGTACTATTTTCTACATAAGGGAGGGGGATGATGTAATAGGTTCCCTTTCCTGTCACATGTCACGCATGCGTCGTCAGTTGTTAGTCACATGACGTTTAAATGCAATTAAGATTTGGTCGTTTTGATGTATAAAGCATGATAACAATTTTTTGGTGGTAAAAATTTGAAAATGGCTTTGAAAAAAGCAAACATTCTACACCACTATACTGAAATCCATCCAGACGAAAAAATGTTTGTTGTAAGATGTTTCTTTTTTCAAACCATTTTAAAATATAATAACGTTCTTCTTACACGGTCAGCCTTCATTTATCCTATTTAAGTGTTGAATTTTATAATGCTTGATAATTGGATTCTCTTCGGGTCATGTTATTCAATGTCAAATTACCGAGAAAAATTTGAAAATGTCACCCACCATTTTGGGTTTTGCCAGTTTTCATCTACAGTGTGGAGAACGATACTGAATTGATATATTCTGACGTGAAAGTAAAAATTGAATATCTATTTTCTTCAAAAGTATAATAGACTCCGGTTATAGTCAGTGGCGTCATCAAGGGGTGGACTGGGGTGGACATGTCCGTCCCAGTTTACCCAGAAGTCGATTTTCTAATTTCTCGAAATAAGCTCGATTTTGATTTTTGCACTAGCAAAAAAGCCACCGTTACGAAAAAAGCTGCTTGAGAAAGTTGCTTGCCCAAAGATTTCGAAATAGATAAAAAATATTAAAAAAGGCTTTTCCAGAAGTCTGAAGGGCGTGGCTGAGAAAATTTGTTTTCGTCCACCCCAGTTTTTTCGAGCTGGCGACGCCACTGGTTATAGTCACACCAAATGTTGCTTGTAAACCTGTGACTGTAAACGGAATGTGACTTCTTCAAATTAGCTATTCTTCTTGCATGATTACACAGACCTGTGATAATTATGCAAGCAATTAAATTCAACCCTCGTACGCGATTTGGCTCTTGGTTACACAGACTATCTACTATAAAGTTAGGGGTCTGGAGCACAGGCTAACTGTAAGCGGAGCTATAATATTTGGGCCTAAATCTTATGTTACTCTCACCCCTAGTGTGACTTTAAGCGGAGTCGACTGTATTTTGCTGTCTCTGAGATGGTATTTTTCTTCCTAACTGAAAATTTTTCATCACAAGCAAGCATATCTTTATGCCCATTTTTTTCTTTCACGTGATGTTGTTCCCTTAGATATGCTGCAGCCCACGAATTGGCTATGTCGTAAGGCGAAGTCGAAACTTGTCGCAGATTGGTATGGACTCAAATATTTAAAAAAATTCTTAGTGGAATAATGTTTATGTTTGTTAAGATTTTCATATCAATTATATGAAACAAATTTGTGTCACGTATGTTTACGGCAACCTGAAGTCCTAAAGTGCAATTAAGCGGTTGCGTTATAGTGCAGTGGCGAAAATTCATTTTTCAGGTGAGGCAAAACTCACAAAAGCAAGCCAATTTGACGACAAAAACGTTAAATAATAATAATGATAATTTATTTAATATAATATATCTTCTGCCACTGTTATAGGGAGTGTCATCTAACACCTTTTGTTAGATGACAATAGGGATTACTTCGTTTGTCACAATTTTTTCATTCAATGGATTACGACACTGCTAGTGCGCCCGAGCTCTTCCCAAACTGCGTGAAATTCTGGCTGCGTTTCCCTGGGCGCACTGAACAAGATTTTAGAAAAACTTGATTGACAAACGTAAATTGATTGAAAAAACTTGATTGACAAATAAACAAGATTGCGTGATACTTAGCCCCAGTCCTCAAATTGGGACAATCTCCATATGTCATTCATGAAAAAAGTGCGAAAGGAAAAGTTTAGGTGCATTATCATATATTAAAATATACTAAGAGAAAAGGTATTTGCAGTATTTGACTTGAACTGTTCAAATTGTGGTACCAGCGTTTCGTCTTCGGAGCAGAGGTGTCGTAGTCGTAGAGCAAGACTGTGAAGAATGGATTGTTTGGTGTATTTGGGGTGTGCGAAGGTGCTGAGGAGATATTGGTGTGTATCTGTGGGTTTAACGTAGGAGGAGCGGATCCAGAGCAAATTTGAAGGAGGGGCAGTTGGTAGTGGGGGCGCTGAGAAATTTTCAAAAATTGGTGACGCGAGTACGCTGTATATGTACAACAATTTCAGATCCATTTTCGGAATATACAACATAACTCTGAGGTAATCCTTGAAGCAAATTAACCCATCGGTCTCAAAATCTTTTTCATCTGATTCTCAATCTTCAAAAGGGGCGCACAATTTCCAAAAAGGGGCGTCAAACTTGCTTCAACTCGTCGAGGGAGGGGCAACTGCCCCCTAGTTGCCCCTCTTAAATCCGACAAATTTTGCATTTATCATGTTTTTCCCGTGTGCCTTTTTGTAATTTAGCTTTAAAATTTTTTGTCTTAGGCTTTCTTTGGTGATCGGTTTAAAGCCTAAAGCCGAAAACCCACTCTGGAAAACGATCCGCGGATCGGACCAGATCGTGCTGTTCTGATCAGTTCCGTTCGATCCGCGGATTGGAATTCATGACGCAAGTGCTCTATTTTTTAAAAAGTTCTGTTTCGATTTTTATCAAAAGAAAACCACTTTATCGGAACGGTTCAAAAAAAAGTTGAAATCATTTCAACTTTTTTTCGATCCGTTTCGATCCGTCGCGGATCAGTCATGTGACCATTTTTGCATCCAAGGCGCATGCGCAACACAAAATCTGATCCGATCCGCGGATCATTTTCCGGAGTGGGTTTTCGGCTTAAGGCTGAGTTGTTTGTTAGGAAGCTGTTGATTGTTTTTGTGCTTGAATGCTCTTTAAAGTATCTTATTATTTCAGTTATTGTTGAATTCTCAGTCAAGCCTTTATGGATTGAATTTGAATTTGTACTTAACACGTCGACGAAAATTTGCACAATGATTTCGTTGTTTTTTATACTCTTGAAAATTGTCTTTAGTTCTATATTTATTAAAAATTTTTTTCAGTTTCGTGCGTAACATTATTGGTTTTCGATGATTTTTAAGAGCAGCATGTTTGTTAACAATGCTACTAAAATATCTTGAAAGCTATTGAATGCTTAATCACCATCTTGTTGATATTCACAAAGATCTGCCAGCAAATCTTGGCAGAAACCTTCCTCTGTGAATTTACTTAAATCTCAGTAATGTTGAATTTTAGGGTGGTGTTTAGGCAGAGACCATTTCAATGTACACTCTTTATTTTATAAGAACAATTTTATAAGAACACGAGCCTCAAAACTGGTCAAAAGTTAAGAACAAATTAAGAACAAGCTGAGGCTGAGCTTCTGCAAAATGCAATTTTGAACAACGTTTTTTCTCAAAATCGAGGATTTTTAGCGATGCATGGGTGCTTTTTCGGTGAATATTCAAATTTGGCAGCAAATTAAGGCTGTCTCACTCACTTTGTTGGTAAATGAGGCCTAAACACCTCCTTCGAGCGAAAAAGCTGGCAATATCACTGTTTACACCCTCCTAATTTAAGAACAAATTAAGAACAATCCAGCCTCAGATTTTCGAAAAAATTAAGAACGGTCAGCCTGAACTTAAATTTACTGGTTCTTATAAAAAAAAGAGTGTAGTTAGAATTGATTTTGTGGAAATCACTTAAACTAGATTCAATTGCTATGCTATTTTTAAAATGATTTTTTACGATTTGTTAAAATTACATCAATTGATGATGGATTACAGTTTGGTTTGTAGCAGGTTGGTTCTTTTATAAGGTTAGTAAGGCCAAAGGAAGAGCATATTGTTTTGAGGTGTGAATTAGTTGGGGTTAAATTAAGATCACCAATGATGATAAAATTGTCATAATGCAAAAAGAGATTTATCAACTATTCTAATTATTGTATTTTTGAAATTTTCGTTATTAGCATTAGGTGGATTATATGCAGCGATGATGGCCCATTTCACTTTTCTTATGTTTAATTCAAAGTTTTCAATATTTTCGATTCCTTTTTCTTCAAACTGGTCAGTTCTACTTTTGAGGGCTTCTTTTATGTAGACTAGAAGACCACCCCCGTATCCAGGAATAAAAATTGTTCAGTTGAAAACGAATCATCAATTTTGGTTTCACTAATGATCACGCAGTCATATGAGCTAGTCACAATCAAATCTTTCAGTTCGCAAAACTTGTTTCTGATACGGTTAATGTTTAGATGAGCAAGAATAGGGTTTTGGGGGTATTTTAGCCGAGCCTGTTTTAATTCTTTGTAATTTGATGCCGATTCAGTTATATTTTTTGAAGTGTAAGAAAGCAATATGTTATTATTGAGTCATGCAGAACGACAGGCCTTAATGCAATCCCTGAAATTGCAAGCGAGTTTCGCGCTACCTCGTTTGTTTGAGTGCAGACCACTGTTATTAAGTCATCTACTATTATCAATAAAGTGAAGGTTGTTTCTACACAAATGTCATACAAGATATTATTCAGCTGTTGGACATTGACATCAGAATTGAATTGCTATACTTAGCTTGACGAGTGATTCCCGAAATGAAGATGCTGCTCGTTGCCACATTTTCGAAAAAATTAAGAACAGTCAGCCTGAACTGAAATTTACTGGTTCTTGTAAAAATAAGAGTGTATATGCATTATCATGTTTGTTTCTCTTTAGGTCAACAATTTCCTTTTTTAGGGATTCGATTTTAGCTAATAAGATGCTGTTTTCTTTCAAAGTCTAGAATTTTCTTTTTTTCGATATTTTGAAAACCATCAAGTGCTGCTCCGTCCTTGGATGATTTTAGTTGATTTAACTTTTTATTGGACAGTCTCACCGGTTTTGAAACCTTTGTGAGTCTTGCCAAAACTTTATCGAAAAGTTTAGTAACAGGTTCTGTTAATCGCGACATGGTAAGTTCAGAAAAACATTTGCAAGATCACATTTAGGTGTTGGAGTACCAAGTTGATCATAAATGGCCTTGTATTTGGTGGAAAGAGGCATATTTAAAGCCATTTTATTACGTCAACTCTTTACAACTATGAAGACACTTGAGTGAACCTGTTTATCGCGGGAAACTTGGTATTTTCATTAATTGAGAGGACCAAATGCTGTTTTATGCAATTTTCAGCATTGTTTGTTCAAATTACAACATCGCAATCGGTTGGAAAAGATGGACTTTACGATTTGTGACGCATTTTATTGATTGAATTTTGCTGCAACATATCACGAAGCGGCCGCTGCGATTAGGCCCATTGCGGCTCCAAAATTTCCGACCAAAACATTTAGCATATTCTCCAACAAAAGTGAGGAAAATGAGCAGTTCTAGACAGCAGCTCTGCTTTCTGCCATCTTCCATCCCTACGGTATCGCCGGCAGAAATTCTTTATGGAAACGCTTTCTAACGGTACCGCAGGCAGCTGTTTGAAGTGCCGTAAGATTGCCGTAAGACTTACGGCATCCTCCCGGTACCGCCGGCAGACAAATTACAAATGGAAACGCCTTGCCTGCGGCTGCCTGCGGCATTCTTTTGTTCAAACAGATCATGTGATGTGCAAGAACCAATTGAAACCGGGCCTTGTTGTTTAATTTTGCCCGCTAGTTTTTCCCGCTCAAACTTTACCTAGTTACCGGCATAGTTACCGATACCGCAGGCAATTGAAAACAGAACGTTTCCATTTGCCGGCGATACTGTACGAGTGGAAGATGGAAGATGGCAGAAAGCAGTCGCAGGCAGTCGCAGGCAGCCTTACGGCTATATGGAAACCAGGCTTAACCAGTTGTTGAAAGAAAAGTAAGAGCTGCAAAGAAATTGTTTGAGGTTATGAGAAATAGGGAACGGGCAGATTTGTTCTTAAAAAGTTCAAAAGTATCATCAAGAAAACTTCAAAGTTTGATTGTATCTATAATCCATCCCTACTATAAAGAAGAAAATCTAGATGCAATTATAAATTCTATTAAAACTCGTTTTGATCGGCCCGGTTTCAAAGTTTTCCAAATCTAGAGTCTTTTTGTTAAAAACCCCTTATCTCCAAAAAATTTAAGATCAGATGTTAGAAAAAATATTCCACCTGTTCAAAAATGTTTAATTTTTATTTTTAGCTGATAGTTCTTCTGTTTATATTTCAATCATAATGTTTTTTAATAAGCCGTGTTTCATTTATTTTTCTCCTCCATCCAAATTTGGGTACTTTCAAATCTAAAACCCAGTTTCATTACAAGCTATGCCATAAAGGTTATTTTCTAAAAGTTTGCAAGACCTTTCCTATTTCAAGTCAACATTGCAATAGACAAAGCAAAGCTTCGATATATTATTCTTGTCTTTGTCGTTGATCACTTTGGTTCTCTGTTGTGGGATTCCATTTCAACCACTGATGAGAGCAGTGATT